GTACCAGAAGAAACCAGGGAGTAACACATCACTCAGAGCACTCTGCTGTAGTGTAAAACTTTGTGTACTGAGTGAAGATAAGTTTTTAGGAGATGATCCAACATACCACACCAAAGGAGGAAATCAGCTGAGGGTCTTCATTTCTCTCCAGGCACTATGAAAAATCCATGGTTTCTCTACAGTTTCACTTGGAAGCTGAGAGGTGTCTGATTGCTGTAAAGTTGGAAGAGTCCACAAAAAACAATTCAGAGTGTCTTAGTGGGGGGAAGGGCATTAGCAGGTTGTAGTACAGGACTCACTCAGCTATTGGTGTGGGTAGGTGAAATGCATTTCTGTTGTGGAACTGTGCATTTTCCAGTTATTTCTCCCTTAGCTATAAACTTTTCATGAAAATGTGAACCCATTTAAACTAGGTGCAGAAAAGGAAAAAAATTTCTGGTGGTGTTGCCCTTTCTCAGAGCATTTTGAACATTTTCCAGTGTACTTTTGGAGAGGTAGGGCTCTCTCACAGTGCTGTGCGTCCTGCTGTGCAGGGTGTTTGAAACTGAGGGGTCTTCAGGGTAGAAAATGTAGGCAGAGAGAATGTTGTTTTTCTAATGTTGTGCAGACTGACACTGTCAGACTGACTCTGATCAGGGTTTTAAACCTGGGGATGTTCCTTCCCTGCTCTCTGTAACTTCTTTGGCTGCTTGCAGACCCATGGGCTGGAATCTCATCATCATCCCAGCATCCTCCCGAGGATATTTTAGGAGCAGCTCACAGTATTTACAGCATTGCATAATGCTCCAGCAGCAGCAGTTCAATCCTATTTGGGATTCAGCCAATGTTTGTTGTCTTCTTTGGAAATGGTATTGATTATTGGAGCTCAGGAGCCAATTATGGCCACTATGATACTCACCACCTCACATCCCAGGGTGATGTGCTGGAGAGACTGCTCTACTTCAACTGTGGCTGCCAGTGGGGCTCTGGACAGACTCCATGCTTTGTAAATCAGCTATACTGTGAATAAGCAGTTACTCACATCCTAAATGTTATTTGACATGCTGGCTGGGTTTGGTTTGCACAGGGACTGGCATTAGTTTTGTACCTGTGCCAATGGAGAGCAGCCCCACAGGCTTTTGGAGACCACCAGCACTTGATACCCAGTGCTGCATTGCCAGGGAAAATCATCCTGGACTATCACAATGATCACATCTTGTTGAGGCTGGTGGTGTTCCACGCCAGGGGCCATGGATGGAATAACAGCTTGGGTCTGGAATCCTGCTCTTCCAGACTGTGGTAGCTGTCATGTTGGGCAGCAAATGATGGTGATGGAGCCTGCAGGCAGCTGAGCTGCTCCTGGTGTCTTCTGCTAGCAATTCTGCAAAGCCTTACACAGCAAAACCACAAAAATCTTAAGGCTTCATCCCAATGAAAGGTCAAAATGAAGACCCTGATTATAATAAACAAAGCCCAAATCTCTGAACTTCTAGAGGTCTTTCTCAGCCAGACTTGAGATGTCCCCCATGGTCAGAAGTGGGAGTGACTGCACTTTGATATACCAATTGCAAAAGGATCTTGAGAGCCCAGCAGAAAGATTTCTGCCCAATGGAAGGACAAGGGATGTGGCAGTGCTGAAGCTGTGGGGGCCTATGCTCTGTTCTCCTGTGGGGAAAGTAGTGGGGATGGTGAGTTGGTACAGGAATGTGGGCAATTCCTCATTTTGCTCTTTATTTATTACCTTATTCTGCCTGAGTCTGTGCTAATCTTACAACTGGTGTTCTCAGCTCTCTTTAGGTTTACAGTATTCAACAGCTTTCTGGGCAAAGCACCATCCCATGTGACTTATTTAATGCTATTTAGATGAATTTGTTGAACCTTCAGCCTAGGTTTGTTTCATTAAAATGTGGGCTGTACTTTCTATCTGGCTGCCTAATGGAAACAGTGTCCAAAATTGGTATTTCAATCACTTCTTATATATTTTTCCAAGTACATTGAATCATGAGAAGCAGGTTACTTAAGCAAATGCAATGGCCCTTGTCACACTTCATAGGGCCTGTTAAACACATAAACCCAGAAATTATTAGCACTTCGAAGTAGTTGCAAGTGAAATGAGCAAATCAGCCTTCCTCCCCCCTGAGGAAGAGCTTGATGAGGTCTTCTTGGGGCACCTCATCCAGCACAGCTGCTGCTGGAGTGAAATGGGATAATACCTCTGTCCACCACAAAATACTGCATCTTCCATCACATCCCTGGCCCAAAATTGTGTTTAAACTGGTATTTAATGATGTGCAAAGCAGGAATATTATCTCCTCTGTTTATGGAGCAGGGAGTGAGCTGTGATCTCGCTGCCAGAAGTGAGTCCTCAGTGGGCTTGGGCATACCTGGGATGTGCCTGCTGCAGGTGGGATCAGTTGTGAGAACAGGACCCTGGAACATATGTCCAGCAGTTGTTTTGAGCTCCAGCTTCTCCATGCCAGGTGATGCAGAAAGCTTGGATTTGGAGGTGTTTTTCTGATGCAAAGGGCTGATGATAAAATGGTATTTTGCTGCAATAATTTGCTCCAAGCACCTTGCACAGATCTCTCTGACATAACATGCTGTTGATTAATGCACAAACTTACCTCCTCTCCCTGGTGTCTAGTTTTCATCCCATGTAAGCTCTGATTATTAAAAAAGAAACATTGGCTTATGAAGCTAAACATCAAAATGCAGCAGCAAAACCCTCGGTGTCCCCACTGTTTGCAGTGTGTATGCTCAGGGTTGTTTTCATGCCACACACAACTGAGGTTATTGAAGAGAGCAAAATGTGTTTGTTATTCAGATCATTTTGGGTTTTCAGTGCTGTCAGTGTCTCAGGGAAGTGATGCCTGAGGATTTGGAGAGGGTGAGGTTAGGAATTTATTACACAGTGTCTGGGGCTGTACAGAACCAACTCCCAAAGGTCTCGTTGAAGGAGAAAGAAAGGATGGAGGAGCCTGGAGTGTGTGGACATGGAGACATGCAAGCACTTTGAGGTTATTGAAGAGAGTGAAATGTGTTGTTATTCAGATCATTTTGGGTTTTCAGTGCTGTCAGTGTCTCAGGGAAGTGATGCCTGAGGATTTGGAGAGGGTGAGGTTAGGAATTTATTACACGGTGTCTGGGGCTGTACAGAACCAACTCCCAAAGGTCTCATTGAAGGAGGAGGAAAGGATGGAGGAGCCTGGAGTGTGTGGACATGGAGACATGCAAGCACTTGCCCAGAGTGCTGACAGCAGTGCCAGAGTGCTGACAGTGCTGGGGTCTGTGCTTTCAGGCTCCTGGGCTGCATCTCACCTCTGAGCTGAGTGTGTAGGCCTCCCCTGGCACTTCTTCTGTGTCCTTGCTGGCTGGATCTGCATCTGGGATCAGGTTCCTTACCCCAAGTAGATTTAGCTGGGCTTATGCATTTCTTAGTCTGGATCGGAACTGTTTGTTTCTATAATTTGCCAAACAAAAATCAAAAATCCAGAGAATCCTAGAGCAGTGTATGCATTCATTCCAAAGTCTGCCTCTGTTTTTCTGGGCTGTTAATACATTAAGGGTTTTTTGAAACAGTTAATAATTTGTATTAAATTGTTTAGCTACAGATTTTTAACTACTTAACCCCAACAGATTAGAAGGAAGTGGAGTGGGATTATTCTTGGTATTTTCCATTTCCAAAGTAATTTGCATTATCTTAGTATGTGCTTACTTTGTAATCCCTAGTATATGTGTTACACCACCCATCCCTTGCAGAGCTGTGTGGGTCTTCTGCTTTAGAGATGGAGGCAGGAGCCCACAGATGCACAGGGTTCCTGCTCTGCATCTTCAAAGAGTAGGGATAGTGCCCAGGCTGCTCTGTCAACCTCCATCTGCACTCCAGGAGTACAAAATTTGGGTTTTGATTAGAGTGGGAAAATGGAAACAAAAGAGGCCAGAACAGCTTGAGTAAAATGTTTGGAGAAATTATATGATAGAGATTTAAATCCAAGACGACTGTGCTCCTTTGAAAGTAAACCAGGTGGAGAATCCCCATGGAATTACCTTGAGAGAGATTCCAGGTTGCAGTTAAAATTTAATAGAAAGATTGCAATAAATGCATCGATACACAGAAGATTGGCACCCTGTTGGGAAGGATGCTGATCACAGTCCTGTCAAATGATGTTTGCAGTCAAATGCATGGTCCTGTGGAAGTTCTGGTCCTCTGGATCCATCCAGTGGTGGTGGTAATGTTGAGATTATATAGCTCAGGTTCAGGCAGGAATGCTCAGTACCTCCCCCAGGCAGGGAGCTTCATAATGGGGTGATGTAATAGTGTGAGTCAGAGGATATTTTGGGGAGTTCTTGATGGTCGAAGTTACAATCCTGTTCTGGTGGTGCCCCATTATGGCCCATTAGCAGAGATTCCCCCCTTCAGGATGGGTGTGACTGTGCTGGTGCTTCCCCAAAGGGGAATTATCACAGCTGAGTCATTGGTGTGAAGAAGAAACACTACCCTGCCTGGAAGGGTTTGCTTCTTCTCCCTTATCTAACAGCCAGCTTGTAGCCTGGGGTGTCAGGTGTGGGATGGGCAGCTCCTGCAAGCCACCTATAATGAACAGTTTGTCAGGAATGATGATCCTCTCTCCAGCCTCAGAGGGGAGTAGAATGCACCGTTTGTTTAGAGCCACTGTTGGCACTCTCCTTTTGTAACCACACAACCACCACGGGTTGTTTCCCCTTGGGAAGGTCAACAGAATTGGTCACTGGCATCCAAGTGAATGCTGAGTCACCTGCAGTTCCCTGTGATGTCCTTGACAATCTGTGTGAATCCTACCCTGGAAATCGATGTAATTAATATGTGAAGGAGTGTCACAGTATGAGCCTGTGGAGCAGCATGGGAAGGCCAGGAGGTTGGGATGAGGGGGCTCATGTCACTCCTTGCACTGAGCTCTGTGCTAAGCACATACTGGCACATAGTGGACCTGGCTCTCTCTACCTCTAAAACAAACCTCTGTCCTCCCCTTCTGTCTCTGCAGAGCTTCCTTCCTCGGAACACTTGAGCGTGGCCGATGCAACATGGCTTGCCCTCAACGTGGTGTCTGGTGGAGGTGGTTTCTCCAGCTCCCAGCCCATCGGAGTGACCAAAATTGCCAAGTCAGTCATAGCACCCCTAGCTGACCAAAACATCTCAGTGTTTATGCTCTCCACCTATCAGACGGACTTCATCCTGGTAAGAGGACATGAGGGGACCAGGCAGAGTTATTGCCACCAGATGAAAATTCAGTTGGGCAATTCTGGGAACAAGTTGTCTGGGAGTGGCAGAAGTACCAAAGTCTGCTTTCCCCAGAGCTCTGTTCCTTGTAGTTAGGCACTCTGACATCTCAGGAGCTTTTGCCATGGGATGAAGCATTTGTTGTCATGGGTTGTGTGGTCTAATGGGTGCTGAGCCCACACAACAGTCTCTCCTGGAATGGAGATACTGGTAGCACTTCCCACCATCACTCAGACATTGGTTTTCGGAAAGTTAGAGGAACACAATGTCTGCTGTCAAGTTGGCTGGTGATGGCCAAGAGGCTCCAAAGTTGTTTTGGTTATAGACAGACAGACTGTCTTTCTGTCTCACACACACATGTGTGTGCCTGCACACAAGGAAACAAGACTGAAGAACAGGCAGTGCTGAGTTGTTGCAGCAATGCTGGAAAAGAGGTGAAGCATCTCCTGCTTAGAAATCTCCACATTCTTTTTACAGTCATAAAAGCACTCTGGTGCTTAATCCTATTGATATCCCAGTGATACCACCAAGTGTGCTTCTCTTAAGATACACCTAAATGGTAACTCAAGCAGGAGTCATGTCCACTTTGCTGTGCTCTAAAAGTGTGTACCCTCCACTGCAGTGTTCTGTCATTTCTGGTGCATATGCAGATAATACCATAATATAAGATATGCAGATAACTCCATAATACCATCACCAGATGATGCTGTTGTCCCTGCAGGTGCGTGAGCGAGACCTGCCCTTCGTGATGCACACGCTGGCTGCTGAGTTCACCATCCTCAGAGTAGTGAACGGGGAGACTGTGGCTGCTGATGACTTTGGGGTAACAAATGGATTTGTCAAACCAAAACTAGGTAAGGACCAGCACAGGCTCAGCTTGCCAGGGATTGGGTCTCCCTGACACATGGGGTGGAAGTTCTGCCTCCTAGCTTCCTTCAGCATTTGGGTGAATATTTATCCCGTTGTAAGATTATAATCTTAGAAGCTTCTCCCAAGTACAACCAAGGATTTCAGTAGGTTCTTAACTTTCTGAGCAGTGCTAGTAAGTTTGGCTGAATTTTGGCCTTCTAATGCTAGTTTTTCTAGAGAAGACATGCCTTTGGTAGGACAGAAAGTTCAAGTACAGTTCATTGCAGTTGCAAAAATAATGTTGTCTGTAGCCCATATTTCCATGCTTCAACATTCCAAAGGAAAATGGCTTCTCTAAAAGTTTGTTTAAGTATTGCAGTGATACACAGAGAAGATTGTTTTTCAACTTTCACACTTCAGTGCCAATGAGGATCAAGGCCACAATGAGCCAGGGCTGTACAGAACCTTAGAATGTTTGCAGGCTAAAGGAGCAAGTATCAAGCCAAAGGGCACAGTCAGAAGAAGGAACAACTTACATACATATGCTTGCCTACTGATGTGTGTAATTTTTTGCCCATAACCAGGCAAAGCAGGGATCAGTTATTATGAAGTGCCACTCAGTTTCATCACTCAAGAGCTAACAATCACCTTAAGAAAATGAGTCTTAAAGAAAGAAAGCATCAAGAAAGGGCACAGTGAAACACATGTTGATAATGCACCAGTCCACAGTTTGCTGTGTTGGTCTATTGGTTGCATTCCTAAATGCTGTGTTGCTCTGTTAGGTTGCATGCCTAAATGCTGGCTGCTTCTCAGCCACTGGCTGCAGTCAGACAAATTGCTGTGTGGCAGCTGGGTTTTAATTTTTCAAGATACTATGGCAAAATAGGTTCCCAGAAATAAGGGAAAACAGGATGGACTGCCAGCAACCACAGCCTTCCATAGCCCTGCCTTTTAATGGTGGAAACCTTCATTTTTTCCCCACTTTTCAATTTCTCTTGGCTCCTCCTTTAGCTTGCCCCTCAGGTCATGTGGATGCACCCAATGGCCTGAAAGCCCCTCCGAGCAGAGAGCTGGCATCATATGCAGGGTAACACCACCCTTACCTTAGGGACACCAGCACAGGAGCAGATTATCCACAGGCCCTCATTCCCTGTGTGAGAGCCAGCAGGGCTTCAGCAATGAGGCACTGCCTTACAAATACTGTCAGCTTTCTCTGTGACCCTTGCCAGGGCATGGATAACACGGCTGATGGGACAGGAGCCTGCTGCAGATGTGGCTTCACCTGTGTGTGTCTGTGTGTGTCTCTTCCAGTTCAGAGGCCTGTCATTCATCCTCTCTCCAGCCCAAGTAATATGTTCTGTGTCACCAGCCTGGATCCAGATACCCTTCCCACTGTTGCTACACTCCTGATGGATGTCATGTTTTACTCCAATGGGTAGGTGCTGCAGGGAGATGGGGCCCAGGAGAGGTGTGCCCAGTGTCTGGAGGCACAGATTGCTCCAGGGATGTGCTGTGGCCCTTTGCTGCTCCAATGCTCTTCACTGAGGGAGGGAGGGAGGTTTCACAGGCCCAAGAGGGTTGTCCTGACGGGTGGAAGCCAAACAGGTCATTGAGGGTGCCCAAAGACATCTGCTGGCTTTGGAAAGCTGAGCTTTTTCAGAGTGAGGTGAGAGTAGCCATGTGGTCAGTGTGCTGCATATCCACACAGGCCCAGAGCATTTACAGCTGGCTGGGTTGCTGCCCCTTGGTGCCCATGGCTCCTGGCCCACAGCTTCTTGTAAGGGCACCTCAAGGCAGGGATGGAGAGTTTTGTCAGTTGTGGAGACTGGATAGTTTTCTACCTGCAAAATAAAAAAAAAAAATCAAATCAGTATGATACAACAGAACTCAGTGTCACTTCCCTAAGTCAGTGTAAGAACATTTCTGGTTTCACTGGCTATATCTGCTTTAAAAACCTGTTTTTGTGCTCTTCTAGCCACAGTTAATGTAGTTCTCTTCTGTTTCTCCAGAGTAAAAGACTCAGTGGTGGGCAACGAAGACTCGGGACATATTCGCTTTTTCTCCTTTTCTCTCATTGAGGGTTACATCTCCCTGGTCATGGATGTCCAGACGCAGCAGAGGTGAGCTTTGATCTTAGAGTAACCTGGACCTTAAAAAAAGGGATGTTCTCAAAGGAGCAGGGAGCAGCTTAGACTCCTCTATGTTAATTATTTGGACTGTCTTGTATGGTTGTCATGGGCCTGTACACCCTGTCACTTTTCTGAGTAAAATCTGGCATTTTAGTTCCAGTGTCTAAATTTTGGACTGGTCTGTCCAAGCCCTCAGTGAAATCACAAACCAATGTGATGCAGAATTATCTCACTTTCAAAAGAGGAATACTGGAGCAAAGTGCTTTTTGCATTTTTATTCTGTTGCTCATTAACTGTGCTAACAAAACCCAAAAAGAAAACCTGGTGTAGGTGTTTGAAGTTTTCCTGCTAAAGGAAGGTGGAGATGTCAGTGATGCTGTCCTACTGCTTTGCTTTTACACATGGATGGGCTTGGTTCAGTGTTGTTATGATGATAATGTCCCAAGTCATCACTGTGCAGTGGGAGCCCATGACTTGTTTGTCCAGCAGGGAAGGAGCCAGCTGGTGAGCAGTCAGCCCTGTGTGTGTGTCTGCAGCTGTGCAGCATGGCAGGCTCTCAGGTCTGGAGGCTGGAGAGAAGCTGTACTCAGCAGTGCTCAGATTTGCTTTTTACACACAGAGCAGTTTGGGTTTGGTTCTTGGGGGCAAGTCATCTGCTCCAGGGACTTGTTTTTAAAGTAATGAATTGCCCTCCTGAAAGTTTCTTTGACTTTATTGCAGTAAACCTTTGTCTGTCTTAAGAGGAGCCAGAGGGCTGGAGCTTCAGCCTGGGGTGTAGGAAATCTGGGGAGCCAATTCTTCTCTCTCACAGGCTGCCTGCTTCACCTTGGGCAACTCTAAGCCTCCAGTCTCCTTCCCCCTGCTAAGAAATAGAGACTGCAGTGGTCCCAGGCACCTCCCAGAATGGGATGGAAAAAAGCACTGATGGTGCTCAGACACAAAACCAGTGGTTACCCTTCACATTCCTGAGAGCAGGCATGGAAACATATTCCATCCCTAGCTGTTTCCAAATGCAGCTCAAGTTTCAAATCTTCACAGTTCCAACATTTGTAAATCTGGGACACAGCTTGTTGCTTACGAGATTTTTCCTGTGCCTCTCTGGGTACCTATGCCCACCTCCAGCAGGAGTTGCTGATTTGCCATAGGACACCTGGGGGATCAGGCAGGTGCATCTGCCCCACCTGCCTTGAGTCTTCCCAGTTTGCCCAAGCTACTGCCCTGTTATTGTTGGCTTCAAACATCTCAAGGATGCAGGAAGAGCAGATTCCCCACAGGCAGAATCTGACACACTGCTGTGTTTTAATTGCTATGTTTGGTGTTCCTTTTTTTTTTTTTTTTTAACAGATTTCCTAATAATTTGTTGTTTACAAGTGCATCTGGTGAGCTCTGGAAGATGGTGAGGATTGGTGGGCAGCCTCTTGGCTTTGGTAAGTAACATTTGGTGGATCATTTGGTGTGCAGGCAGTCAGTCACCTCAGGGCCTTCAAAGAGTAGGGAAAAATCCATCTGAGGCTGATGCATTTTAAGAGCCAGCAGCTTAACATGACTTTGTGAGCTGAGATTTTCAAATAGAAGCCTGATTCCTATTAAGTTTGACTTCTGAATATACTCCTGAAAGTGCTACATGCTCAACAGTTCCAGCTGCATTGCGTTCATCTCCTGGACTTTGGGGGTGGCTACAGCTGGGGCTCTGGTTAAAGAGACAAACTGGACTGCTATAAATCTATAAAAAATCTACTAGAATCACAGAATTACCCAGGCACTGCACTGGAGTATGACATTGCTTTCTGACCACTGATTTCAGTAATCTACAATGAATTCCCATGCCACCTTTCAGTCCAGTCAGCATCTCCTCTTTCAGAGTTGCAGGCCAAGTGTTCAATAACAGAGAAAAATGGATGTTAAGGATATATGGGGCTGGGCTCTGTGCTTTCTTGTTGAACGTTGTTCAGTGCCTTTCTTTGGACCTCTAAATGATTCCACTTCTAACGGTTTTGTGCCTTTGGAGAGTGTGTGTTTCTCTGTAGCAAAAAGAAGGTAATAAAACTAAATGTGCAATGTATTGTTGTGGTCCATAAATTTAATTTTGTGAGAAAGAACACATTTTATTACAGAGATTCCTTCTGATTGGAGTTTGTGAAGACAAACTTCTCCATATGTAGGCATGGAGCTGGTGAGCTCTGAGACTTTTGCAAGCCCCTCCAGACAATGTTTGATGTTTTATCTCCCCACAGATGAATGTGGAATTGTTGCTCAGATTTCTGAGCCTCTGGCTGCAGCCGACATCCCAGCCTACTACATCAGTACTTTTAAGTTTGATCACGCCTTGGTGAGTATGAATACAGCTTCTCTGGAGTGGGGGAGAGCTTTTCCTTAGCAGAAAACTTTATGGCAATGTCACTTCTCATCTGGATAGCTCGTTGGAGTGCCTTTGCTCCGGTGTAGCCCAGCAAACTCCAGTCTTCAGCCTCCTGCCCTGGGTGAGAGGCTCCTGAACCAAGCCAGGCCCTGCCCAAGGCAAAGCTGTGTTAGTGAGTGTTGTCTCAGTCCTTACCTGCAGTCCTGGAAACTTCACAACCTCCCTGAGCAGCTCCTTCCACTTCCACAAACCCTTCCATTTGCTTCCAGAAGTAGTTGCAGGCTCCAGGCTCTCAGGAAGGTGCCTCCTTAGGTGCTTCCTCTCTTTAAAGGTGGGTCATCACAGGTGCCTTTGTGTGTTGGGAACTTTTTGGACAGTCTACCAGTAGCAGCCCCTGCCTTCATCTCTTAGTGTCTGTATTGTCCTAACATTTCCTTTCTGAGACCCATCTGTTAGCTTTGCTGTCCCTGCATCTTCCTGGGTCTTGATAAACAAGCAATAATTGCCAGCACAGCAGGAGAAGGTGATTTTGAAGCAGATAAGGTTGTTCCCATGTTTGTTCTCGTGAGTGCCCATAAGCAGCTGCAGCAGAGTCATCAACATGAGTCTTGCCATCCTTGGAGAGTTCTCTTTGTTTTTTATATTGATGGATATTTTACTTTCTAAGCCTACCTCTGCTCTTCCTTTGTAGAGAAGACACCCTCAAAAATTAGGAATTCCCCTAGAAAGGGAAAATGCAATGCCTGTAGCCACAAATGGGGTGGCATTTGTCTTGGAACCCATTTCCCCAATCCTGAAGGAGGGAGTCAGCTGCTTTATACTATTCATTTTTTTTCTTAAATGTGCCCTTTATTGCATTATACTTCTCTTTCCATCACTTGCAAATTCACTATTCAGGTCCTACCTTTAACCTGTAAAAGCTCTAGTGAGATCAAAGCAGGTTTGGGGGTTTTATAATTACTTTGTTTTTTCACAGTTGGTGTGAACTGTTCACAGCTGATAGGTCATGTGTGTAAAGAGTAAAAGTAAATATTATTTCAGATAGCAAAGGTCAGAGTGTTATATATGTTTGTCTTATTTTTTTTTATATTAACTGTGCTGATAAGATAAGCTAATAAAACACCATTTAAAAATCAATACTGTTAGCTTTGCCTCACATTTCTGCCCATTGTGTGGCCCCAGGTGTGCACTTTTTGTGGCAAGCACGAGGTGCAGAGTGCTTCTACATGTCAAGCCATATCTGGAGAGCTCAGCCCTGTCAGCTAAAATAGATCTGTAGCTGAAAACTTGCACCACACAATTACCATGACTGCAGGCTGCTCCACCTTCTCAGAGTGCTCATCCTGCTGCCCCCAGGCCCCACAGCTCCTGCTCCCAGCAGCTGGCAGGGTATTAGGGGCCCATCAGGTCTGCAGGTCTTCCTTATTCTAAGCAGTGTTTCAGTGTTTTTCTTTGCTACTTACTGTTTTCTTTATGTATGGTTTTAAAAGCCTTTTCCCCTGGACAGTGCTGTTCCAGTTGTCAAACCCATCCCTTGGAAGGTGCATTTTGTGCCTGACTTTGCTCTGGGTGTGCTGGCTGGGTTGGGTGCTTGTTGGCTTTAGGGTGGTTTTGTTGGCCAAGACCCTGACCTAGATTTTGTCATGTTTTCTTTAACTTTGCTACCCAGATACCTTGACTTCTAGTGACATTCCTGGAGGAGTAAATGTATCTTGAACCCTTTCTCTAAATTCTCCCATTCTTTAATTAAGGTAGTTCAGTACCTGTTGTCAGCAATTTAAAGTACTGTGTTGTTCCCTTTGATCTGATCTTTTTTCTCCTGTGCATCTTAAGGTGGTTTTGGTTACTTAATTTTTATTTGACCCGAGTGTAATACTCAGGTGCTCCTGCCATGCTGTAGCTGTAGACATTTAACCTGGTGATCAGGACTTGTGCTTGAGATGAAATCCCTTTGGGAGGCAGTGTTGAGATGGGAACCTGCAGGTCTCTGGCATGTCCCTGGGTGAGGCAGGGTCAGGCTGGAGAGAATCATGGTTACCAGCTCCCTCTAGAGAGAGCAAGGAAGAAGAGTTGCCTTTCCAGGTACTCTGCCATTGCTGCCTCATGCTCACAGGTGTCTTGCTCTCTTTCACCAACATTTTGCTTCTGAAGAGGCTGGAGCTGTGTCTGGGGTGTAATTTGGAGCTTTGGTTCTTCCTTCATGGTCAGTGCTTTGATCTGCACTCTGCCTGAGAAGGGAGCACAGTGCAGCAGCTGCCTTGGGACAGGGGTCATTTCCAAGGGGCAGGGAGGGGAGGACTCCTCCACTGATGGCAAACTAGGATGGGTCCTACAGATCAAAACTGTTTGGACATCTCTCCTGGAGAAAACATTTCTGGGGTGACTGATACAATTTCTGTGCTGTTTAGGGGTCAGGCATTTGCAGGGAGTGAAGGAGCACTGTCTTTCATGGAGGAGATGGGTCTGTGCAGGTCAAAGCCAGCTGGCCAGGGCTGGCCAGGGCTGCTTCCTCCTCTTCTGTCCAGTGCTGAGGAAGCAGAGACCCACTGAGCATCACTGGGGCTGGCCAGGGGAGTGTGGTTAAAAAAATTGACAACTATGTCTTTTCTCATTATCTTATGTAGAGGAAAAGAGTCAAACAGCTTCTTGCACTGCAGTGTTCAGTGTACTGGGAAGAATGATGAAGGGGAGGCAGAGGAGAGTCCTGCCTCAAAGTCCTGTTCCCTGTGGTGGAGGTGTCCTGGTGTTTTCCTTCTAAACCAGAAGAGTTTGCTGTATGCTTGTTTTAAGATTATGTTCTTCCTTTCCAAATGACTTTTGTTCACACATCATCTGTGTGTGTGAACTGCTGTTATTCCATCATCCTATTGGAAAAGTGAACATTTTTCATGTTATTTCTCATGGGCTTTTTCCTCAGTTTTGTTAAAAGCCTCACAGAAAGACACAACCAGTTGTATTTCCACTGAGCTCTCGAGAGTGTCCAGAGAATCCAGGTATTGTACTCTTGGCCTTAAATACCTTGTAGAGGAAACAGTTCCCTCTTCAATTTACTTGACATGAATTATTTTGACTTCTTGCAGCAACTTAGGGCTAATTTATTTTTCCCTCAGTCTTCTTTCCACTTTTCAAGAGCTGCCAGTGTCTTGGAGTTTATGTAGAGTTCAGACACACTTCTTCTGCCAGATGTAACTTTACTTTTGATGTTCTTTTCTGCCAGTGACAGTCACTGTGAAATTTTTTTGCATCTTCTGTTACAAGAGGCTTTTCTTGCAGTAAATGTGAAAAAACACCATGAATAATACAGACTTCTATGGCTAAGTCTCCTCACAAGGCTGGATAGGAAAGCACCTCAAACAGGCTGGTAGCTCTCTTCCTCTTTTGATGGGTGTGTTCTCCTGTCACCCACCATGGCCTTCCCACCCAATTCACAGGTCCCAGTCCTGTAGGGTGCCCCGAGAGCCTCATGGAGCCCTTAGGCACCACAAAAATCCCTCAGCACAGGCACCTTGCACGAGTGAGCCCCTGGCATGCAAGTGCTTCACCAGCAAAAGGAAGGGAAAGGAGGGGACAGGGGGAGCAGAGAGAAAGAGAAACCCCAAAACAGTTGGCTTCCCACCAGCAGCCCCCACACAACAGCAAACCCTCTGCACCTCACTTACAGTGTTTGCTCTGGGGGCACCAGGGGGAACAGGGCTGTGCTTGTACCTGGGGCCCTTTCTCAGTGAACTTCAGGTGTAAGCAAAAAGCAGCAAAGTGTCTGCCTCCTTGGGACTGGTCTGGCTTTGTCTCCTGCCTCTCTTTTCCTTGTCACCCCCTTTGCTGGAACATGACCTTTCTTTTTGTTTTTTTTGCAGGTACCTGAAGAAAATATAAATGGTGTGGTCAATGCACTCCAAGTCAGTCAAGCTGAAAAGCATTAGAAATCTTCTGAGCTGGTTCCAGATGCTTTTTATTATTCTAATAATAATAATAATTATTATTATTATTCTTTTTTTCTCACAGTATTTCTTGAAAAATCTGATTACAGAGAGTGACATGAAAAGAGACTGTGGAAAGTTGAGCAGAAACAGCTCCAATAAGCCTTTGTTTTAATTATTATTATTATTGTTATTATTATTATTATTATTGTTATTTTATTAAATTTATGAATGAGGGGCAGGAGGAGAGGGAGTTTGTATGGTTTACTGATGTTCAGCTCCGAGGTGAAGTGACCCCTGGCTGTGCTCAGTGTGGAAGGAGCTGCCCAGGGACACCTGGGGACACCCAGGGACACCCAGCACGGATGGCCCTGGGCACACTGTGAGAGCAGTGGGGTGGGCCAAGAGCAGATGGACAGGCTGCTGCCTCAGAGAGCCCTGAAAACCAGAAACAAAGTGAAATATGGAATTAAACAGAAAAGACATCGCATAGTACTGGCTTGTCTCCTTGCATCAGACTTCTGAGGACTGTCCATCACTGCCTGTGTTGAGACAGGATGCAAAGGGTTCTGCTTCCCCTGACAGAACAATTTGGTGTTGGAAAAGAGGAAAATAACAAATTGTTTGACATTTCCCCTTTTTCTTTCTCCCTGCAGTCAAAGCCTGGGCAGGGGAGCTCAGCTGTGGCCAGCTCCTGGCAGGTGGTGTCACCAGACTTGTGTCTGCACTGAAACTTGGCTGGTTTGGGTCAGTTTTTCCAGTCACTTCCTCACTGTTCCAAGTATTCTCCTGCCATGTCCCCTGCTCCAGGACAGCTGTTGTCCCCTTACCCCACATCAGAGCCTTCCCCCAGCCCTTGTTCCTCAGGGCCAGCAAGAGGAGGAAGGGCTCTTTTCTCCTGTCCCCTCAGGCTTTTTCCCATCCAGTGTGCACACATGGGGAAATAAAGCATTGCCCAGGGTCCCTGGGAGGCTGCTCTTGCACGTCCAGGCCACCTTGGCCAAGAGCCACTGAAGGTTCCCTCTGCTAGGGCCAGGAGGGGGCCTGAGTCTTGTGGGGACCCTCCTGCAGTTTTTCATCACACAGGTGGAAATTGCTGCTGACTGGGCAAAGTAAAGTGGTGCTGAAAATGCCTCAAACCTGCTGGCATCTGGTCCTGCACAGGAAGATGATGGGGCTATTCCCATGGGGAGGCAGTAATGTGTTTTCCTCTGGCTTGTACCACGGCCAGCAGGAGCCTGGCATCAAGGCCCACAGTGGCACCTGTGTCCAGGCTGTGCCATGGCCACTGCCAGCACTGTGGAGGACAGCAGAGAGCAGGGCTGGCAGAGAAGTGTTACCCAGGGTGTGGGTGCCAGCCCTCTGCCCCACTCTGACCATGCAACGAGGGCTGGTGAGAGGAGAGGCTGCCTGCAGAGGACCTTGCTGTTGTGATTACCAGCCCCAGCTTATCTTGCATTTCTTAACTTCTTCCACTTCAGGCTTGACATAAAGAATTTGCAGATCTTGCCTTTTTCCCAAGGGCTTTCCAGCCATGCTTCAGAGACAGCCTCTGGCAGGATTTTCCTGAGGCTGTGCCATATACAGCTGTGAGCCAGGGTTTTGCATTAATCTGGAGGCAGGAAGCAAACACCTGGGGTCATGCCATGGCATGGTTTTTACTGGAGTGTAGGACAAGCAAACACACACACAGACAGAGCTGGTTGATTAGTTCTGCATTCACAGTACTGGAGGGCCAAGCAGTTATGGTTTCTGATGCTGCTGGAATCAAACTGAGTTTCAAATCTGATTTTTCACCAGTGGGATGTTTTGTGGCATGTAGACAGGGAGTCAGAGCATCCATGGAAAAAGTATGGATGACTTTCATTGGTTGGCCCTACTGGAGCTGAAGCATCCCTGCTGAGGAACACGGGGGCACATGTTCATGTTTTACCAAACAGGATCTTCTGCTGTTCCTTTGCATGGGTTTTCAAAATTGTCCCATGATATGACTAAAGGTTTATTCTAGATGTGGCACTGTGCACCTCTGGATGTTTGTTTGGAAAGATGCTGTGGTCTCCTGCCACAAGGACAGGCACAGTGCAGTGCTGAAAGCATCTGGAGATGTTTGCTGTGGGCACTGAGCTGGGCTGGAGTGGGCAGCAAGGCCAGAGGTGGCTTTTCACCCCAGATGTTGTCAGAGGGCTGGGGGGAGAGGGATGTTGAGTTGCTGTTCAGCTGCTGAGTTGCCAGCCAAGGTTTGTGTGTGTGGGTGGTGCCACCATGCCAGAGTCATCAGGACAGGTCTGCCTTCTGCTCTGGGGTTCTGCCAGCCTTTGGGAAATGCCAGTTTTGGCATCAGAGAGTACCAAGTGTTGCTGTGCATGTGCCAGTGCTGCTTCCAAAGGACTTCAGCCTGGATAGAAAGGAAGGAACTTGAAACAAGCAACTTTACTGAGCCTTAAATGAAAGCAAAAAAAAAAAAGAAAGTTTTAATTTTCTAACAGTGCATTCAGGCTGTTTTAGAGGCTGATTTTTTGTAATTTAATTTTTTTTTTTCCTAAGGGAATCAGCCTTATATTTGTGAAATCTGTAGAAAGCTCTATGGTATTTCAAACCTTCGAAAGGAAGGTTGAATGTCCCAACATGGGAGAGTTGGCCTGAAAATCACAGGATGTAAAATGCTGTTGAGGGACTCTGACACTGCCACCATCCTTGGCTTCACCTTTTCATTTCCTTTTATCTTTTTGTTCTGACATCCAAGAAGATTGCTTCAGACAGCTTGATGCTTTCCCTTTAGTGTTCCTTTCATATTTTTTCTGGTGGGAACTGGGATATACTCCAAATGTGGCCATAATTGGTGGAACCTTGTTCCTGCACCAGCCTGCAGTCAGGATCAATTCAAGTTTGCCCAGTAGTGCTGCATGTGAGACCTACACTGCAGGAAGGGCTCTGCAGGGGCTTCAGTAAATATTTTCACAGAAATAATGATACCACCACACTACTGACACCCCAGTGCTTAGTGAGCCCAAAGTAGGGGGGCTCTTAAAGCTGCTCCACAGCTCCCACTCTGAGCACACAGCCTTTGAGGTGGGGAAGAAGACTTTTCCTTTTTTTAAAGGAAGAGTCTCTTCCTTTTATTCCTTATGATAATACATCTGAGCATGCCTGACATTTTGCTGTTCAGTAATGTGTGGATGAAGGAGGAACATGTCTCAGTGGGACACCCTTGGCCTGGGTGCCTGGATTACCTGCAGCTGCCCTCAGCATCCCTGCTCAGCGCTCTGGGCAGCTCCACCTGGCATGGCTGCTGTCACGAGGGATTGCCTCAATGCCCCTCCCCGTGCCCTCTCTCCTCACTAAATTTACCAAACAGCAAAATGCAAAAGTGTTTCCAGCCATGCAGAAAGGGGTAGGCTTTCTCCAAGACCTTTATTTTCTTAGAAGCCTCAACCTTTCCAAGCTGTGCTATTAGAGTTTTGTCTTTCTCCCTCAACCCAATTAGAATGTGACTACAAATTCCTTTCTACTGAGCAAGTGTGTGCATATATATACATGTTAAGTGTTTCCATAGAAATCCACAGCGTGTCCCTATGGCACACCTGTAAATACCATGTTTGTCTGTAGGGTTGTACCCTGTGCATGGTGTGGGCACTCAGGCACTGTAGGTTCACACACATGTACAGTGTATGTGTGTGTACTCTGGGCACACTCCCTTGTGTGTGCATCTGTGTAGTGAGTACTGTATACACACATTGATTCACCATCTATTTTTAATTCAAGTAATGGGCAATGTGAGTATTAGTTCCACTCTTGCTTTTTCTTACATATGTTTAGTGAAGAGCAGCAGTGGAGTCGACCTGAAGCAAAGCAATGCTGTGCTTTAGATGTATCAGCCTCCCTCATGGGGAGGGGCCTTCATGGAAATAATATACACTCATCATACTGCTGCTCTGAAATGTGTTTTAAACCCCAAGTTCTCTGGTACCATTCCCAGGGCACAGGCTGCTGGCCAGAGACAATTCAATCCTCCTCTCTCACTGGGAGCTTGTTGGTGTCAGGTCCTGCTTTGGGCTAGCACGTGACACTGAGCAGGGATGCACTTTTTAAGATGTACCACGCAGATTTGGGTGTGGGAGCTTCTAGGTTGTGCTGGGAGGTCCTGATGGCTCCAGCCAATCAAAGCATCCAACAGAAGTGTATCAGGTTTTATGTCTCTGAAGCGTGATGTTTGTCCTGCCAGCACTGGGAGGAGATAAGGCAGTGCAGGATAAGGGAGTGTGTGGCAGAGGAGGTTGCTCAGGCTGCAGCCTAGCTCCCTGAGAACTCAGTTGTTTCCCTGGTGCTCTTGATGCTTTAAGGAATGTGTCGACCCCTGAGAGAGGCAAGGCAAGGAGCAGCTCTGCTCAGAGCTCTGCCATTGCACTGCATTTGCAGGATTTGCTGCCTTCAGGCACGAGCTGCTGACACATTCCCCCACTGGCTGCCCCACAAGTCTCACCCTGTGTCTGTGAGAGGAGGGTTAGTGACTGACATCCTGTGAAGGTTGGGAAGCTCTCTGGGACATAAAAGGCTGAATTGCACGTGCTTGATCAGAGCCTGCCTCTGAGAAGTGGTTTTCTGTCTTTTCCCAGCTTTGCTATACAAAACTTGAATTCTTTTTCTTAGAAAGAGGCCCCATCCCTGGTGTTGCTGATGCTGCTGTGAGTGCCTGGCTGCAGAAGGGCCAGGGCTTCAGGCCATGCTGACCTGCAGCAGCCACGGCGTCAGCCCAGGCTCCTCTGTTCCCAAAGGCATCTAGGACTGACTTGGCATTGTCCCACCCATCCATTCTGTGGCAGTGCAGGGTCTGCAGAGATCCCTCTTAGTGACAGGCATGGGAAAGGCAGGGGAAGAACAGGGATAGGTGAGTGCTGAGTGATGCAAAAGAGTTAATATGTTCATTTTTAGTTGTGCACATATGAAGATACTGAAGTTCTGCTTGTTGTTGTGAACACCAAAGCATTTTCTTTCTCCTTTTTGACTGAAACAGATCACCCCACCCTGCCCAGCCTCCATGCTCAGCCCAGTATCCCAGAAGATGCATTTGTCCCAGTCACACCATCCCAGCAAGGGTGGGCAGCATGACCCCTCTAAACCCCCAGTACTTCAATATCTCCTGATGCTCAGCCTGTCCATAGGGGAAGGCTCCCAAGAATCACTGTGGGTTTTGATGTAATGATGGTATTGGGTTCTGTGGCCAGAGGGGTTCCTCCCATCCTTGTGGTTCTCCCCATCCATGCACCCACACAACTGTTCAAGAGCACCAGGTCATCCAAATTCCTTAATTTACAGGTCAGCAACATGAATGGGAGGTGCTGGGTTCTGCATTGGTACAGTCACTGCTCACTGAGCACAAGTGTTCCTGTCAGCACTGGATAATTGGTATTTTCTGTTAATGAAAAGGGAGAAATGCTTTGTTTGGCCTCAGGCTGAGCATTGCTCCTAATTCCTGAAAGAAGGTGTCCCCCCAGCAGCATTCTGTTAAGGACAAAAAGTAATTTTCTGATGAGGGTTTCTTCTCTCTCTGTTGCTTTGACTGTTGTGGACATCTCCAGTAAGCAGCTTAAGGCATCTCACTTACCTCTTCCAGTCCTGCCTGCAAACACTGGATTGGATTAAACTTCTATTATTTGCAGGAGAGTAAACCCCAGTAATCCTTTGCCCATAGTATTTACAGGTTGTAGCATGCCCTGGGGTGTATTTACATTGGCTGAAATGTGCAAACCTGCCTCCAGATTTCCAGGCCTTCTCCCCATGAGTGCATCTGTCTGTCTGTCTGCACCCTGCCATATGTCAGGGGCCAGCAATATCCCTCAGGCATCCTGGCAGCACTGAACTGGTGTGGAAACAGCCTGCACATCCCCACAAGGCTGTGGGACCTTCCCAGGCTCCCTGGACTTCACACTTGAGTGTGAAGATAAGCTTTAGTTACTCTGCTGTCCTTGGCCTCCTTCTTTACTTAATCCTTATGAAGCACAGCTGGGTTGAGCTACCAGCTCCTGTTAGCAAAGGTGAAGGAAAGAAAGGGGTTCTGCAGTGAGAGACGTGCCCTGGATGCTGATCAGCAAATCCTGGCTGCAGCAGGAATAGCCTCTGCAGATGCTCTGGTGAGCACAGAGCAATGCACAGCCCCTGCTGTATGAAGGGGAAATGGATGCAGTATGTGTCACAGTACATTCTCATTTTAGGGCATGGATTTTAGGGTTCAATACCTCTTTGGAACATGTATAAGCCAGGATCCTTTCTTGGTTTCTCTAGACAGCACTGTTCATTTCAGGTTCAAAGCCTGGGAATGAATTAACAAATAACCTTGTTATTGCAGATTACATGGAATAGCTTCCCCCTGCTCCATGATTCTCTTCAGCCACGACCTGTGCTTGCAAGCTCTGAGTTTGCAGAGGGCCTGGCCAAGGGAACACAAACCCCTGGCACCTCCTCCTGAGAGTGCCCAGGTCTTGTGGCCAAGGTGAAGGGAGTGGCAGAGGGATGCAGGCACAGCTCCTCCCCTGCCTGCACAGCTCCAGTGTGGCCAGCCCAGCTCAGCACTGTGTGGAGAAGGACAGCTACAAAACAACTGTTGGATGCCCTGGGCTCCCTTGGGGTTTTGTTTTCATCCATTTTTAGCTTTGCAAATATCTGTAAATGAACTATGGGTGGATTGTGGAGCAGACATGGACAGAGATGCCCATCAGGCATCTTGCAGGATTGAAATGTTTTGCAATGGATTGAAATATGTTTGAGAGCAGAACAGAAGCATGTCATTCCCCCTCTGTCTGGCTCTGTCCTCTGCCTGTACCACAGGAGAGCTGACCAGGTGCCATGTCCCTCTCTAGGCAGAGCCAGTGGTTTTACTGGGGTCCTCCCAACTCTAAAAGATTATGCCACAACCAGGGCTCCTTTCATCCTTCATTTTGCAGGGGCTGGTTGCTTCTTCCCTCCTTGTGTGGCTGTGGCAGAGGCAGTGTCTGTTGCACAGCACCTGTGCAAGGTGCCATAGGAGGCTGCTGTTCAGAGTCCCCCTGCTCTGGCTGCTTTCTGCTTTTCAGCATCCTGAGGATTTAAACCAGCTTTCTGTAGTTACAGGAATTAGTTACAGGAATAAGCTTGAGGCTTCCTATTCACTCTTTTGTTACTTGAAAAACATTTTACAGGTACCTGATTCCCTGGTCTTGTGGGAATGCTGCTTGAAGCACCCACTGGTGAGCATTTCTGCTCCCTTGGGCCCTAAAAGAGGAGTTCAGGCTGAAGCAGCTCCAGGCTCAGTCCAGCAGGATGCTGCTCTGGGCCAGGTCACAGGGGAGAGACAGCCCCAGGAACCAGAGCTCCCTCATCCTCTGTGTCCCTGCTGCCCACACAGAGCCATTCCCATCAGCTGGAAGGGAATGCAAAGGGAATTCCTTTCTGCTGAAGAAAAGCAGCTGTCTCCTCTGTGGATTTGTGGTCAGTGGCAAAAGCAGGAGTGTGTGCCATGTGGAACATTGAAAGAAGGAGTCAGAGGTTCCTATACATAGGGCAGAGAAAAAAATTTGCAGCCTTTGTTGTAGCTGTTTCTTGCAATTTCTGATGCCAGCCTTGGATGGGGTTGACTTTTTGAGATCACTGAAATTACCTGAAGAGCTGGTGGTGTTTTACAACTCTGGGACATTGCCTCTAGGCAGGACCAGCCTGCACAGAGCACAGGACCCTTCCCACCAGGGCTCAGCCCAGGCCATGGGATGTTCCCCTGCAGCAGCACCTACAGACAGGCTACTGAACCAGGGCTGCCCTGAAGAAATCCTGAGTTTTAACATTTTGCTCCTTCCTGGGAGCAAACCTCTGCTTTTCCTGGGTGTGTCAGGCAGTTGGTGCTGATGCAGGAGGTTCAGAGTATGAAGGAGGTGGCTGTGCAGGGGGAGGAGCACCCCATTTCTCCTTCACCCATTAGGAACTGTCGGGTCCAGCTCAAGGACCTCAGCCATGTTTTTAGTTGTATCATAGAATTAAACATGAGTCATGTCCTCGTTCTCCCCCAAACCCCACCTGCCCAGATCCCTGTCAGTCCCATGTGTCAGTGCTTCCTTCCTTCAGGTTTTTATTTGTTCTCCAATTGCAAACTGCTCCAGTGATTTCATGGCAGAAAATCAGCATCCCAGGGCAGGCTCTTCTGGGTTCTTCTGGTTGGGCTGGATCCAGGGCTGCCCTCAACTCTCACCCAAAATCCTCCAACTGCTGCTAAAAATAATCCTGCCAATCCAATGGCTGTTGATAACAGTGTGAGAACTGCATGCAAGTGCCATTAGTGCCCAGGTTAATGCCTGGAAATGCACAGGGTAGTTAGTGCCTCTTTCCAGCCCAGGACTGTGGTGTCCCCTGTCCCTGCTGGCTGTGGCCAGGCATTGTTATCCCTCCCCTGTGTGGGAGGCTGTGGCTCCAGGCTTGACTTTGGGGCTTGTGAGACATGAAGCTGAGGAGCAGGGTGTTCACTTTAGCACAGTGGCAGCCACGTTTTCTGCCTGTGCATCCTCCTCCACACTGCCTCTGCAGCAGCTGGGGGCAGCAGGGACAGAGGGGACACTTCTCCTGCTGACCCAAGCACCAGGACAACCTTGGTGGCTCTTGGACAGGCACAAGAGGAGGCTGCCAGGCAGTAACTGACAGGAGGATGCAGCTTCAGAAGCTCTGTTCCAGCCTTTGGAAGAGTCTCATTCCCTTACATAACCCATTCTCCCCATTCTTGTTTCCATCAGAATTAGAGGATGGGTGATCACCTCAATTTGCTTGACATGTTCACCTGTTCCCAGCACCCAGCCAGGCCAGCAGCTCCTGCTGCTGCTGGGATTTGGGCCTTGGAGCCCCAGTGCCCAGGGCACACCTGCAGCCCCAGGCTGCATGAGTCTGGCACTGGCAGGTTGGCTCCTGCAGCTTGGACACTGTGGGCAGACAGAAGGGACAACCTGAGGGAGAGCTGCACAGAGGGAGGAGCAGCCTCATTTCCTCCTCGGTGCTTAGGGCAGATTTTTGTTTGGTTTCTCTGGGCTAAGCTTCAGCCAGCCATCACCCTGCAGGGTGACACTGCTCCTGTTCAGGGCTGGTTACAAGGGGCTGGCACAGCACCACATTGTCAGTGCCTCAAGGGGCTTGAACAAGTCTGAGCATTTCTTTCTTTCTCCCCTTTGTATGGACTCCAAAGGAGCCCAGATTCCCTCCAGATACCTACACAACACTAACCCAAATTTCTAGAACTGCCAAGAGAGCAGAGAAGCTCCTGGTGCAGAAGCTGCCCAGCTTGGATCAGGGTCTGGCTCTCATCCCTGGCCAGCCTGGGGAGGAAACACAAATCTTTAGGATTTTTTATTTAATAAGTTATTTATGTATCATTTGCTCTGTAAGTGAAATAGCACTTTTGGCCTCAGACACACACCAAACAGGCTGAAGTGGGGCTGGGAACCCCAAACTCTTGCAGCCTCTCCTTCCTGCTCACCTCTCAGAAACCCCATGCAGCCTTTCACTGGGGAGGGTAGAAAAAAAAAAGTGTATTTATTTCCCTTTAATTACCAGACCTGATGTAAACAGACAGGGTGGGGGAATCCTGCCCATGCAGGGGCCTTTGGTACAGCTCCTGCTCTGGGCTGCAGCCATGCAAAGGCTGCTTGCACCTGCCATTAGGCTCAGTGGGGCCAGGCCCTGCATGTGTGGGTGGGCAGTTCCTGCAAGCTTGGGGGCACAAGGCACAGGGGAGCCTGAATGCATCAGCTGCCTTCATGAGCTCTGCACAGGGGGATGTTCCACCACCAGGCACAGGCAGTGGTGGCAGCAGCTTGGGATCATGCACTGGACATTGTGTGGCGCTGAGAAGTGGCTGCTTTGCTTTCCCAGCAAGTGCACACGCTGCTTTTCTTTGCTGGTCTTATGCTGAAAAGCTGAGATTTATGTACTGTATGAAAAAAAAAAAAAAAAACAAAACCGAAAAAAAGAAAAAATCCTAATGTTCCAGAATAAATGACAGTATATTTTGTACTTTGTAAAAATCCTAATGTTCCAAAATAAATGACAGTATATTTTGTACTTTGTAAAGTAATTAAATCGAAAAAGAATAAAAAGTGAAACTTATGCTGTCTGCTTTTGTACTGATCAAACTGATGAAAATAAAGCAGAGCTTGGCATTGTCTGTAAGATGTAATTCATTTCTTTCACCTACAGCCATGTTGGGTGCCACTCTCACACACAATTTCTGAAGCCCAGCAGACATCCCTGTGGCTCTCTGGTGTCCAGGTCTCATCTCTGGGTGCACTGTACCCCTACAGATGGAGCCCACCACCATCTCCATCCTCCAGCTCTTTTCTGGAAACCACCAAACCTGCCCTATCCTCTCCTTTAAAGTAAGAGGTCAGTGGGATGCTCCTAGTGCATTTGCCAGCTGTAGTTTTAGGTGCTCACTGCAGAGTGCAAGATGCCCAGGAGCCTGGGCAGCCCCCCAGAGATGCTGGCAGGACACCCCCAGAGCCACACCCCAGCAGTGGCAGGGGAACAAACTCAGCCTCCCCATGGGCTGTTTTAGGGCAGCCACTGTGGGTCTCAGTCACAGTGTGGTTGCACAGCACCACTGTCACATGGTCTGCAAGAAAAACCTGAACAACCTGTGTGAAGCATGCAAGAAAAACACTGCAAAAAAATATCATCACCCTCTCACAGTTTTAACCATTTATAGTGGGTGTTTAAAGGGAAGCAGCTCATCTACATGAACTGCAGTCAAGGCAAGCATCTCCTTTTTAGTGTAGTGTAATCCATTGTTTACTCTCATGATCAAGTGTTAAAACATTCATGTAAGAAATTAACTGAGGATTGTTAATATGGAATGCAGCCTTAATGCAAAGCACTGCCTCAAGGGTTTAATCCTGTAAAACAAAAACCCAAATAAATCAACACACACTGCCACACAATCTCAACACTGCCTACAATTCCCCACAAAAGCAAATGGCATCTCAAGGTAAATAAGAGGACTGAGGCTGTTAAACTGGTGTCCAGACCCCAAACACTGATGCCTTCTCCCATCAGTGTTTTTCCTATCTCACCTGCCCAGGCTCACCCCTTTGAGCAGGAGGTGCTGGGGCACTGGAGGGAGAGGTGGGGAGATTCCAGCCCCTTGCAAAAAATGCTACAAAAATAGATTTTTATGAGTTATGATGAAGCACAGTGAAGTAATATTGTTTCAGGAGTATTTTGAATGCCAAAGGCTAATTATTAGTTTTCTGACTCATCTGGTTTTGAAGGATCCTGTGGAGAAAAGTCTGTTGTAACACAGCAAATGCTTAAGATAATCTTTGTCTTACAGGTGTTCCTGTGTTTTATCCCCTGTGTTTTATCCTCATCTGCTGACAGATGAGACCAGCCTTGCTGTGTGGGGCTGCAGGGCAGCCCAGGGGCCATGCTGGGTTCAGCTCTCCAGCAGGGAACTGCCAGGACCCCTTGGCATGGTGGGGTGAGGAGGCCTGAGCTTGCACAGGTGCACTTGGACTGAACCTCTCCCCATCCTTCCTGCAGTCCTCAGCCACTGTGGCAACCCTGCTGGGCCACTGCAGTGCTTGGAGCTGTTCCTGCACAGGGCTCTGCACCAGGGGACCATCCTGAAGCCCTTCTGGGCTATTTTAAGCCAAACACACCAGCACAGTGCTGATCTGAGGGCACATCACTTGTGTAATCAATGCCAAATCAAGTAGGTTATTCTAGTTCTAATTTGAGCTGTTCCCCCTGTGCATCCTTGGCCCATACACTCCCTCACTGCAGGTATATTTAGGGATGCTGGTATATTTTGGGCTGTCTACTTTGCCATACTTTGAAGGACAAAATGATGCAAAGTTGCTTTGCAGCTCACAATGGCAGTGACCTGAAGCCACCCCAGCACAGCTGGGCTCCTGTGTGGCCCTGATCCTGCAGGAGCATAACCCACACAGGCTGGATCTGCCTTCAACAGACACGGGGTGTGGCAGGGAAGAGGGTGTTTTCATTTTCTGAGCTAACCCTGAGCCATCAGCAACAGCAGGAGCAGCTCTCAAAGAACTGTATTTTAGAAAGGGGAAAAACTGCTCCACAGCAGCAGCCAGAAGAAAGGAGTAAGCATCTGTGACAGACAACAAATACAAGGGTCAGCAGAGGAGATGAAGGAAGTAGAAAAGTCAGGAGCAAGGCTGAGCCTGGGAAGAGGGGAGATGTGTGGGAAAAGCACTGTTTGACTTCTATTCAGACATACATAATTCCTCATTACCCTGCTCTACTTCATTGGCAATAAAATAATCTCCCCAGTGTGAGTCTGCTGTGCCCATGATGGTAACAGGTCCCCTGTCCTTGTTCCAACCCCAGTTTTCCATGAGATTCTCTCTCCTTGTGCTGCTGATGGGGGAGGGATGACAGAGCAGGTTGGGGGGCACCTGGCTAAGACAAAAACACTTCCTCCACACTGTAACCAAAACATGTAAACTCATTTCCACCAAGCAATGTCTGAGAATGCCCACAAGCACATAAGGAAGGCACAAATACCCCACTGCACTAAGCCATACAACACCTCTATTTAGGGCTGAAGATCTCACTGGCATCTCATCAAGACAAAGAATTTGCAATTTATTGTACAGCAAGAATGCAACACAAGGACTGAACCCAGCTCTTCACAAGGGCCAGCCCCAAGGTGCATTGGGAATCAGCTGGGAATGAGCAGCTGAGAGCCCAGCACTGAGCAGCCCCCTCAACAGCAACATCCATGACAGGAATTGTTTGTATCACCTTTCTAACCAGTTTTTGTACGTGTTTTCCATGGTTCAATAAGCCTCCTCAAGTTGAAAGGACAAACCTACTCCCATGAGGCCAACAAGACATTCTTGGGCACTGCAAGTTGCCCAAGCTGCACATGGAATCAGGCATAAATTAAAGCCAACCAAATGGGAGTTCAGAGTAGTGAAGGTCTGCCACTTTCATAGCAGCTTTCTGTTCTGCCTCAGCCACCCAGCAATGCCTGTTACACAGGAACATCAACAACAACTCAAGAGATGTGTCTCTATTTCCATGTCCTTTGGTTCACCTTTCCTGTATTTTATGCAAACCCTTCAAAACTCATTTAATCAAGGTAAAGTGTACACGGCGAGTTTTGGTACAGAATTCCATCTAATGAAGCCAATAGGTGTGGTGTGCCATGGGGCCATGGCTGCAATGCTGACTACAACACTATAAATCCTGCAGGTATGGAGCTGGCTCAGCTGACAGAAGTGGTTTCCTGTCACATAACTGAACCAAAATGCTGCAGTTCAAATGCAGATCCAACCAATGCATGAGCAGATCCTGCTCAAGAACATTCCTATTACTACTGATAAAGATTTTATAATCACTTTATTAAAAACCTACTAGCTTGGATTCCACCAAAATAGTTTGCACACTAGAAGTATCCCACACAGAGAGAAAAGACACAACTCTGCCTGATGTTTGGAGTGTTTCACAGGAGAGTTTCCCATACTGGGTGTGAGATTGGGTGAGAAACACAGAAACACACAGCTGCTGCATCCCATCTCTATCACCTTACTGCTATGAAGGCACCAAGGAATGAAGCTTTTGCTTCTTACCCATTGAGACTCTTTCCCCTGGTAGGCATCCCTGAAATCCCAGCTAAGTGCAACTGAGAGCCATACCTCTGCAAACAGAAAGGGTGTAGGAAATAAAAAAAAAAATCAAAGATGGTGATGTGTGATCAGCAAAAGGATAAAAGGTACCTGAGGGGCAGTGAGCACTGCTCACATCCACGCCTGAGCACTGATTTTGCAGGCAGCTGATCAGGGGCTTTGTTTCCAGCCCCCCTCAATAAGCTACACTGGCTGCTGTCACCATCCATCTGTCCTCCTGCAGCACAGAGAGCCTGCTGTCTTATTTGATAGTACTTACCCTCCACACAGGTTCTCACTCTGAACGTGTTCCTTTGGTGTTTAGTCTTTAGCACTAACACAGAAAGCCTCCAACAGCCCAGAGAAACATTAGTGCCTCCAGGCAAGGGCTGTGCATCCAGTTTCTGCACAGGACAACAGCCTGAGCACAGTGCAGCTGAGGGTGGCCACCCAGGACAGCTGTGCTGGGCTTCAAGACCTAGCATGACCTCTCTTCCACATAACAGTAATTAAAAAACACCCAACTTTTCCCTTGAGAAATAGTTTGGCTCTGCCCAACACTGACACTCCAGAGCTGGTGACAGGAAATGTCCATATATCAATGTCCTGTGCTGTAGATCTCATCCCATGCCAGTCTTCCTTAAGGGAGATGCTCTTCATCTTCAGGCACAGAGGGGCTCAGCAGCTTGAGGCTGGGCCTCAGATCCTCTGGGAGCTCATCAGAAAGGAGCCAGAGCACTCCTTGCATTTCCACACTCCTCAGGGAATGTGCTTCCTTCCTGCAGCCAGGCCAGAGCACTCCAGTGATGCAGGGATGAGAACACACCCAGACACTGCTATGGCTGTCTCTGCTCACAGTCACTTGGTTTCACAAAATGAGTTTTCCTTTCCAAGAAGCTTGTCACCAAGTCCCTGCACGGCCCTGGTGCAGTGCTGAGAGCCAGCAGCATCCCTAGGTGAAAGACCTGACCATGCTTACCATGTGATCAACTCCACAGGCCACATCCACCACCTCACCAGGAACAGTCACCTGCATGAAACACAGGAGAGTGGGCTGTTATCAAGCTGGTACTGCACACCTGGCATTTCCTATTTCTCATCCTCCTTCCACTCAACATGCACCCAGCTTCCCAGGGATTTGTACCAATGCAAGCGCCAACTAGGAAACACAGAAAGAGCAAGATTCAGCACCAGGCAGGCTTGTGCACTGAGCTGTGAAATACTCCTCTTTCCTTCACAGAAGCACATAAAGCTTTGAAAGCAGAAAGAAGAGCAGGCTCCTAGCAGACAGTGAGGAGATTGGAGCCTCAGCCCATCTGTTCAGCAGCAGAAGCAGCATGACTGAACAGAGCATAATCTGGACTTTGGGAAGGTGTGCCCAAGCACCACAGGGATTTGCCTCTTTCATCAGCAAGGACTGGAACAAGGCAAAGGCTCAACTCAGCCTAAGGCAGTTTGTGCTTTGATGCTAAGAGACCAGCTCCTCATTCCTGAAGCTTATTAGTCACTTATCAGTCACTTAAAACTGACTTCAACCTTGAGGAAAGCAGAGTCTAAAAAGGCAAGTTTTTCCTCAGAGCCAAGAGAGAGGACAGCAGCTAGTTCTAGGGCAGGAGGTCACAGACAAGGATCCTGGCACACTGCCACAGCACTGCCAGACAGGAGCTGGCTGTCTGAAAGAGCATAACACCCAATGTCCACATCTGGGGAAATGAATTCAGAAATTCCAGCCACAGCACTGTGATTTTAGGCAAATGTTCCAGAGCTGGTCTGGTTTTGTTCATTTTTAAACAAAGAAGAAAGCATACTACAGAAACACATTTACAGCAAGTTCAGACACACAGACAGGGACTCTAGGGTGGTCCAGCTGATTGCCTCCCTCATCTCCTACTTGGCTTTCATGGAGACCAGCAGCATCTGCTAGGCTGCATGCTGAACTCCAGAACCAAAGACTCTTCTACATCCACTGAGTCTGGCTCTCAGAGCCATCTGGGAGGAAGCAGTGGAACTGGAAGCACTGTGAGACAGCTATGAACACAGGTGAGGAAGGATCTTCTGGATAACCTGACAGTCACTCCAGTGACCCACCACCACAGATGGGAAGGCAGCCCACCACTATGTGGACCTGCAGCCACTACAGACCAAAATGTTCACCTAATTTAGGTGAGTAATGATTTGGACAGATGACCAATACTGACGGTTTTCCTTGCAGCACATACAAATAGAAGAGAGGTTAGAAGGGGAAGGAAGAGGCAGGAAGGGTAGCAAGCAGATTATGGTGGACAGGAAGGAGATAAAAACTGTTCAGATGTGGTGGCACAGCACCAGATGCTGTTTTAGGATTCAAAATCATTACTGGCATAGCAGACTAAAACATTTACTGAATATCTCCATTCCCAGGCTCCACAAGGACCTCTGGAAAACAAAGCACTTCTACAGTCATCTTAGCCTTCCACTCCTTTCAGAATTACTCAACAAAACCACACAGCAAATGATGATCCTTGCCCTCAGGATAACAAAAACTAGCCAAAGAATATACTCTTGGCCGTAATACACCATCCTTACTCTCCATGGGAAATACTGGTCTTCCATTCTTCCAGTTCCCAGGCACCCTCTTAGATTCTTCCCCCACACAAACAGTTCTCCTCTGTCTACACAAGGAAAAAAAAATAGAAAAGAACAGAGTCATTAAAAAGGAAGAATTCTATTTGTGATGCTGGCAAACGTGGCTACAGTGTTTCTGGGAGTACACAGGGTTATACAAGCAGACCAGATTTACTTCAATGTAAATGTACTTGTGTTTGGAGAAAATTATGCCTAATGAGCAGTAAAAGAAACAAGTTCTGTGCACAAGTCTTTGTTTTCCCCCTTACATCACCTGCTTTGGAATTTTATTTGAAGGAAGAGTGCAGCAGCAGAAATTCCAGGGAATCTTTAGTGAAGTGAATAATTTTTGCTGAAAGTTAGACAACTGCAGTTGATCTATATCAGCTACCACCAGAGCAAATCCAGTAAGCAAGGCAGTGAGATCTGTCCCAAGCCATCACCTGGAGACTGCTTATTTGACTGTCTGAAGGAAGTGACCTTCTAATGACAGCTAGGGAAAGGCAAAAATTGGTGTTCAACAGAGCTGGAGAGTTTTGAGCTCCCCAGGAAAACAGATCTCAGAAGTGTCTGGATCAGCTCCACAGCAGAAACAACCAAAACACAATCTATAATACAATTTTTATGTATGATTAACAATTTAATCAGAACACTGTTTCTAACTCATTCTGAATACCAAGGGGAGCCCACTTACAAGCACTCTGCAAACAAACTGACAGTGTCACACACACTGCTTCTCCCAAAGGACTCAGCCCTGACATTTTTTCCTGCTGCTAGCTGGATCTCTGAAACTGCTGCCTGATGTTAAATGACTTTCAAATTTCAAACCCTTCGAAGGCTGGGAACCCACACAGGGTGCACAGAGCACAGCATCACAACATTTGCAAATTAAATGCTTGGATCTGGCCACCTCAGGCTGCTAACTCAGTTGGCCAGAAATGCCAGGAAACTCTGATATCTAGCTTCATTTAGACTCTGTTTTAGTTTGTTCATTCATCACATTAATTTTCCAAACTGCTAAAGTGCAGCAGACTGACTCATTCTATACAGGAAAATGAAAAAATCTTCTGAATTTCGTGTATGAGAAAAGTTTTTGTGTTAAGACAAATAACACTTCCTTGATTAAAGCATAAGTTAGTACAAAACATATGCCAGGAACCATGCTGACACCTGTAAATGTGCTGTCTGGCTCCCTGCTGCTGCATTCCAGTGTGCCTTCAGGTTCAAGAAAGATGGGTGTATTTTTTTGGGTGTGGGGCTTTTTTTGTTTTGGATTTGTTCTGGTTTGGGGTTTTGGTTTTTTTTTTGTTTTTTTTTTTTTCTTCTGTCAATAACACAGCAACATGACCTCTCCATGAGAGCAGGATGAGAAACTTACTTGTAAGGGCTGCAAACTGGCTGAGGCCACAGCGAACGTGAGCAACACGGGTGTCTGGACTGAAGTCTGACCAGCCAAAGAGGCTGGGTGGGATCATCTCTGGCACTGCTGTCTCTATTAGGTTTGGTCCTTTCCCAAGAATTCCATATCCCCAGACAAAAACATTTCCTTCTTCTGTATTACAATAAGAACACATTCTGTAAGAAAGTCTGTGCTTGTGAAATTCATGCCACAACCAAAAGTTAATCAGAACCAAAGGAGAGTTTCCTGTCTTCCAACTCAGTCTAACACTTTTTGATTATTTAAAATCTGTAAATAATGCATTTCCATCCAAACGTCTCAATCTTTTCCTAAGCTGTGCAAGCAAATCAAGCCCCCTAGGCAGAACTTTCATGGGGAAATAATGCCAACACAAGAGTGAGCTGGATAAAATACTGACTGATGGGACAGAGGTTGAGAGGTTATTATCATGGCTTTCCTCTTTGATGCACGCCCAGATTGGAAGTCACTGCCTGCCATTCTGCCTTAAGCTGGGTGCCTGGGAAAGGCAACACTTGCACAGTGCAAGAAAGAGTCAATTTCTATGTCAGCTAGCTCTGGTCCCTTCATATTAGAAGCTCTGGTCATCACAATACCCCCATTATAAATATGAACATCTTCATGGAGATCATCCTTCAAGAAAATAATACAATCCCCTCGCTCATTCCTTCATGCAGCAACCCTCCAGCTATGCTGCCCAGACACCAACAGTCCAAAGAACAGTCACTAAGGACCTGCTGCACAGTTCCACTGTTCTCAGAACTCTCTTCTTTCCATCCTAGTTCATTATTTATAAACATGTCAGATTCATGTGGAGTCTGAAGGGCTCTACTTTCCCTCAAGTGTTGCCTTACTTCCTCCCCATATCCATCCTCATTATAGGCCATATCAGCATGACCAGCAAGCCAGCAGAAGAGCAAACAGCTGCCATGCTCTCGCTCCAGTCTGCAGCACTCACAACAGCACACACAGGAGCAATGCTCTGCACGAGTGAAAACAACTCCTCTAGTACATCCTTAAATCATGTTTCTCAGTCTCCCAGTTCTCCTCACAACATACAGTATCCCCCTGTTTCCAGAACACAAGATACTTGTTTCATAATGTTACAATCCACCTACAGTGCAGCCCTACACCAAAGCGAATGGTTCTGGAAATGAACTCACCTGTTAGCACAATGTTGCCAGTCCCTCCACAGGCAGCCTCCTTCACCTTCCCAATCTTGAATGGCAAATGCCTGGGAACATTCACCTGTACAAGATTGCAGAAGAGTTGTTTGAAACAAGGTAAACTGCAAACTAATACATTTTAACTTGTTCTCCAGTTCTGGTTAGGGCTTACATACTTTGGATTCCTGATACAACCTTTATTGCCTGAATAATAAAATGAGTGCAAGTCCCCAAATTAAGAAAAAATCTACATGAAATTCATTAGGTGAGAGCAAGGTGGAAAAAGTTACCTACTAGAAAGCTTACATGGATGGCAACAAGGCTGAGAATGACTAATAACTGCTTCCTATCCCTGGCTTTTAAAGTTAGACACTAAAGCCTTAAGACACAACGGGGAAGTCAATGAGTGCAAGTCCCCAAGTTAAGAAAAAATCTACATGAAATTCATTAGGTGAGAGCAAGGTGGAAAAAGTTACCTACTAGAAAGCTTACATGGATGGCAACAAGGCTGAGAATGACTAATAACTGCTTCCTATCCCTGGCTTTTAAAGTCAGACACTAAAGCCTTAAGACACAATGGGGAAGTCAATAGGTGAGCATGTCTTCAAATCTTCACACTGGATTAGATCACTAAAATTCAGACTGCAGTGGCATTTTTTAACATAGCAGGGAAAAATTACTTAAAGAAAATGGTACTTATTGGTACAGTCCAACACAACATACATACACAGCTTGATGTATGTAAAGAGCAATCTTTGATCTCATAGCTCTGCCATTCTACACTTTGGACTGCATCTATATTTTAGCTAAGACTCTCATTTTTGGAAAATGTGCCATTCATCCATTTCAGATACCACAGACCTCCTTCACACACCCAGCCAGGAAAACTGCTACACTGCATAACCTGATTGTTGTCCTCAGGCCTTATGGGTCTCAGCTTTAGCCCTACACTAAGGTTACACCAGGAGAGGCACAGGAAACAAAGCTTTCTAAAATTTTGTTAAAGCTATTCTAATAAAATTGTTTGCTCTTAGCCTTCTGCCAAGAGTAGCTTGATTATTGATTAGTTTCCTGACTCCATTTCCTAAAATAGCTGTAACATGAGACCAGCAGCCTAATTACCTCAGTAGTACAATGCCTAGTGTGAAGATTGCACTCTACCAACGCCCCATGTAAGTTTGCTCAAAAAAACTTTTTATCTGTGAGACACTGGAATTTGTTTAGGACTCGGTTATAAACCCACTAAGGATGTCCATGACAAATCCATGAGCACACAAGGCTGACTGCAGGGGACTTCCAAGGGCCATCTAGATCAGCACTATGCTCAAAGTAGGATCACTTGAAATCCTAGATTATTTGCCAGCCAAAAAACTAATTCCTGTCCTGAAATTAGCAAAAGCACTTGAGCTGGGTCTCAATTGGGTGCAAAGTCCATAAGATGGAGAAAAAAAATACAGAGTTCTTAGGCTAACAAGCTGGGGTGAGGTGACACAAACCTCTGCCTATCAAAGTGGGGAAATATACTGCCCCCTAAAGCTACACAAACATGTCACACAGGCTGGTTTTGTAAGCTTATGTAAAAGCAGCCTGCTAGTGGTGCTTGTATCTGCTGTCAAAAGAATCCAGAACAGGGAGAAACATGTCATTTTCAACTCTGTGCCCAGCAGCTCAACTGAAAAACATAAAAACACCCTCAGGGTCAACTGACCTGTGTGGTTTCTGTGACAGAAGCCAACTGCAAGTATTCTGAATTTCCCCAACCAAAGACATCTCCTTCATCTGAAACAGCCAGACAACAGTCCCCATAGGAAGAGACCTGGACAATGTTTACTCCAGCAATGTCACCACGCAGCTTTGTAGGAACACTGGTGATGTTATAGTGTCCAAGACCTGAAAGGAAAAAAAGTAGAGATTATGAAGAATTTTTTTTCCAGACACACTTTTAATGCCTGCATAGGACCATTTTTGTCATGCTATAACAAAATCACCCTTCCTCTGAAATAAATCTTTCTGTCCATACTGCTCACTGCCCACCAGCTGCAACAGACAAGCAGACAAAAGCAAACATCACTTCCCCTAGCCAAAGCCACCTCTCTGGAGTACACAACTTTATAAAATCACACCCTGAAGAATCTCATATCTCTTGTCTGCATGGACCAAAGTGTTTGAAGAACAATAACCCAGCCAGGCAGGTATCCCAACAGGGATGAAGTTTCACAAACTGGCTGCATCCTGTCTTCTGCAAAGAGAGCCATGAGTGATAGCACACTGCAATCAGTTAGAAAACAGCAGGGGAAATGGCAAAACAGGCTTGGAAGCAAACACTTTACACAACAACTTTCTGCCTGGAAAAGAGACCAGAATGTAGATGACAGCTGAGTTATGTTATATTTGGCACAAAAGAATCATGGGAAGAACTCAGCTTTGGGAGCAGCAAAACAAATAAACAGTGGAAATGACTGTGAGGAGGAAGTTCTCTGTAGCAAAAGCCACCACAAAAAGGGCCTGCCCAAGGATCTCATGCTAAAACATGCCACAGCTACCAAAGCACTTGTCAGTTCAAAAGAGCAGAACAGACCCCAAAACAAGAATCAGGAAGGCAAAGCTGCCACCACACTGAAGAGCAAAGATGTCCATGTCACATCCCCTCAGAAGCTTTAAACAGCTGATACACTCTCCTCCAATTGCATGCTTGGATTGCCAGGGCAGCATCCTAAAGGCCCTCAAAAAAATGAACTGGATTGTCTGTTTGGTTACACAAGAGTACTGAAAACATCTACACACAACTGGAAACATCAGCAGCCCTTTTCTGTCCACACATACATGACAAATACATATCACAACTTCTCAATGAGGACAGTTTGCTATATTCATCAATGCCCTAAAAAGCAAGCTGAGCTGAGTTCCTACCTGTTTGTCCATCAGCTCCCCATCCACAAGCATAGACTGTACCTTTCTTGGTTCTAAACAGACTGTGGTCCTGCCCACACACAACCTGCACACAAACAAGAAGTCAGTCAGGAAAGGTTACATGTTCAGACTTGATTTAGTGAAGCATTACTGACAGACAAATTGAGCAATGAACCTCTGTGATGTCCATCAGCTCAGATTTTGACCTTTTTCTCCTGATCACATGGCTCTCGAGAAAGGGAAGGTGAAGAACCACAAGACACAACACAGAAAACAACAGATTTTTCTTTATGGAAAGTGATGGTGCAGTTGAATTGTTCTGAGATCCAAAACAAGGAAAGAAAGCTCGATTCAGCAGTACAACAATAGAAGCAGCAAAGAGTAAATGAGTTCTCCCTTCACAGGATGCTAACCACATCATTCTTGATGCCAGCTACAAACTGCTATGGATTCTTTGCCATGTAAGTGTTCGAGGCACACAGCTGCTCTCAAATCTACATTTATGTTGAACTAGCCATTGTGTCTGCCACAGACTTGGCACGAATTAAAGCCAAGGGAAAAGCCATTCAAAAGCAGACATTAAAAATTAAACAAAGATTAAAGGCATTTAGTCAACAAGTTAAGAGAGCAACTACCGGTATTAAGCACATCACTGCTGTTATTCAAGTACAAACAGGTACCAAGTAGCCAACCCCCCTGAAAAAAAAAACAAAACAAAAACCAAAAAACATGAAAAGTCCAAACAGAAGTTTTATAAGCCTAATTCAAACCAGTTTTAGGATGAACCACAGCACAGTCTCATCAGGTGGGTGTACAGGAATCACCCTTCCTTGGAACAGGAGCAATATCTGCCCTTCTATGGCTACAGGGGCACAGACAGACCAACAAACTGCTCCTGTGCTTGGGAATACTGGAGCCATGGCAGGTTTCTGCTGCCCTGCAGTCCCTTGCTCTCCTAGGAGCCTGACCTACTGCTGGCTAGTCTAAGTGGATAGTTTCACAGCTCATTTCTGGAAAGGCAAAGACAAAATTTAAACTCCTAAGCAATAAAAAAGTGAGAAAAGGGAACAAGAAATGACAACAGGAAAAGAGGAGTGGAGTGGAGAGCCCAGAAGTAGACACAGTACTCTGAGTGTGGCTGAGTAGAAAAGAAGAATCATCTCCTGGACCTCCAGGTAACACTCCTCCCAATGCAGCCCAGGGTATCTTTAGCCTCCTCTAGAGCAAGGCACACTGCTGGGTCATGGTCAGCCTGGTGTACCCTAGGGCCTTTCCCACACAGCTGCCTCCCAGAAAGTCATCCCAGCCCATGGTGGTGTCTGAAATTGCTCTTCACCAGCAACAGGACTTGGCCATTTCCACTGCTGGACTTGATGAGGTTCATGTAGGCCTATTTCTCCAGCCTCTGGATGGCAGCACCACCCTCTGCTTTATCAGCCACTCCTCAGAGTTTTATGTCATCGCTGTCTGCTGAGGGAACACTCTGTGATCCAGATCATCAGTGAAAATGTGAACAGGACTGGACCCCAGATCCCTGGGGTACCACACTTGTTACTGGCTTCAACTCAGCTTCAAGCCAGTAACTGCCACACTCTGAGCCTGGTCTAGCTGGTTCCCAAACCTTTCTCAGGACTGAGCTCAGATGATCCTCTCACCTGGACAACTCTGCTGTCAAACTCCTTCAGCTGATGAATGAGATGGCTTCCACTGGACACCAAACAACCACCAAGAAGAGAAAAGGCAACACAGAGGATTTCAAAAGACTGCAAAAAAACACAAAGGTAAACCTGCCTCTACTGAAAGCCATTTTATTACCACAAGTAGAGAAATTTTGTTTGCATGTAGTTTCATCTGCACTAAGAAGGAACATAACTCTGCATTCTTTTATTTAAGAAGTTAAGAACTGCCATTTTTAAAATATAAGCTCTTGTGACTGGGGGTAGGGGCAACTCTCAAAGACAGTCCCTAGTCTAGAATGAGCAGAGACACTACATAATACTGCAGTACCCAAATAAACACTACACTTAGCTAGAGATAAACCAGATATCCCACAGCACAGTGCAGTGCTAACATCCCTGTCATTTTTTCACAATACCAGGGATCATCAACAACTCAATGACTGACTTCCAGTATCAAGACTAACAAAAGCTAGCTAATTACAGCTATTTTCTCAAACCTAACAGACCAAGTGTTGTGGATCACAGACAGTGCAACGTTTGGTCCTACTAGGGAATCAGAAACTCAACATATTCCCACTGTTCACTTACTCTATCATAGAGAGCACTTTGAGCCTATGCTTTGGTGCAACCCACAAAAAAACCCAATGAAGGAAAAGCACTACAGACTCAAGAGGCAGTTACAGCAGACTTAACAAGAGGATGCCTCTTTCATAATTAAATGGCACTTCTAACATCCTCTGCAACAGCACATGTACTCTGAGCAGCTAAAGGGAGAAAGGCCAACGACTAACACCAATCACCTCAAGCAATTTATGAAGGCTGGGTTCTCTCACTATGCCCTGCAAGAACTGTCCCATGCTGACATTCTTTTGTCTCTTGTGAATGTTGTCAGTAGAGTGCTAGTGCCCAGCGCGGATTCAAAGTCAGGCTGTTTGTACAATGCCTGTAGGACAAAAGCCTGTTCTCAGACTCCTTTATCCTAATTGGCATGCCTATACTAACAGACCTTTTTCACCTTCAGGATTTTCTGCAGGGTTGTTTTCATGCAATTATGTTTCCAACAATAAGAAAGTTCAGGATCTTTGAATTCTCACCTGTAAATTTCATCTTCAACAACCTTCCGGCCACACTGTCCATAAGAATTGTTTCCCATTGTGAAAACTGAAAAACAATTATAAAACACACTACTTTTATTACTGCCCAATCCCCTGAAAGCCTCTTTTCAGGTCCTGAAAATATTTTCACACAGTTCTAAGTCTGAAAGGTAGAGCACAGCAATGTAAAAATTGGCATAAGCTTTTTTCAAAGTCCATTTGAATAAAATTGACTGAATCAATTTTCACGTGCAACACCCAGCAGTGTTGTGCCAGGCACAGCAGCAGCACCTGTCTATCTGTCACAGTGGGGAATTGCCTAGCTCATCCTGCCACTGTCAGAGACACTCACAAACAGATCAGCATTCCCACAGGAGAGGGAATCAATGAAACAACCAGCTCACCCCCTAAGAAGCTGCACTGGATCACTTGGTGCAGCACTGAAGCCACTGCACCAGAGAGCTCCCAGAGATGTGAAGGGACAATTCACAAACAGGATCTTCTCTATAAAGGACTAGTAATTAATTAATTGCTTTTATAAACACAGCACTCTGGGGCTTAAAGGGGAAGTAACACAGGAGTACTGGCATAGTCACCCCAAATCTGCATTCAAAAACACATCTGAGTGAACAAGACAAAGAGGCTGCACTCACCAGGCCTGGGGTTAGAGAAACAAATCCTCTAGTAAAAAGCTCCCAACACATTTACAACTTGAGCCAAGTGAGGCTCAGCTTTCCCTCACAGAAGCAATCCTACAAAGGTCAACAGCTGCCTGCATCCCATTTACAGTGCAAACAGCCCACCTGGGATATAGTTCTAAAGGACAAAACACAATTTTTTTCAAGTTTTTAGTAAAAGCATAGCCAGGCACCCACAGACATCACCAGCAACACTGTACCTCCTTCACTGTCTGTCAGGACCAGGGAATGGGCTCTCCCACAGGACACTTGCAAGACTCGAGTTTGCTGCGGTTTCTCCAGTGGTAATGGAATTGGAGATGGTTCCAAGACATACTCATAGAACTTGGCTTAAGGAAAAGAGAACAATTTTAAGTCAGTACCTTCCACAAAGTAAATTCAACATACATTTGCTGATCCTGTTGTACATTCACACACTCATTTCTGCTTTGTTATAAAAGCAGATACACTTTGGAAAGCCAAGACACCAACCAAAGAGGCTGAGAGGGATTTATCACAGAGGGAAGGAGAAGGCAAAAGCTATGGAGATAGCTGAGGCCAATCACTGCCTAAACAAAGTCCACCATAACTAGACAGTGACTGTTATTAAGGTTTCAGGTGGCAGAACTGTAAAACTGAGGCTTTCACCCACATGTTCAACCACTTCAGTGAATACAGCTGGATTACTAAAGCTTAATACCATGCACAAACATTCTGTGCAACTGGGGATATTGCAAACAAGGTACAACAGCAATAATCACAAAAATGTATCAGGAAAGGTAAACAAAAAAATCTTAAAGAAGATTACAGGCATTTTCAGAAACAAGGAATGCAAGAAAGACTAGCTAGGCCCATAGGGAATAAGACATCTAACGTTTATGAAAAATGACATGCTCCACTTTAAAAAGATTTAGCAACTTGAAAAACACAGAATCAATTACAGTCAACTGGGAGAGGGGGGGAAAGAACAGCAAACTGTAAATCAATACTAGGGAAATAGTTAAGAGGAGATGATAAAAAGATAAAAAGCCTTGATATCAAAGTTACTGTAATAAGTGAAATCAAATCCTGGAGGACCCAAAGCAATATTGCACACAGGCAGCAGTGCTTTACTGGTTCTCACTGCCTTCGATAAAAATAAAACTAAAAAAACCACCAACAACAAAAAACCCAAAGAAACAAAAATGAAAAAAAATCTAGTTTTTTTTTTTAATTAAATTTTAAAAATCTACACAAGGTCTTTTTCAATAAGACTCTACTGGATGTGAGGACAGGCAGCACAACAGGCAGCTTGCCAATGGTGGCATCTGCCATGCAACAGAGCAGGAACTTAAACACAACCAACTCTCTGTCTAGAAACACCTGGAAGTCACAAAGCAAAACAACCTTTTCCTCTCTCTGTTCTCTCCAGCAGAAAGACACATGCCACTGGGATCTGTAATAACCACCACTGATAGCTGAGGGGATGTGGAGAAAAGAGGCAATGAGGTGGGTAAGGAACACGGGGTGAGTGTGAAATATCAGCAGTTTAGATGCAACCATCTAAAAGTCAGAAGGCTGCAAATTCCCTTGGAAATGAAGCATCTACAGCAACACAGCGCTGGAAGCAGCAGGCACCAAAGCTGTCTGTAAAACAGCAATGAGCAACACATCCCAAAGGAAAGCTTGCCTAGTGGGACATTAAACATGAAGCAGTAGCAGTCCCACTGATCTGCACCACATTTTCAACTGATCTTGCCAAACACACTCTCTTACTTAGCAGGGCTTGAACTGCAGAACTATTTAACCTATTTCTGGATTCTCTGACAAAAATAACTTCCAGGTCAGGTGAAAAACAAGGCAATTGCAAGACACTCCTAAGACATCAGCACGTACATAAGGCCCAGCAGGAGCTGAGACCTTTAAAAGCAGAAGTGAGCAGAAGCTTCTGCAGCCCCTGCATTTTGCAGCTGCTGTTTAAGCATGCACTTGCTGTGTGCACACACTTGCAGAACTACCCAGTGCACCCCACAGCACCACTGCAAACCTCACCATGCTGCACTGTAGCTGCAATTTTCTTTTCCTTCTCCACCAAGTTTAATCTTCTGCCCATATCATACACTCCCCACCTTGATAGATTACACTCTTATACATCATAATGACAAAAACTGCTTTTATTGTGATTTTCCTGAACTGTTTATGAAGGAATGTCTATGCAGCAAACCATTCTATGAGGAAAGTTTGTGGTTTTCCTGTCTTCAGTGGTAGGTGGCAACATTCTGCACAGAAATTGCCTTCTTAAATGAGTTGGAGAGCCTGGTGTAAGACAAAATTACTAAAAAACAAGTTTCTCCTTCAAAATGCAACCTACTGAAGTAATTTTAAAACAAGCCCTACAGCTTCACAAAAACCCCACAGACTGTATTAAAAAAACTCTAACCAGGGAGGGAAGAAGGATTAAAGGACTTTAGTTTTTAAAGTGCAAAGGCAGAAGTAAGCACAGCATCCTGCCAAAATGATTTTATTAACTACACTGAGCCTTCTGTCAAACTATAGATTCAAAGCCACAAATTAACCAACATCACACTCTGCAGAATGAACAACTACATTCCAATCCAGGTGAAATAATGAAGTGCAGTGTACAGAACAGAAGCACACGCTGACCAATTACAAAGCACACAAAAACACAGATAAATTTCAGAAAAAAAGATCTCTTTAAAAATATAAAGCACAGCCTGGGACTGCATCAAAGCCTCCTGATGTTTTTCACAGCTCCAAACACATGGAGATTCCTGTACCACAGGCATACTGCAGTGTCACCCTGTAAGTCTTTAAAACACTTAAATCCTTACTTTGATCTCTTCTGCTCCTCTGGAATCCAAGCTGGGAGTCCTTGTTGAGCCCCATGCCCCACACTTTGGTGATGTCCCTGGTATTCGAAGCCAGCAGTGTGAATCCATAACCACAGGCAGCAGAGGTTATCTTTGAAGGCAGACAAAACCCACACCATCCAGTTAGAAACTGCCTTAGAAAAGCAAATTTCACTCCAGGCTACTTGTTCATCAGCATTCATTCTTCATTAAGCTACATTCACATGGAGCTCAAATCCATGGCATGCATGGTCTTCCAAAAATTATCAGTCTTCTGTGATAAGCACAATGGTGAAAACTCAGGCCCAACCATTCTGCCTTAAAAGTTTTGGTTTTGTCTGCATACATCTTTACTTCTACATTATCTTGGCCCCATCAACACCACAGAAAGACCTACTTGCTGACCTGCATCAGCAGATTAAAATAAATTATAAAAACTAAAAAAAGAAAGATACAGAGCTATTAAGAGAATAACGTGTTTTACTCCTTTTCGTCAGGCGGGAGCAGCCACGGAGCCACGGAAGAGGCCCATTCTACCCGGCAAACGCTTCTATTTCACCCTGGCTCTCTAACGCCTCTGACAAAATTACAAACGCGTATTTACTAAGCTATATGCTGCTGCAGTTAAAACAGTCACCATCCCAAGCAATACCACTATATCGACAAAAAGCGCTGAATCACGGCGAAGCCTTTAAGCCGATCCAGTAATGCCCTTCTCGGCCGTGCTGACACCGGCCCGGGCCCACCTTCTCCTCCGTCTCCAGGCGGTACGGCGTGGTTTGGATGCGCCGCGGCTTCTTCCAGCCCGCGTCCGGCTTCACGAAGCTGGGGATGCCCAGGGCGCCCGAGTAGCTGAAGCCCCACACGAACACGCGGTCCTTGCGACGGGCCGCCTTCCCCGCGTACTGGAACACCGGGGCAGCCTCGTCGGCCTCCCGCAGCTGGCGGGAGCTGGGCGGCCGTGCCGGCACGCACAAGGCCCGGCAGAGCGAGCGCCGCGCCAGCCCCGCCATCGCTGCCCTCAGGCCGCCGCCATGCCGGCTCGGCGCCTCCCCTGCGCGCATGCGCGCGGCCGCGGCGCGCTTCTCTTAAAGGGGCCACGCCGCGCTCTGAGGGGAGAGTCCCTGAGCTACGGCTGAGCTTACAGCCAGGCCCGGCCCAAACTCACTCCCAAACCGACACCTAAATCTAAACACACCCCCAGACCCCAATGCAGACTGAGACCCAGCCCCAGACAATCAAAACTAAAACACCCAGGTACAAACCCACAGGTCGGCCCGGCGCCATCCCAAAGCCAAGCCGAGATCCCAGCCAAGGGCAGCCCCGTCCCCACAGCGGCGGCAGGGCCGGCTGCGGCGGTCACCGAGTGAAATAAATGGGCAGGAGACCTTTCTCCTTTTTAATGCCTTTATTAAAAGGAATCAGCTCAGGTGGGGAGAAATCGACGGGTCGCGCCCACGCCGCCGCTGCTCCCAGGAGCGGCACGGAGGAGGAGGGTGATGGAGCTTTGTCCACTGGTCTGCAGGCAGAGCTGGGGACTCTGTCCTCACGGGAGAGTAGCAGATTCCTCCTTTTTGGTCCAACACCCCGGGTCCTCTTTCTAGTTAGCATCTTTGAGGTTAGGGTGAGAAGCAAAAAGGGTCCAAGCAGGTACGGGACTACGCTCCCATCCTTAGACATCACCTAGGTCACTCAGTTCTAGGTTGGCTCGTAATTTTTAGGGTTTTTCCTGGAAAACTGCAAAATTTGGTGCAACGCATTTCTCATCTGCATACCAGCTCTGATGGCACTCCCGTTCTCCTGGTACCTGCAGGATCTCTGGGAAGCATCAGGGGGACAATGGTTAATCACCAACCATTAACAGGTAATTGAAGAAGAACTCTTAACACTGAAGCAAACTTAACAGCACTGGTCCAATTTGTTTTAACTCTGCAACCTTAAAAAAAATAGATAACTTTTTATTCATAACACCAAGGGCAGCCACAGCACGCTCCGTGTGGGAAGCAGCCCTGCCTCAACACCGAGCCCTCGCTGCCCTCTCGAGCGAGCCGAGCAGCCACCTGCCAGTGTGAAATACAAAGCTGTGTTGTGTGTCAGGTACCTACAGGCCACCTGTGTATCTGTGATCGGGATATGTGTGGGAACTGACCATGGGACAGTTATAAAGACAATTCTAATAAATAACTGAGGAAGTAAAGCATGGAAGAAGGCCTTTGAGGCTATCCTTTGTTTGCAATTAACCTTTATAAGTCTTAAGCTGATTTAGGAGCATTCAAATTAAAGCTTTAAGGATGTTGCTGTTTCACAGGAACTTTCTGCTTCTAGCTAAAAAAGAGTTTTGCAATAATAAGCTTTTGAAGTATAATTTTAGAATATTGCTTGTAGTAAGGATCTTTGAAACGATAGCTTTAGAATATATAAAAAGGAAACATGGTTATCTTGATGCCTTAACAAAATATTGAAAAGCAGCTTGAGAAAGGAAGATGAACATCAACTCTATCAAGGACTGATAGTTTCGACCAAGGGAAGCTGGACATCACTGTTATGAGATTTACAGTCCTTTCAATCAAAAGATGAACCCGCATCTGGACCCTGGTCCTCACCAGCTGGGAGACCTCCTTCTTCTTTCAGAAGCTGGACCCCACCATCTGGGGATACTCCTTTCTGAGATACATCCTGAGAAAAACTAAATCACAATAGTGTATAGAATTGTGACGTAAAAATTGGGAATAAAAACTGCTGAAAAAGCTTATGAAAACCCCTACAAATATCTGTAAGCCCCAACTATCGGTGTGCAGTTGGAGGGAAAATTTCCCCCACTGTACCCACTGCTGTATTGCTCATACTTTACCATATTAATTAATAAATTGATTGCTGCTTGAGTATTGGCCTACTGAAGCTTCTTATTTATACCACCAGGAAGAAGCTGCTGGCCTTTCATCCCCATAGCTAAATTTCCTCACTGCCAGCATTTTTTTGAAGATTCCCTTGCCCAATATCCACCTGGAGGAGCACTTTTCCTGCTGCCATGTCCACACTGCTCCTCAGGGTCTATCAAGTGTCTCCCCTTTATTGATGAAAACCACAAAAATAATTCAAAATACAAAGAGGTAATAGAAGGCGTGAAAAACGCCAATCACTTGTTTCTAAAATTTTAAAAGTTTAATAGTAATAAAATGGTTATAAAAATAGTAATATAATTAGAGTAATAAAATTTGAACAATTGAGATGAGGACAATATGAGACACTAAAAACAAAGAGATACGGATGTCCAGGTACCTTTTTCTGGGCAACACAAGTCTGAAAAAGGACCCCTCTTAACAGAGGATTAACCCTTAAAAACAATCACCTGTTGCACATTCATACACCTCAGAGATGATGCATAAATCCCATTCAAACACAGGATTCTGGTCATTCCTCTTAATCCTTATGCCATCTTCCTGTCTGAGCGAGGTGGGAAGAAGTTAATTTTCTGCTGATAAGGGAGCAATAAATTCCCTTTCTCTGAAAGATTTAGGTGTCCTGTGGCTGCTATTTGCTGCAAGTCCTTTCTTACAATCTTTCACAACATAGTTTCAATTTTAACATTATGTTATAACCTAAAACTATATTTAACACACTACTTAAGAAAATTAATACAGCATAACTTTCTAACATAACACATTCAATATTCATTTTAATACTTGTGAAAAGCCAATCATAAAATACACATTTTTCAGAGAAGGGCATGTAGAGACAAGGACTTGGTGTTTATAAGGAGCTGGTAGAGCAGGGCTGGTCCCTCCTCAGAGTGCTCTCAGGACACCATGGGTGGGTGAGGTGGAGGATGAGGAAGGGCACTGGGCTGGGCTGATGTGGCCCCAGCCTCCCTGGCCTGTGCTGGCTGCCAGAGCCACCTGGATCCCTGTCCAGCTCCAAGCCTAGCTGCACAGGAGCTGGAGGAGATGAAGCTTTGGGTGGCTGGTGTGGGGGCTCACAGGATCTTCCTCCATGTGCTCTCCGTGCAGCGGTTCAGGATGAGCTCCTTGCTGGGACGGGGAGGGACAGCAGGCTGAGCCTTGGGCTTGTTGTCCTCCGGCTCATTTTTCTCAACTGCAAGTAAAGATGATGTACAGATGGGTCAGAGCTCTGCACCACACACCACCCTCATGAACATTCAGCAGCTTCCTACATCATGGCCACCAAAGCTCCTGCCTCTCCTCCTGTCCCTGCTGCATGTGTGGGTCTTCCTTAGGTCGTGGTGTCAGGGTGCACCCAGCAGTGCCCTGCTGGGAGCTGTGCTCAGGGAAAGCCTGTCTCTAGGTCTGCACCAGGTTTGCCCATCTTTAGCTCTGGGAAGGTCATGGATACTGCATGGGCACTAGCAGATCTAAAGCGTGATGACTATCTCTCTCCTTCTTCATGAAGAGAGCCTGAACTGGTAGAACAAGAGGGAGTGGCTTCACACTGTCAGAAGCCGGGATTAGATTAAATATTAGGAAATTATTTTCTGTGAAGGTAGTGGGGCACAGGTTACTCAAAGAAACTGTGGCTGCCCTGTGCCTGGAAGTGTTCAAGGCTAGGTTGGATGAGGCTTGGAGCAACCTGATCAAGTGGAAGCTTTGAATGAATTGGTCTTTAAGGTCCCTTCCTACCAAAACCAAATTCTATAATTCTATGGTTCTTCATGTAACACTTCCTTCTGAGGGCTCTGCTGACAGCCAACACACATGGCAACTGCAGTGGTCATGGCAGCACGGGGGAGGTTAGCAACAAAGGAAAGCACAGCTTTCAAATGTGGGCTGACCTCTTCCAGGACCACATTCTGCTCTGTCTGACTTATAGACAGGGGTGAGAAAACTCATTGAAAGAAACACTCCCTGCACAGACTTTCCCCATGGGGAAAGGGCAGGTGGGCGTGGTGTGACCTCAGTGTGCCATCCTGCTCCAAATGCCAGCAGTGGTGGGGGGCATGGGTCATGCCTGCAGGATTCCAGTTCCATTGAGACTTACTGATGACATTGGCCTTGTTCTGGGAATTCCCCCGTATTTTCCGCTGGCTCTGGATGTACTTCTTGCTGTTCCTCCTGTAGGTCTCCTGGCTGATTTGCTTCCGGCCCTGCTTGTGGATGCTCTTCGCATTCCGGATGGTGGATCTGCAAGGAGTGAGAAACAAAACTTTCAGTTTTCATGCCGGCAGCTCTCACACCACACACTTCCTTTCCCCACACTTCCTCCTCTGCTTCACCCAAACCCCAGTTTCTGCTTTTGGGTTTTGCCTGGTGGATGCCAGCCGTTGAGGCAGCCACCAGTGAGACACAATGTACGATGTGTTCAGAGGCAGCTGGATGGTGCTCTGCAAGCAAACGCTGAAGGGTGACCCCTGAGCACAAGTAGTAATGATAGGGATTGGTGAGGAAGATTGGGCACAAGGCTGGAAGGATGAGATGGGCATGAGGTTTATCCAAGAAAGCCCCAGAAGTGATCTATAGCTCTTTGATGAATGAACATACAGCACCTATCCCGGCCACAAAATTGAGGTCGCTGCTGTGGGGCTTGGCATGGCTCCCTGAGGCTCAAGGGTCAGGTGCAGGGGAATGGAGTATGGAGCAGGTGTCAGTGTGCACCCAGATGGGCGGTGTTCAACCCACAGGAGAGAAACTACTGAGAGAAGTGAAAGACTGAGCAGCCTGGGGCTGCTGCAGGGGAAACCCCAGCACTGGGGACTGTCCCTGGGCAGGCACAGAGGCCTCTGCTTTGTCTTCAGTGCCATGGCAGGAGTGAGGTGGTTCCTGATGTCCAGCCCATGGCATTGTCCTCCTGCTCTTCTCAAAGGAATGTGCTTCTCTGCCTTCAGCCCCTTCCTGGTCTGAGCACATACCCCAAGTCACAGCAAAGCTCTTGCCCATAGCAGGTCACCACACAGACAACAGGCTTGGCCTGGCTGCCAGTGCCACTGAGGTAGCAGTCACAATGCAGGGGAACAAGCCACTGTCCTTGGAACAGGCCACCTCATCTCCCCCAGGGCTACCAGCAAACATCTCTGTGGTCAAATAGGTGGATCTGGACCATTTTACACTGTCTCGCATTCAATCCATGCTCCAGCAAAACTGGATTTGGAGAGATTTTATAGCAGGCCTGTGTCATCTTGCAGAAAAAAGAGACAGCAGCAAATTCAGCCCTTTTTAGCCATTGTCTTTGCACTGGAATTAATGAGTTATTATTGCTTTTTATTTTTTTAATCAAAATAAAATCCCTTGCATTAGCTCAAATCCTCCTGTTAGATTAGGCCACTTGGCAGCTCCATTTAGTCAAATCTCTCCTTGCCTCTGAAAGATTCAGTGCACACACGTAGGAAGCAAGAAAATGGCCAATTTGAAAATTAAACAAGGTTAGCCCAGAAAAGAAACTTTGCAGAAGGACAAGGAGAAATGCACCTGACGGGTGGATCTGTTGGAGCAAGGATCTTGGAGCCCTGCATCAGCAATGCTGGGGTGCCTGTGGTAGCTGGGGAGCACAGAGCTGGTGGGAGCACAGCCCTGCTCTGTCTGTGCCCTGCTTACAATCCTCCAGGCAGTTCCTCACTGACAAGGCAAGCAGGTGACACCACAACACCCTGTCTGGTTTAATTTCATCTCCCTCAAGGAAGGGGGAGATGTTCTTCTGCCCTCTGCACAGAGCTTCTCCTACCTCCGCGGAGGAGCACCCCGGTTCCTCAGCTCACTCTTCACAGAGGTGTTCACCTCCCCAGCCTTCTGCAGGTACATGGAGGGGTAGTAACCTGTGGTCTCATCCTTCCTGCAGTGCAACACAAAGCAACATCACTTGCAGTCATGGCTCTGCAACCACCTCCTCAGTCCAGGAGAGAGATTTGATCATTCTTGTGGGTGGTCACAGAGTCCCAGAATGGATTGGGACTTCATTCCAACACTCTGCCCCAGGCAGGGACACCTTCCCCTAGAATAGGGGAAGTACTTTTCCAAGCCCTGTCCAACCTGGCCTTGAACTCTTCCAACTCACACCTTCCATGACTCATGGTTCAGGCCTGTCCCTTGCTGGTGCCATGTTACCTTGAATATTCTTTGCAGCTGGGATAAAAGTTGAGGTTTTGCAAAGCAAAATGTGCCAAAACAATTAGAGGCAAAGTAACAAATATATGGTGTTTTTTTTTTCCATCTGCCTCCTTCTTGGATATTTCTGAAGCCCTCAGGAGAGGAATCTCCAGCTGAAATGTTTGAGATTTGGCAAAGAACAGACTCTGAGGAGAAGCCCTGCAAAAGGAAGTGGTAGGCAGTGGCACCAAAGGCACCTTGGCTTTCAGAGCCCTGATGTGGAGCACCATGGATGTCCCTTCCCTCTGCCTGTGTGCTTCTCACCTGAGCTCTTCATGACATCTCTCACCTGATGACCCACCAGCCATCAAGGAGCTTGTGGATGACTTCAATGGTATCACCCTCCTTGAGGGTCAGCTCATCCTCTTCCACAGCAGTGTAGCTTTTCTGGACCACGTACGCTTCACCTACACATGAAATGGGGATGGTGGATTATGTGCTGACACCTCAGGGATGGGGGCTGAACCTCCCCAGCCACAGAGAAGAGGAGGCACCAGAGCATGAGGAGGCACCCTACATTTTAGGCAATACTCAGGGTGCTTCAGGTTTGGATTCAGACTTCCCCCAGTCTTGTCATTACCCATGGCTCATCCCAGCCCCTTCACCATCTCTCCAGAAGAAAACTTTTGGGTGCAGAGGAAGCACTCCTATCTCTACTCGAAAGTGTGTTCAGAATTCAGGTGGTGAAATAAGGAAGTGTTGTGCTAATAGAGCCTTTTCCAGTGTTGTGAAACCCTCAAAGCTGAAGCCTGTTGAGCAATGGGCACAAGTCTGCAGGATCCTTCCTCTGTTCCACGTGATAAAGCCCTCCTGTCACGGCAGGGCAGTGCAGGGGACAGGGAGCAGGGCCAGGCCCTGATAAGGACAGCACAGAGGTGAAGCACTGTGAATGCCTGTGCCTGATTTGGATGCTGCACCATGCTCTTCTGCTAACCCAGCACCTCAGCCTTCACCCAGCCAGCTCAGCATGGCCACTGGGTAAAGATCAGCCAAAACACAAATCTAATGCTGAGTTGCAGGTCATGGGAAGCTCCCAAGGTTGACACTGAGGCACCAAGCCATGAGATTTATCCCTCCTGGCAGTTCCTACAGCAGCATCTCTCTGCAGTGATCCTGCTCAGTCTGAATTGCCCAGCTTTGCAGCCATCACAGTGGAGAGCCTGCAGCAGGCTGTGCTCTGACACACACACACCCCCTGGTCACCCCAACATTTTACCTGCATAGTTAGGCTCCTGCTCTTCAGACTCATCGGGACCATCCAGTGGCTCCAGATAGGCAGCAGGTACCCAGCCTCGTTTATTCTTCAATTGACAAAACCACCAGCCTGCAAAGAAAGCAACCATGGGCAAGAGCAGAGAGTGTTGTGGGGACTGGCACCAGGTCTGTCCTGGCCAGGGCAGGTGCAGGCATCTCCATGTCCTGGACCAAAGGGACAGTGCTGGGGCCAATCTCTGTTGACATGGTGCAACCAGAGAACTTGACCAGTTCATTGTGCTGCTGCTGGGCAGGAAGACAGGCTGAGGCATGACAAGGATATTGCCCAGTTTTCTAGAACTGCCCCTCACCCTCAGCCTCCACTGCCATAACTAGCTCACATGCTGAAAGGGCAGTACTCATTCCCGCTGAAATTGTGCCAGGGAGTGGGCTGGCCCTCAGGGGCTCTCCTGGGGGGTGGACACATACCATTCTCACTCTTCTCCACGACATCCACCATGTCCCCAGCCTTGAGAGCCATCTCAGACGTGGAGCTCTTCTCATAGTCAGCGATGGCTCGGTACGTTTGCAGGACAATGGGGCCCGTGATGTCTGCATGAGAGGAGTGACAGATGTTCCCTCTTCCAGTCCCCAACCCAGAAACATCCTATTCCAGACAGGCCAAAAGCAGCCCCAGGACATCCCAAGGGCCCTCCCAGCCTCTTTCAACCCCAAACCAACTGGATTTCAGGACAATGACTAATTCCTCCCCTAAGGATTTGGCTTCCCCACAGCTGCAGCAGTGGCATAGCAACCATGTTCTTAGTGAGGGTATCTGCCATGGAATGACAACCTCTCTCCCCAGCAGGCTTTGCTGCTGCTGAGGCAGCCACTTGCAGCCCTCTGAGACCTCTTACCAGTCAGGCTTTTCTTGGAATCCTTTGTCAGGAGGAAGACCTCAGGCTTCTTGATCCTAGACAGGTCAGAGCAAAGGCAGCTCAATGCCAACCAGCCCTATCCATCAGCACCCTCCCTGCAGGCTACTGCCAGCATCCAAGGCCAGGAACACAGATTTCCCTCAAAATAGCAGGCAGCTGGACTCACTGGCTGTCTGTGACAGGGTTCATGTCATCATGACGGACTTTGAAGAAGTTGACCACATGCAGGCACCGGGAGATCTTGTGGGGCAGGTTCACCAGTGTGTAGCAGTACTCAGCCAGTGTGCCCTGCCTGTTCTCAGTTGAGCGCTGCCCATCGAACCACTTTGGGGCTGGGGAGAGGGAAAAGGGCTCAGAAAAAGCAGACAGAATGCCTTATTTTTAGTACTTTCCCAATTACACTGCTCTGAATCGTTAATTTTGCCTGGCAAACAAGTGGGTCTGGCCCCAAGGTGCTGCATGGCTGCATTGTGCCAATAAGGTGAAGCTTTGTAGGAACACAGCTCATACAAGCCCAGCAATGATCCTGTTTGACCATATTTCATTTTTAGGGTAAGTCCTACACGTGTGTTCAGACTAAGCCCAACTCCTGGGCCACAAATACAGCAGAGGCACCAGGGCACCAAGAGGAGCTCAGGGGACCAGCCTGCAGTCAGAGGAGAGATGTTTATCCTCCCACCCACCTGGTTATGGTGCTCTTGCCTCCAGAGCTCTAAAACACTGCTGGCAATCCTGACCCCGAGCAGTGTTGAACCGCATGGTGGGAGGTGTTTTTGTGTGGTCAGTGGCACCCATGTCCCCCCAGCAGTCTGACACCTGTCTGCTCCTCAGTGCTCGCAGTTCCCCAAATGGAATAAGGATGCTTTGACCAGCCCCAGCACCGTGGGGCAGCATGATGAAAGAGGCCCAGCACGGTGGTTGGTGTTAGTCCATTTGCAATGGAACCCCCCCAGACTGGCACCCACACTGCATAGTGCAGGCTTGCTCCTCCTCCAGAGATGTTGACCACAATTGCAGCTCCTTTTCAGACTCCCTTCTGCTTCCTTTAAAGCAGGAAATTAAATAAAATGGGGAAGTTTTCTAACATGCTTTCTAACATCTTGCTTGGAGACAAAGTGTCAGCTGTTCGGATCAGGGGTTCATTCTCTGTCACTGTAGATATATTGCATTGCTTCCTCTTACAAAGTATCTGTGTTGCCATGAGGGCATTGAGCCAACACCAGTGATGGTGTCACCAACACAGGGCTCAGCTCAGCTCCACTCAGTTCAGCCTCCCCAAAGCCAGACACTTTGCACCAGCCAGGGATCACAGGGGTCACAGCTGACTCTTCTGGACATGCCTCTGGGATGCCTTCAGAGAGCAAGGACAGGGTCTGCAGGGCTGCTGGTCTTGGGAAGAACCACTGCCACTGCTCAGATCTTACTGGGGTTTTGATTTCAAGCCTGGTGTACAGGAAATGCTGCACCACCCACCTGTCTGAGAGGCAGCCAGCACAGCTCAACCCACCAGGGAGTTCCCCAGCTAGCTGCAGTTTCTATTCACCCCCCTTGTCCCTCACCTGGCAAGTGCGGGATGATCCGGTTCTCTATGTTGATGTCCCCGGATTCAATGGGGAACATCTCCTTCAGCGCTTTCTGCAGAGCAGAGCCAGGCACAACAGTGAGGATGGCACAGGGGAACACGCTGTGACGCCCACTCCTCTGCCCCTAGCTTGACTGCTTTCCTGGTGCTCGCCCTGCTGCCACTAGCATGTCTTGGCTGGATCCCACACCTCGGCACTGTGTGCCCAGGGACACAGAGCCATTGGCTCCCACCTTCAAGGGGCAAAAGAGATTGAAGAACTGGACCCAGGAGCCTCTTTTGAACGTGGTTTGCTTTGAGGCAATTTTGGATGGCATTCACTCTCCCTTTTCCCCACCCCAAGCCTATGTGTCCTGGGGGGACTCACGTGGAACTCGTATATCTCAGTAAAGCGGCGGTAGACGACCTTTTCGGAGAGGTCATTCCACTTCACCAGGAACATGTAGACCTGAGGAGCAAAGCAGAGGCTGCAGTTTTGCAGGCAAGTGAGACACCACTCCCCACTGTGCCCGGGGAGCCCTGTGGATGGTCCAGCTTCAGATAAAATTGAATGTTTTCCTTCCACCACCCCAATGAAAGTAGTTCTGCCTGCCAGCAAATAAACTGAGCACTAGGGGAGTTGGAATGGATGGAGAGGGGACAGAACCATGCAGGTGGGGGGAAACAAAGAGGAAAAAGCCCTTTCCAAAACTGCAAAGTAGCCAATGGCTTGCAAAGGAGGTGCCTGAAGTCTTGTGTGTTCAGGACAGTTTAGTCTCCGGCTGCCTGCAGCTCATGTTATCAGCCATGACCCCCTTAAAAGGAAGCGTTTAGGCTCTCAGCCACATTTACCTCAGAACATTTGCAGGCCAGGGCTTTCACCCTGGCCAGTCCTCACAAGCCAGAGCGCTGCTGAGTACTCACATAGTGCTGGCTGGGGAAAAACCTTTTCTCGTAGCCCAGCAGTTCGATGTGCCGGATGAAGGCGTCCCCCATTCTGCTCCTGCCCGCAGTGCTCTGCTCCGGACCCTGCTCCTGCCTGGCCGGGCTGTCCCCTCCCCTCTGCCCTCGCTCTTAAAGCCCTGGGGAAGCGGAACTGCCGCTGCAATCGCACCCGTAATTGTTCACTCGCTGTGGTTTGTACCGACCGGGGCTTCCCAGCCCAGCCCAGCCCCTCCAGCGGCTCCGGGCTGCGGAGGAGCTGAGCGGGGAGACCTCGGGGATAGCCTGGAGGGACCTCTGGAAGCAGAGAACAGTGAAGGGTGAGGGTCAGGCTGGCTGCCCTGACATCCAAAGGACTCCCCTGACTGCTGATGCTGCCCCGTGATGGCACAGGGGTCAAGGACAATGGAAATGGATATGGATTTGGATATTGGATATTGGATATTGGATATCGGATATTGGATATGACAGCCAGAGGCACCTTCACGCTCTCTATCAGAGCTGGAACGGCTGAATGGAGCATGTAATGCACTCCCTGAGCCCCAGGAATGGCAGTACTGCCTGTGTGGGGGGGATTGGCAGGTGGGGAATCTGGGACATAGCACAGCCAGGATGGGGCAGCCACGGGCTCAGTGTGCAAGAGACCCTCCCCTTGCATCACCATTTCCTTTCAGTCACTTGCAGCTTCTTCAAAATCTGCCACCAAAAGGTTCCCTTGAGGAGTCCCCGAAGACCTGAGTCAGTCCCAGCCCTGCTCACCACCTTACCGGGGCGCAGGGCTGAATGGGAGAGGACCCCAGGCACAGGGAAACCCCGCTGGGAGAGCAGGAGAGTCCCTGCTAAGCCATTCTGAAATGCCAGTGCACCCACTGCATGTCCTCCCCCTTCTCCATCCTCAGCCCTGAGCAGAAAGACCTGAAAGGGAGGTGAGAGCTGCAGGGATCAATTCCACACTGCTTGCAAGCAAAGGTGTACCCAGGAGTGCTTTTGTCCCCACCAAGGGCACCTCAATTACAGTGGGCACCAGAGGTGGGCAGAGCCAGGCCCTGCTCTGCACAGGGTCCTTGGAGGCGCCCAGCTCCAGCCAGCTCCATCCCCTCTGCAAACCTGTGCCCAGTGCAGCCAGTGTCCCCAGCAGGCCAGCTCGTTGCCATGAGCTGGGTGTTAGAGCAAACCCAGCCAGGAGCAGAGATGCCTCAGGCAGAGGCAGGACCCTGTTCCCTGACCCTGGCAGGCAGCAGCCCCAACCCACAGCAGAGCTGACAGGGGCTCTCCCCACTGAGCAGCAGCAGCAAGCCCTGGCACAGGATCAGCCCAATGCCCTTGTTAGCTTGTAAAGACAAAAGCTTGCTCTGGCCACATTAAAAACATCAAATACTGACTGTAGCCCTGCCCTGGAACTTGGGTGTGGTACTTGCAGCTGTGCAATAGTAAATGGTCATTTACATTTGGTTTCTTATTTTAACAGGGGGACTTCCCTATAGGCAAGGGAAGTCCCTTGCATATTACAGAACCACAAATATTAAAAAAGATCCATCCAGGGCTGTTTGGATTCTGCTCAGTTAGTCACCAGCTAACTGCTGCTTATGCAGAACACCATAAACTTTGTCATAACAGCTAATTTCATAACTACAATTGTTTGTACTAAATTTAAACTCCATTACAGACAGTACATTTCTGGAAACCTCTTAATTCATAGTTCCTTCCTGTTTCCTCATTCTTCATCCTGTATGTGAGCAATGAGAGGTTTTAGATGCCTTCATGTCCGAGAAGAATTAGTTCACAGTGAAACACCACCTGTAACTCTGTGTGATACACTGCTGAGTGTTCCATCAAATGTCTTACATGTCTAATATGTGTCAAGAAGCAAGATTTTAAAAGAAAATTCTCAGAAGAGAAACATCCCATCTGAACAAGCCAATTTCTTTTGGTTTTGCACAGTCTGGTTTTTGGTAGCAGGGGGGCTCTGCTTGCAGCTGCTCGAAGCTGCCAGATGTCAGCAGAGCCAACCCCGATGGCTCTGAGGATGGACACGCTGCTGGCCAAGCCTGGGCCAAGCAGAGATGGTGGTGACACCTCTGTGATAACACATTTAAGAAAAAAACCAAAACAAAGGGGGGCATGCACAGTTTTTCCTAGACAAAGAAGAGGACATGTGAGGGAAAAAAACCTTGAGATGCCATGGCCAGTGGGGAAGGAGGGAGAGGAGGTGCTCCAGGTGCTGGAGCCAGGATTCCTCTGCAGGCCATGCTGAGACCATGGGGAAGCAGCTGTGCCCCTGCAGCCCCTGGGGATCCATAGGGGATGCAGAGATCCACCCACAGCCCCTGGGGATCCACGGGGGATGCAGAGATCCATCCCCAGCCCCTGGGGATCCACAGGGGATGCAGAGATCCACCCACAGCCCCTGGGGATCCCTGGGGGATGCAGAGATCCACCCCCAGCCCCTGGGGATCCACAGGGGATGCAGAGATCCACCCCCAGCCCCTGGGGATCCACAGGGGATGCAGAGATCCACCCCCAGCCCATGGGGAGGTGCCCATGCTGGAGCAGGTGGATGCCTGCAGGAGGCTGTGATCCAGTGGAAGACCCAGAGAAGACAGGGCCCTGCTTCCAGGCTGGAGCAGCCTGTCTTTGGAGGACTGCACCGCATGGGAAGAGAAACCCATGTCACAGCAGTTTTGGAAGGACTGCTGCTTGTGAGATTGGAACCACATTGGAGAAGTTCATGAAGAACTGTCTCTCCCATGGGAGGGAGCCCATGGTCTCATGGGGGCAGGACTCCTCTCCCTGAGCAGCAGGGATGATCTCAGGTGATGAACTGATCCAAACCCTCTAGCCCTGTCTCCCTGCACTGTTGGTGGATGGAGGGGTTAGGGGCAAAATGGTGGTTTAAGGACTTACTTTACTTCTCAGTATCCTCCTCTGATTTAGCTAGTAACAAATTCACTTTGTGTCTCTAAGCCAAGCCTGGTTTGCCCTTGGAGTGTTCCCTCCCAGTCCTTATCTCAACTCATGAAGCCTTCATTAAATTTTTCTCTCTCCTCTGCCCAGGTGTGGCAGGGGAGGGCAAGTGAGCAACTTTTTTGGGTGCCTAGCATCTGGCCAGTGTCAAACCATGTAAGTTTATTGAGTTCATGAACTGATTCATGTTTTTGGAAACAAGGCTTGGATCTGAACACAGGATCCCGTTTTGAGAGAGATGGAGAAGATCCATGTCCTCCAGACCAAGCTGGCAGCAGTGCTCTCAGCAAGGCCCCATGCTCTGAGTGGGAACAGCACACACAGGACTCCAGAGGATGGGTTTCAGTCAAGGCTGTTGTAGTGTTGGAGGCTAAGAGTTTCTTAGGCAAATGGACTATCCTCTTTTTGGCACTGCTCCACCCAAAACTAGTACCAAAACCTCTCAGGATATAAGAGGAGATGGAAGGAATGCCACCCTAATCTTTGTTCAAAATGAAATTTTTGATTTTTCAGTAGTGTAAATTTCAGCTTCATTCATTACAGAGCCAAGGGAGGCCTTTCTTATGTCACTGACACCACAGAGCTGTTACACAGTCACAGAAATGTGAGCCTGCCCTCTTCCTTGGCTGTGGGTCTCTGATGGGACAAACAAAGAAGAAGAGGTTCAAATTTTATATGTGGAAAACTTCAACTCTCAAGAGGAAAACACTGGCCAGCAACTACATCACAGATATTGGACCTCAGCTGGTGGGTATGCTGTGAGAAAAGGCAGGGTGCCACATCCAAGGGATGCCCAGTTCCACCATGGACACCCTGAACCCTACACTACTACTTGGATACAAAATTCCCATTTAAGAGAAAGGTCTACTACACAGGACAGTCTTTTAAAGTTCAGTAAAACATGGGAAATAAATACTTGTCTGCTCCTTCGTCACCACAAACCTTCCCCGCTGGCAAAAAACTAGTCAGAGCTCTTGTAAGTTATTGGAATTTAATTTATTCATTTCTTTATTAGTACAACAAAGTCTTCTTAGAGCCTCTTATGTACTACTAGTTTGAAAATGAGTGAGATTTTCATACAGGGTCAACATCTTAACAGTCTGCTAATTGTTAGGACTGCAGGTAATTTCTTAATATTGAATTGATATTTGGAAGGTAAAAATACTGGTGCAATCATTTTGTCAGACTAATTTCTCTCAACTGGATATAACCCAAAATGTCTGAAACCAAAGAGCCTTCAGCATTGAGTGCCAACCCCTCAGCAGTACTGCCCACCCAGCAGCAAAACTCACAATGCCCACCGTGTAAAGACTCCAGTCCTTTCAGCAAAACTTTCACTTCATTTTTCTTTCAGCTCCTGCATAGAGTTTCAGCAGAGCCACTCTGCTGTTACACACATGACAAGGCAACACCCTGGAATTATTTCTTTTCCCAGTTCCCTTGCTGTGGCACTGCCCTCATTTTGAGTGAGCACTAACAGCTCCAGCAGCAATGCACAGCTGGCAGGCAGCTGTGCTGGAAGTGCCTCCTCAAGAGGGCTCTGAGCAAAGAAGGGGTGAACCATCCTGCCTTTTCAGAAGGGGAAGTCAGGCCAGCTGAAACCTGGGGAAAGCTGCATTATGTCATTTCCCCATTCTAAACATGTCCAGAAGCAAGTGTGAAACCTGGTCCTGAAGTACTGCTGGAGGTTCATTGGCTCAGCACGTCTGTTCCAGTGAGCAGCAGGAAAATGGGCTGGTGGTTATGATGTGGGCAGTGCTGGGTTAGCAGCTGAGGTACAGCAGGTGGACTCATTCCATGGGCTGGGAATGGCTGGCTGCTGAGGCAGGAAGGAGCAAGGCACCAGTCACCACCAGCTCCCAGCTGGAGAGAAGGGAGGTAGGACCAGGATGAGCTTTTTCAAAAGGCCTCAGCATGGAGCTGCCCCTGCTGCCACCACCAGCACAAGGTCCCAGTATTCAAGTGGGAGAGCTGCATGTTGTGAAACAGAGGCAGATGTCCTATAGGGTCTCCCTTATCTCCAGAATGACAAAAATGTGCTGCTCTGAATTTACCTGCTGAATTTCAGGTTGCTCCCATGGAACAGACACTACACACAATTGAATTTAAGGCTTCAAAATTTTCCTTGAAGGTCCAATCACCTCCCCCACCCAGAGGGGGACTGCAGTCTGAACAGCACAACTGGACCTTACCTCTCTGCTGGCAGGACATAACCATGCTGCAGCATGTTCTACCTGCCTGCAGAATTACTGCTAGGACTTGGTTTGCTGTAAAAGACATAACTGCATGGACAGTCTTGAAAAACATCACAAAGGTTTTATTTCTTCATCAGGGAACATAATTTACCACTTGTGCATAGTGCAATCATCTCAAATTAATGCCAGTAAAATAGAAACCTTTGCAAATAATCTGCATTTTTAGAAATTATCATATAGCCAGAACTGTACATCTCCTACAGTTTATCAAATTTGAAAAAAAAAAAAAAAAGACGTTTTTACATATTGTGGCACTTAACCAGGACCACAGGGGACTTAATTTAATTGTTATATTCACAGAATATTCAGCGTTTTTGACATAATAGGACTTAGAGCAGGCTGTAGCAGGTTTCCATAACTAGTTCTAGGTGAACAGAAGAGCTTCCCCACAGCCTGCAGCAGAAAAGCTCTCACACAAGTCCACACAGCTACTGCCTGTGGCAGGACTGTAAGACCAAACCCACCATATGTAAACTGTGTGATACTCTGATATAACATGTACTTACTACTTGGAATTAACAGAACAAACTATGATGAGGTTTCATTTCAGTTGGTTCCTAATCCACACAGTGGAATATTGACCATTTCACAGTCTGTCTCATTAATGCACACTAACCATCAAGTGGATTATTTTATCTTTTATTTAGGAAAAACATATTAATTGTGATAGATATAATAGGAAAAATTAACTCAAATATACAGATACTGTTGTCCAATGAGACATTAAAGTTATAGCTGAAAATTAATGTAGAGTGTTTTTTCTCCAAAGTAAACAAACTGAACTCTTTGCAGGAATTTTTCATTAGAAAAGTTAGGATGCATTCAGGTACAGTGAAATTCAGCTTTATTGGAAAATATAGACAGCCTGAGCTAAGTCCCTGTTGATTTTAATCCCTGCCATCTCCCCAGCACCACTGCATGAAATTTATTCATTAAAATATATTCCAAAGTAAACTCAGACAATCCAAATCTACAGTCATTATTAGGTCAATTCACAGAACTGCTGAAAAAGTAGACATTTCTATATAATAGTACAAAAGGGTTTGTATAGAAGATACTTCTCTTATACAGTTATATTACACAGCTCTAGACAGGCCGAGCAGCTCCTCTCAGAAGGGGCAGCTTCTGACTAGGTAAGAGAAATAAAAAAATTTAAGTTAGTTTCATTGAAGCCTTGTGCCTTATTACAACTATGAGCAGTTTGTATTCTCTTTTCCTGTTCTTTAGGCCTAGATTCAGCAAGCATGCAGAAGCTGAATATTGCTCTCAATAAATATGAGACTAAATGTGTGCTCTAGTAGTCTCTTGTCAGAATTTAGAACAAATATTTGTTTTAGTATAAATTCAGCAGATGGCCTAAAGGATCCAAAACTCTGAACTCCAGCAGCATCAAATTGTGCAGCCATTGCTCAGACAACGTTTTTGTGACCTTTAATAGACAAGTGAGATGGTTTTTTATATCTCACTGCCTGCAGTGTGCCCCGTGACAAATCAGTTTGTCCTTTAGTATATTTTATCCTGCCAGATTTATGACAAATACCTCCAACACAGACTTCACTGATTTAACAAGAGCACCACTGCTGTGCCTGTAGAGCCCAGGGCACAGTTGGGATGCTGGTTTGTCAGCTCCTGCAGCTTTCCACCACATCACTTCATTGTCCTGGGCTGTGTTTGTGCTGCACCAGTGCAGGGCCAAGGCTGTGCCTGGGCTCCAAAAACTCAGATGGTGCCAGGGAAGAAACCCACAGGCTCCCCATGCCAATGCTTCATTTAACATCACACCAATCAAACACTGCTTAATGAGGAAGATACTTGGGTTCAGTATTACCAAAAAACTGAAATGGGAAGAAGTACTCCCATGTTCTTTGCATGAAGCACAGAGACTCCAAACCACGTGGGTCAGCATTTGAGATTTGGTGATATGATAGCATTGCTCTCCACCATCACAAAAACGTAATTTTTAGGAACAAGTGACGTTAAAAATAGAGTAAGAGAAAGATTTGGACATTTGTAATTTGCATTGTAAATTAAACTAGGCTTCCCATAAAAGTTTAATTTATGAAAAGAAAAGAAAGAAAACTTTTAAAGGAGATTAGTTTGTCATCACAGTTAATAGCTTTACTGAGTGTCCCAAGCTCAGACAATATTGCAATCACAGTGAAGAGCTTTCCTGCTCAATTACAATTTGGAGATGTATGTGTATTACCAAGAATAATAATGCTTTTCCACAAAACTATGTCAGAGCTGTTCATAAACACTAATTCCCTCAGCTTTCACTTGCTCTGCTTCTGAGGTGTAGGATTACCATCACACATTTTAGGCCACATTTTTCTAGGACTTTCTCACAAATTTGAAAAATGTGCTTTGTATTGTATTTGGATAAGTGCAAAACATCTGACATCTTATATGTGGGAACTGAGACAGATACAATAATTCCCAACTAAAGTACTGGCACCTTCTGACATTCAGTATTACACTTCATCTCGCCTTTGCCCAGCCAAAAATATAAAAGTATTATTCCTTGACCAGTGTTGACTTCAAGAAACACTAAATTATTTTACCCAGTATTGATGAGGTCTATGATGTCAGGTCTGGATCATGCTTTACTTGAAACTTTTCTTCTGTTTCTGTGTTATCTGTTAAAAAAGTAGTAGTGAATGAAAAAAATGGAACTACCCCACCAATTTTGTTAATGTTGTACTTAAGTAAAAATGCACAAAAACAAGAAAAGCATTCATTATCTCTTTAAACTAATAACAAATAAAAGCATATTCACAGCAATCTGATTCTGTGAAAATTACCTTTTCCACTGCAATGTAAAGCACCTTAGGATCTTAGAGCACTCTAGTGTTAATGAATGGAAATAAAACTGGCATTAGTAGCACTGCTTCTGTCTCAACTAGATACAGATTTCTGCATTGCTCTATTTCAATCTGTCCAAAACAAATTTTAACCCTAGCTAATTTCCAAAGTACAGTAGCACACAGGAAAGCATTATGATATGTTTTGTTTTGTTTTAATCACATTGGCTAAAGCATTCATCACCTTTTGATACAGTTTTATTCATTGTAGGGATGCTTGGAGGTAAATCAAATGAATCTCATGTCTGTGTAGCACTGTCCATATGACCCAGAGCCTGGTTCTGTTCTTTTTACAGACAGTATGATGTTGGAAGGAAATTGGTTTCCCCTGAAGTTATTTGGAAGGTTTGGTATGAGAGTAATTCTTCACTACAAAGCCAGGCTGTTTCACCACATGATCATTTTATACCTTCCAGCCTAGTTCTGAAGTGATTTTGCCACTGCATGCCTTTCACAAAAACATTTCTGTAGTTAGTGTCTGAAGCCAGTTTTGGATGACAAATTCATAACTCAGCTTTTCTATTTCTTCCAAACCATCACACTGAAGGCCCACAGCTGATTCTCTTCCACATGACAGTATTCAGGAACAAGTGTCTTTCTCTGGCACCATCTAGCTTCAGCAATCCCATAGAGTTTTGGCATAATAAAAATATCTGATGTTCCAGCCTTCAAAACTATGAGCTTAAAATCTGCAGCTCAGCTCTGCTGAGCTAACATTTGTGACTCTAACATTTGCCTTCTTCCTGTCTTGACTGCTGCAACAGGGTCAGTCTATACTCCAAGAGAGACTGACTTAAAACCCCTGGAGTGAACCTGTAACACTCATTCTGATTGAGAATGGTCTCTTGGCTTAGAGCTCAATGGCATGACAGGGGGAGTGAAGCAATGGAGCCTGGAAAGGGAATTTCCATGAAAAATGCAGGAGAAGAACAGGAGCATAGAGATTTGCTGCTTTCTCTTTTGGGGCAATGTAAGCAGGATTAGGGAATGAGCCAAAGTTGAGAGTCTCAAGATGAGAAGTGCTGATGCACAGCAGCTGCCATCCCAGGGCTGCTGGCTGCCACAGACACATCAGCAAACCCTTCCTGGGGCCACCTGACACAAAGGCAGCACCCAGCAGACTACAGAGCCCCTTGGGTGACCTTGGAAGCACAGAGACAGCTGTGGCTGTGCTGACAGCCTGGGGGGAGGCAAAGGCAGCACTTACAGGAGCAGAGCACACAGCACACAGCAGCCCAGCTCTCAGGTCAGTCCAGTATTTCTGATTCACCAGACAAGATGCAAAAACACATGGGGGATACAAAACCTACAGCTCCCTTACATGTATGTATGGGTTAGAAAACACTCTTCACCACAAGGGCTGTCAAGGCCTGGCAGAGGCTGCCCAGGGCAGGGGTGGAGTCACTGAGGTTGAGGCATTTAAAAGCTGTGTAGATCTGGCACTTGCATGGTTTAGTGGTGAGCTTGGCAGTACTGGAGCAACATTTTGACTTGATGCTTTTAGAAGGCTTTTCCAAACGACATGATTCCGTGATTCTATCTGAAAAGGATACAGTTCAAATATATTCTTGGACAATAGGAAAGTTGGATGTTTTCCAGAGTTTAAGTGCTAGAAGAACACCAATGCTCCACTCCTTGCCCCCAGCAGTGTATCCAGGCCAATATGGCATTCAGAGCTCCTGATGATGGCAGTCACTCACTTGCAGTAATGGTGGAAACTACTGCACTGAATAACTGGATGCATCACTCAGGATATTAAGTCAGTCAGAGCCTATGTATAGGCATGACTCACCTAAGTTATTGGTGAATTCGTAGAACTCCTTTGTAAAATTATTTAAATAATAATTTTTGCTGCTAAGTATTTTTCACATGATGCAGCATGATATTACTATAAATGAAGAAATGTGCCAGGAACCAATAAAAGACCTTTTCTTGGTTTTGATTGACCTGATTTTAAAAACAGATGCAACTTTGTTCAGCATTACTTAAAAATATTTCTTGATAGTAACTGAAGACAAACACTTACCTCCTAGAGATACTTTTAAATGGCTTGGTTCAGCTGGCTCTTAAATGAAAAAAAAAAGATAGTCAAATGAATATGAATATAGTTTCAACAAGATTAACCAGATTAGGGAAATCAAGTTTTCCCTCAAAAAAGCACCTTATTTTTCTTAAACAATCAGACTCATATCTCTTTGACTGAGATAAATTTGTTCAGCTTTCTATAGTCTGCAACAAAATAGAAAATATCCCCAAACATTTATTACATTCAACTACGTAACACTTTCTCTTCTAAGAGTGATTCACTGTGGCAGAGATATCACCAAGACCCAGAACAACATCATGTGCATTTGCACAGAATACACCAAATTTGGAACAGCTTAAAGAAGGAGCCACCACTTCTCCCAAGCATTGTCTTTGATGGCAAGGATGTGTACTTGGGGCAGAGTGGGGAGGTGCATAACAGAGGACAGGAAGTATGCTTTAATTCCATGCTGAGTTTGCTGCTATCTCTGCAGGGACTGTAGATGACCATGCACTGGGAAAACCATTTAACCTTTGTAACACTGCAGATGTTAAGGAGCAACAGACTACAGCAAGCTCACAAAGCAGCAGCAGCTGATCTCCTCCCTCCCACACCTCCACATGGAAACAGAGGAACCAGCAGTTTCCTTTACAATAATCTTCATCATACAAGTGTCCCTTACTCTTAAAATGTTTATCAGATGTTTTCTCTTAGTTTCCCAGCTTCTTTGTGTAATGATTCATTCAGTCAATTGCAGAAGCTTTCCCCACACTACACCAACTTAGCATACACATTTTTAAAAGGTATACGAACATTTAAAAGCTGTATTGGATCACAGCTAAGTTGCCCAACCATTGGGCAGGAAAATTAACATTTCCTTTCCTTAACATTAACTAAAGGAAAAAATTAACATTTCCTTTAGTTAATTCACAGCCCAAAGCTAAGTTCCCTGTTCAGACTAAGACAGGTGATGTGTGTGCAGTCCCAGATGCAGTCTAGCAGGGGTTACAGAGCTTGGCAGCAGGCAGAAACTCCACCCAGACCCCTCTGCCAGCTATGCAGGCAAACTTCACTTGGCTGTACCTGCAGACATGCACACATTTGAGTTAAGCAGACATTAATAAACGGATACTGAATTGCCTTTACACACTGCCCCCACTAATCCTTCTTTCCAGCTCACTCATCATCTGTAAAAATCAAATCCAGGAACACACCAATGACACAGCTTGAAGAAAATAGAGGCACTTTCCACTGATGTTTAACAGCTATTAAAGTTATTTGAAGTTTAACAGTTATTGAAGTTAACAGCTATTAATTTCTCAAAATGAAATGGCTCATCATGAGCACCCTATACCTAGGACATGACTGCTAAGGATGTCTGCCAGTCCATAGCCCACCCCTCCTGCAAGGACACGTGTCACACTGCATCACCTGGTAGTACTGCTGTGCTAGTGGCTGCTGCTTCTGCTTCTGCTTCAGCTTCTTCTAGCAGGTCTAAGATTAAACATGATCATTGTTTTACTTCACAATGAAAACAGTTCACATGCAACACAAGAAAAATCTTTGAATCTGCAAATCCTGAAACGTCTCACATGAACAGGTCACTAACACTGTGACTGAGATGCAGTTCAATTCTATCTGTTACAAGAAAAACATTCCCTGTCTTGCCTGCAAGCACCAAAACTTTCCTCTTAAGTTTCCATATGTTCTTTAGATGAAGAATAAATAATAAATAATAAATAAATAATACTTATGAGCAGTTGGCTCAGGGCCTTTGAATCATTCACCTTGGTATCATCAGTATAAGATCATTTTGCTGATAATTAGTGGACACAGATAATGCCCACACCTCATGTGGTCCATGGCCAATCTGCTCCCCCATTCCCAACACTTGTTGACAGCTTATGCTGAACTGACAACAGCTCAATGGATTCTTTAATTTCTGCCTGAATTCCCTGGAAATACTATCACACATTTACTTGCCTGGAAGGCTCCCCCTTGCAGAGAGACCTCTCTGCCAGCTCAGAAGTGCACCTAGGTCTGTGAGCAGGTCAGTGGGAGTCACTGGCAACAATATCCTCTTGAGGACATCTCCTACTTGCAGTGCATGGACCTCAGCTTGTCAGCTGGAATACACTGGTGGCTGAATGCATTTGAACAAACACTGGGTTCTAAGGCTCCAGCTGGGTAAGACCAGTTTGTGACAGGTTATTTGGCCTCTGAATTCCTAACCTGACATTGGTTCATAAAGAACACAACACAAGGGACACTGTAGTGACAGTCTTTGTGGTTTGCTTTTTCTCCTAAATTACATCTAGCAACCAGGTCACAATTATTTTAACCACCAAAATACTTACTATGCCTCTCCCTCCCACTACCCCAAACAATTTCATTGTGAGGGCTAAATTGGCCATGGCACTTCAGCCTCTCTAAAAAGTTATAGTTTCAGCAGAATGCAGAATTTTTCACTGGAACAGGGCTGTGCAGCTACTGGAAAGCTCCTGCGTACTAACTGCTACTGTGATGGATTTAAACCTACAACACAGCAACTCTCATGTAAGTGTGCTGCTCAATCAGGATCCTAAATTTCTTTGGGACTCTGCAGCTGAAAAATACAAAATCAGAGTCTTACATTTTTATATCAAGTCAATGCTAATCTTATGTTGTTTAAATGTAAATTTCTCCCCCTGCCCTCAAGTTAACTGTACATCCATGTTTAGTCAGGAAATCTTAATAAGAAGTACATAGGCAAGAGTTACACATAGACCTTAACAACTTGGGGCCTCTGTCACTAAGACACAATGCAGAAAATGAATCTTGGTAGGTTACAAAAATGCATTTATCATCAGTGTCTCATAAATACTTACGATTGTTAATCACAAGTCCTGGAAACGGTCTGGAAAAAAAAATAAAAATTACTAATTCTAAAATGCACTGCGTGGTGTTCCCTCCCAATGTAACCTCCCCACACCTTCCATAACAGAGGTCGTGCTAAAAAATAGGAGAAAGGCAAGTAAAAGAGAAGGAGTAGTAGCTCTTGGGCACTTTGGTTCTTCAAAACTAGCATTTTGAAAAGTAACATGTATGGGAAGAGCTAAATCCTTCCCTTGGTCACTGCTACTTAGCAAGGAATCACCTCTCCTTCAGGGTTCAATTCAAAACCATATCAAAGTCCTTTTCTAGGTTAGTATATGTCATGATGTGTTGAGAATTCAGACCCCTTAGTAAAATCTAAGAAATTTCTCTCTCTAAGGATAAACTGAAGCTTTTAAATTCCTGTGAAGTCGTCTATGATTTGAGAAGTTACAGAAACTGATCAATTTTATATTTTCAACTCCTCCTTAGAATGATTCCAAAGTTTGATCTGTTTTGCTTCAATGCATACAAATTAACACTGGATATGTTTGTGTGTGTGTCTATGGAGATATACACATACAAATGAACCTCCCTTATACTATAATTGGACAATACTGTACTTTAAAATATTGCATAGTAACCAATGAGCTCTGGACTTGTTTCAAAACTTGATATTATGACTGGGAGAGCAAGGCCCAGAAAACTATAGGACTTTTTAGCATGTTGTGATTAGATTTGAACTCAAATGACAGCTTTCTGTAATATGCAGTATTGGTAATATCCTTTTGTCATACTAAATTGGACATGTCCTCCTTCATTCATGCTAGGAACATCTGGGCTTCATTTGACCTGATGTATTCTTATCCAAAAAGAGCCAACACCTCTTTAAAGATGCACTACAACTTCTAATCTCTCACATTTATTCCAGCTATGGGGCTTGTACTCATAATCTAATTAATGGCAACGACATACCTAATGACAGTGAACTTGATAGACTCTGCTGAATCCAAAATCTTCCTCATTGAGCTGAGTTCCAGATAACTGGGTGCTTTAAATGACACACCTGGAGGCATTCCATCCACCAACACACAGCCAGGGTTGTTAGTGATTTTTCTGTATGGAACTTTCACAGGAAAATTCATACCAGTGGCTTCACCTAAGTGAGAGAGGTCGTGTTTATTTTCAAACCCACAGTATTTATGATTACACTGAAGAAAAAGTCTTCAGATGATTAAAAAACAAAATTCAAACCATGCTTTCTATCAGATCTGAAACTATCAAACTTCACTTGACAATGAAACAATTACAGTGTTGGAAATGAGGCTCTGGATTACATTAATGAACTTTACTATGAGAGCATCAGTCACAGCTCCAAGTCTGACAGTTCAGCACATGAAGAACACAGACTCTGCTCTTAGAGAACAGGGTATTAAAGGAGATAGCTCCATGAAGGAAAACAGCATTTCCTGCAATTCTATGAAAAGAAATTCAATAAAGCCCAAGTGAAGAAATTTCAGATAAGGAAACCCAAGTCATTGCTACTATAAAATGCGAAGTAAAAAAAAAAATCAAACAAAACTATACACAGCAAAAGGGTTAAACTGCATTTTTAAAATTACTCTAATCCCAAGTATTAAGAGGTCAGAATTATGAAGCCCTGAGAAGAATCATGGACTGCCAGCAAAATAAATACTTCATCCATGTTGACATAGAAAAAAGGAAAAGGGAAGGGGAACCATGAACCAATCTAGACTCTTAGGACTTTGTTTAAAACACCAAACTGTCTACATCACTTACAAAAGATTCTTTTTGGAGTCAAAGCACAACATTCATATACAATTCTCAAATTTGTTCATTTTAATGACCACAGATATAATTCACTGTGAGTGAATATTCATTCAGTAACTGCACTATGGACAACATTAATTGCACTCACACCTATATAAAAATGGAGAGTAAAAAGCAATTACCAAATTTCTGGCTAAAAAGATCATTTACTTGCTCTCTCAATTGTTTGGCATTTTCTGCTTTTGGCAGTTGCTCACTTTCATCATCTGGAAGAAATTGTTAGAACAGCATGAGAATTAAGCACAAATTTCCCCCCCTGAAGCTTGTTTATCCCTACATGTTTACTCAAAGCAGGTATACCCAAAAACTTCTAAACAGGGACTGTCTTTGTTCCTCAATTTAGCAGTAACACTGAATAGCAGAAATACACACAAATAGATGGTTGCTAAGAAATTACAGAATCCTAAAATGGTTTGGAAGAGACCTTAAAGATCATCCAGTTCCAAACCCCTGCCATGGGCAAGGACACCCTCCACTAGACCAGGCTGCCCCAAGCCCCACTCAGCCTGGCCCTGAACACTTCCAGGGATGAATCTAGAAATGTCTAGAGTTGATTTTGTAAAGTAATTTAAACCAACAAATTGTATTTTACTTTCTTATGGAATACAGAACGGTATGTGAAGGTAAAAGCAAAGTGATCATTCAGTAGATGGCCATAACATGAAGCAAAAAAGCAGTAATTGGTGTTAAGACAAAGTAGGTCTGCCTGCATGGTCAGTTCAAGTACTGACATCTGCAAGTTGCCAAGAACTGCAAGTCAATACTTAATTTATTGCATCATAAAAATGTGGATACTTCTTAACAGGTGGTTGGACTAAGAATATTCTACAGATGTCACTGATGAGATATTAATGAGTGTTAGATAATATTTAACATCTCAGCTAAACCAAAAGGTAACTTATGTTCCTTCTTGACTGTACTTGTATTTCAGCAAACCAGCTTGACTGTAGGAAAATATCAAACTAAGCAGATATCATGAAGAATATTAGCACAAGTATTATGATGTGAAACCAGACAGAATACACACCTTTTATGGTTACTTCAACAATGTTTACATCTTCAACACCTTCAGCTGTTTTCACTGTGTTTTTTGTGGTCCTTGCTGTATTGGCTTTACTGGAGGAATTATTTTTTCCTAAGAGGATTAATTTAGAAAACATTTATAGAGAGCTCAAAATCTTCAGTTTCATCTATAAAGAAAATATTGCAAAACAACAAATATTGGCAAAGTTTTCAAAGAGGACCTAGTTTCAGTTTCAAAATGGAAGCATTTATTCCATGACCTACCTACCTGACACAATTTTCTACTGGCTATCTGCACTCCTGTCTCTGGTGCCTGTGTCATTCAGATGATCTACACACTAGGAGCAAATAATTTATCTCTAGACCCAAATAAATCCTGTGAATCCTACATGACTGGTTATGTTTACTACAGAATGTAGTAAAGAATACATCAGAGGCACAATTATTTGTGAATAACTTTAAAAAATTAATACTCCCTTGTGAGAGCTATATTTAAACTGTAACTGGTAAGTGTTTTTCCCATCTTGAAAACAGACAAACACACCAAGCAACTGCAATGTAGAATAAATCTTTCAGGAATTTATTAACACCATACTGCTCTCATAATTAATATTTAACCCTTGAAATAAACTGTTATCTAGAAAGTAAAGCAGCTGCAAAACTCACCTTGGGGGCTTCTATCAGAACTTCCTTTGATAGCTGCCTCAAGCATCTCAGGCCTGCAAACAGATTGAACATTTTACATACAATAATAAAATTGTAACATCAACATTAAAGAAAATCCCATTTTGTAAAAATGGTAACTAAGTGATATCCTCTCAGCCAAACAGACAGTCAAGAATGCAATGACTGAGAGGCTCCATAACTTCCCAGAATCACAGAATCTTAGACTGGTTTGGGCTGGAAGGAACCTAAAACCTTACCCCTGCCATGAGCAGGGACACCTACTACATCAGGTTGCTCAAAACCCCATCCAGCCTGGCCTTGAACACTTCCAGGGATGGGGCAGCCACAGCTTCTCTGGGTAACACCCTCCCAGGGAAAATTTCTTCCAAACATCTAATTTTACCCTGCTCTCTGTCAGTTTAAAGCCATTCTCCCTTGGTCTGTCACTATCTGTCCTTGTAATTTCTCTTGCCACTGTTTCTGCACTGGCACAGGAATATCTAAACCTGTTCTAGGCAAAAGAAAGAAAATTCTTACAGCTCTCATTAAAATAATCTCCACTCCTCAGCTCCCCATACACAAACAGCAAGCTTTATGAGTAGCCCATAAGTGCTCCTTGCAGTAGGAATTAAACCAATGATATGATAATTGTGATGGATTAAGAAATATGGACTTGTTCTTCCTCTCACAACAGTCTAAGAGTCTGTCAGAACAAAGAGATTATTGTATCTTGTTCCACTGGCACAAGAGCTTTCCCACCATTTCCTCAATAAACATATTCCAGTGTGTATTTTATAGAGTAATTTAGCAACTTGGCAACACAATTTCATTTTTTGGTCTACATTTAAATTCTCATAGAACAGATTATTAAAGACATATGGGAGCCTTACTTTTTAATAATAAATTTTATTTTGGATCTATTTCTCAGGATTTTCTCTAGTCTTGGAATCCCAAAAGTCGTAGGCTGGCGGAAAGGCACCCCCTCAGGCAGTCCTTCCACGTGGAAATCCTCTGGGTAGGAATCAAACAGTGCATATGGCACCTTCACTGGCCCACTGCGTCCCAGTGCTTCCCCTGAAATGCAACAGAGCAAATAAGGACCCGTTAGGCAGCTGGAGTGTACAGAAATAGCATACCTCTGCTAGAAATGGAATAGGGTAGTTGGCACACGCATAATCAATTTACCAGCAGGCTTTGCCTTCTTTGGTGACAGCTATGAGTATGCAGGAAGAAAATTAACAGTTCAAACATGACTTTCTGTTGCAGTAAATCTCACCATAATTTGCTGAAAATCAGTGATTTGCATCCAGCTCATGCCACTGGCTTGGTGTGCATGCATGACTATCCTACCTGTATGCTCCTTTTGTCTTAGCTTTCAAAGGCAAGATGTGGCTGGGGTGTGTATTCCATCACCCTCTGTCAGAGGTGGGGCAGTTCTCTGCTGTTCATGGGGCAGTTTTCTTTATCTCTCCCACAGCCAGTCCTCCCTCCAGGAGATCTCTGCTGTCCATGGCCACTGAGTGTCCCTGCAGGGCTGATCAAATTCCAGCATCCCATGGGGAGATGCTGTGCCCAGGGCAGGAGCCAAAGTCTGACTTTGGCAGGGTTGTTTTGTTTTACTGCATTTTTATTTTTCCTAATAAGGAACTATTATTCCTAACCTTTATCTTTGCCTGAGAGCCACTTAATTTCAAAATTATAATAATTCAGAGGGAGGGATTTTACATTTTCCATTTTAATAGAGGATTCTACCTTCCTTAGCAGCCACCTGTCTTTTCAAATCAAGACACACTTTGTTGAAGGTAATGCATTCTGCCACTTTCTCTTCTGGAGAACAGTACCAAGGACAGATGAGATTCATGCTCTTGTTCAAGAGTCCACACTCAGCTGAGTAATGAGAAGCCATTACTTCCAAAAGTCACTCATTTCCAAACAGCCTGCACTAACTGTTGGAATATAATTGAGCAATTTCTCCAGATACCACCCATAACCTATTTTGAGTCATGCAGAGTCAAAGTCCCATCTATAAGCAGAGTGATGAAAGCTCAAAATGATGTGCCAGCATGTGACATCACTGTGGCTCATTAAAGAAATTGTAATCCAACTACAACTTGCCCATTTTCAAACCCAAGTAAAATAACAAGTGGAAATGTGACATTGGATTGCAAGCACATGAGAATGAACTCAGATGGGAAACTGTAAGGTACACAAGGATTGCAGGAGCTCTGGAATAAGCAGATGAACACCTCTCATACATTTATCTAACTGCATGTTCATAAGAAAGGCATCTCAGTAATAAAGAATCAATAAACATACCACATTTTTCATTAAAAAGATCTTCTACTTTCTCCTTCAAGTCATTGATTTTGGCATTCCACAGCTCTTCCAGGAAGAAATTGGATGTATTAGAACAACACTTACACAATGAATCACTTTGAATTTTAACAAATCTTTAATAAATTATTATGCTTGATAACCAATTTACTGTGGCAGTAAAAATGTGCAAAATGGCTTTCATTTTGCAAAACTATATCCACATCAATCCTTATTTTCCTGAAGCTTTGAAATACACTGTAACTAAATAAAGCAATTGTGATTAAAAGCAAAATTAATCCAAGAGTGATTCTTATTTACTATCAGATAGCATAAAATTTACTATCAGATAACAGAAAATTTATTCATCTGAACGACCCAAAATAGTGGCAGAAAGTTCCTCCTATGTTCAATGACACAGCCCTGAAATACATGCCTCTCTCCTGAGAACTTTAATCTCTAGCACAGTTTCTACTTTAGTGGTGAGATGAAAAGTCCATTTAATTTAAGCATTTTGTTTCTGACAGCCATCAGAGCAATTTCCAAACCAGTTTACTTGTGGCTGCACTAAGTGAGCCATGGCTGGTATACAAAACTAAAACCTCAGTCTAGAGTTTAAAAAAAGTTGCAGATTAAAAAAAAAAAAAAGCTTAGGTCTAACAAGCAACAGGAAAGTCCAAGCAAACTGTTTGCAACTCTGAATATGAATACCACCCTAAATCAGTAGCTAAATCAGTATCTCATTCATTCTGAACTTGGTAGGAGTAAATAATTCATTTCTTATAGGTTTTTTGACCATACAGCTTTACTAAAGAAAGCATAGGGCACAAAAAAGATAAGCAAATAACAGCAAATTCCTACATGAATATAAGCAAATAAACTCAGAATGTGAGTATGCTGAAAGAAAGGTTTACTGAGACATGGAACTACTTACAGTTATTTTGAATGCAGTCACTCATCTCACTTGACAATGAAGAATTTTTCTGGATTGCAAATTCAATGCTGAGATTTCTGTTCCAGAGCACTGCACTAACAGGCCTGGGCCTCCATGGCCAAAAGCTCTGGCCTGCATTCATGAACACAACTACTTTCAGGGCTTTCAGCCCTGTCCAGCTTTTCCTTCACTGATTTTCTACAGCTGGAGAGGCCAGTCATGGCAATCATGCACAATCAGCTCTGACAGGTCATGGCTTACTAATGCTGGCTCAAATCCTTCCTGGTCCCTACATCCTACCTAGGTATCTCTGCACAGTGATGTCAATATTTCAAATTTGTGGAGGGTTTATGAAATTTATGCACATTATGCTGGGTTTATGCACTTGATGGTACTTTGTACCAGAAAAGTCCTTCAAGGGTCTGCAGCACTGTGCAGTAACAGAGCAGCACAAATCTAAAACTGCCTTTGCACCTGAATCAATGATATCTAATGGATCTGGGCTGCATTTGTACAGCATACTCCACATATCATCCGGTATTTCTCCGCTGGAAATTACTACACATAATGAAGAACTGAATGTACACAAAAGGGAGGACTTCAGTCATTCACTAACTACATCAGAATATGAACTCAAAATATCTGATATGTAATCTGGATGTTCCATACCAACATTAAAGAATGCATGGGTGCTAGTTCTCCCAATACTTACCAAAACAAAACCCTCTTCCTTGTTGCTTCAAATTTTCATTGGAGTCACTGGTATGAGAATTAGCTTCTGCATTTGTGGTTTGGTCTTTTTTAGGACCTATGAAGAGACATTACATATATAAGGCAGAGAAGAAACAAGACATCATACAAAAAGAACAATGCATCAAACTTGATTACTAGAGAAATCTTCAATTCTGAATCAAGAGTAGAATTAAAAAAACCCACCCTTGTTGGTTCTAGAGTTGTATTTAAGAATTTAATGCTACTGACCACATCTGTGATCTCTCTGTTCAGGACCACAGCAGTTCCCCACATTTCTGCTTAGAATAATGGGCCCAAGCAAGCTGTCAAAACTGCAACATTTTACATAAGCATCATCTACACAGTTTGTTTCAGAAATGAAAAATAGAGGCGCTTTTATATTGAAGTGTATCTGGAGCCCTCAAGAGTTTGCTACATGAAATGTATGTTACTTATGAGATATGAAAGCTTAGAAGAACAGAAAATATAGAAGAATATAATAAAAGAACATCAGAAGAATATTTATTTCTTCCATACTGTCTTCAATAGTAACTACAATCTCTGGGACACTTGAATTTTCTGAAGAGCTTCGTGACCTTCTGGAAGTCCTTGGACCTTTGGAAGGACCAATTCCTGGAAGCCAAAGAACACAAGGTGTAAAGCACAAAGTTTGCACACCTAACAAAGGAACAGCTGTATTCTAACCATTCTAACAGACTGAACTAAGCAGAGTCTACACAGTAAAACCTGAACAATACAGTGATGCTCACAATCCTAAGAAGTAGGTTTAGTGCTCTTGAAAAAAAACACATCTAGATTTTCCACTAATTCAGAAGAAAAGACTTGGTTTTTTTTAAGTGTGAAGGAGAGTTTTGGTACTTTTTATTATCTAAAACCCCCAAAAATTACTAACATCTGAATTTTCTACAGACAAAAGATTCTTTAATTCTTTTCTTATAAAACACCATTATTGTTTACAGCAGTTCACAGCTCTCAGTTAAAAATGGTTGAAGCCATTAAAAGTGAAATAAAAGTTGTCAAAATTGAGGAAATTCAATTTTCTGTACCAGAACAGTCAAGTAGAAAAGCAGATATATTTATGGTTTGAGTGTCTTTCTCAAATAACAGCAGATTTAGAGGCTACTATGCTAGATCATCTTAAATAATGCCTTTTATTTACAACACCTGTCTTTTCAACCACAAAGATCTCTCAGTCTGCTAGGGAAGCAGAAAAGAAGTATTTACAAATGGATGGCAGCACATAATATTGAATTGCTTACCTTTTTTCTTTAGTTTACTAGCCAGTCTTAGAGGCAAATGGGGAATGATAAGCTCAAGCCTAGAAGTTGAACAGAACAAATCCAATCAATTGCAAGACAAGTCATATAGCAAAAAGTTACTAATTTCTTGGAATTCAGTTGAGTTCCTATTCACATAATATCAGCTCTCTACAAGGAAATTCTGTTAGAAGCACGGATGACTCTCCATCTACTATAACAACAAAAAAAATAGAAAACATAAAGCTGTACTTTCTATTCTGCAATTTTCTTCTGGGTTTACTTCAAGCAAAGAAAAATACAGAAAAAGAAAAAAAAGAAGGAACTAAGCTTCCAGGTACAAGACCATTCCCCCCCCTCAATTCTTGCTGAATGAAATATACAATTTATACATCTACAGAAATTTAATGAGGAATGTACGTCCTTGCATGAGATAAATGGATGACTCTCCATCTACCATAAGAACAAAAAAAAATAGAGAACATAAAGCTGTACTTTCTATTCTGCAATTGTCTTCTGGGTTTACTTCAAGCAAAGAAAAATACAGAAAAAGAAAAAAAAGAGAAGGAACTAAGCTTCCAGGTACAAGACCATTCCCCCCCCTCAATTCTTGCTGAATGAAATATACAATTTATACATCTACAGAAATTTAATGAGGAATGTACGTCCTTGCATGAGATAAAACATATGTGCAAAATATTCTTTGTGTTTCATGGAAGCAGAGTTTAGGTAGCATTTAAAGCCTAGAGCTGCTGGGAATGAAGTCAAGTAACTTCAAAATCAGAGGTAACAATAACTGGACAAACTTACTTCTTAATAACAAATTTGATTTTGGTACTCCCACGGATGATTCTTTCAAGGCGTGGAATTCCAAACCACGTGGGACTCCGGAAGGGGACTCCTTCTGGCAAGCCCTCCACCACCAAGTAGTCAGGGTTTGATTCAAACAGAGAATAGGGAACTTTCACTGAATCGGAAACCTCTGAAAGCCCCAGAGCTTCAGCTGAAAATAGAGATTAAATGATATATTACAGACTTCAATGGGTGGAATTTTATCTCAAGTGATTTTAAGAATCTTGTCTTACAAAGGCTCTGCTACTCAAAGCTAACAAGCCCCCTGAAAAAAATAGAAATATTTAAATATATTTTAACAGATTCCTTATTATTTTCTGTGGAGTAACTGCAAATGGGAACTTGGCCCATCTTGTTACAGATAACAACTCATATAGGCCTACAGTGCCTAATATTTTATTTTGAGAACTTCTCTTCATCCAAAAGCTTTTGAGCAATCATCTCGTCACACAACCAGAAAAATAATGGCCTAGGATGCTGTTATAAAAACATTTGTGTCAGTTATAGGAAAGAGTAAGTATAACATAGGTAAGAGGAGTCAAGATTTCCATATCTGTCCTAGTTTACTTCTGATGCTTAAGTAAATACAGTAACATTTAAATAGAGGAGTTTTAAAATGCAGCAGCATTACAGAACAGTTCATTTAGCATTTAACTTACCAAACTTCACACTAAATATATCTTCTACTTGCTTTCTTAGCTTTGTGATCTTGGAATTCCAATCTTCTCTCGCTGAAAACCAGAAATAGGTGTCAGAGAATCACCCAGCTCTAGATACAGAGGTACATTTAAACATACTTCTTTCAACATGAGAACATGAAAACTAACAACACAATTACATCTGATTAGACAGGGACACACAATGAGTAATGATTATTAATAGCAGCTTAAATGATACACGTAATTTCCTCTACATAATGAAAAATCTATTTAAATGTAGTTACGAATTTCAAACACTGACCCTAGCAGAACAACTTGGTCTTCAGAGCCTTCAGATGCAGGAAGAAATTATTTTAGTGGTTCTCCCTGTTAAAGGCACATAATGCTTTCAAGAAGACACTATAATTCCTTAGCAACAGAGACCTGAAAGAGCTCAGGGTCACCTGTGAAATCCCAAGGGACTCCAGACCTTTGATTCAGGCCAGGACAGTAACTCCAGCTCTCTGGGGCTCTGAAGGTGACCTAGGCTAGTTATTCAAAGGCAGCTGGGACTGCATCAGGATTTCAAAATCCAGACATCCATCCATGTTCACGGTGACCAGCTCATTCCTTCCAACCCTCATGAAGAAAATCCCAGCACACCCATCACACATGGGTTCCTTCTTGAAAAATGCTGCATTGATCTAGATGTGTTTCCCCATCAAACCCTTCCATTCCCACCTGGAGACAGCACCTGTCTTACCTTGAGGGTTTGACCTGTGCTGAGTACCGTCGTATGAAGCGTGAGTTAGCAGCTCTGGCCTGCAACCAGGACACAAACAATCTGCTTATCCTTGTCATAAATTAAATACCACTACCTATTATGACATGAACTGAAGAGTTTGAATTGTTCCATTATTTTTTTCACATATGTCAACATGTTAAACAGATGCAAAACATATTTTGAAATATTTGTCTGGATTGCAAATGCCCACTTTATGATGCAGAATATTCAATGTGCCTATTTGGTATTTAGAGACCAAATGCTTAATGACTTAATGAAACCAGCTGCTTGATTACACATAGGGTGTTTGTTTGGACTTTTTCTTAAAAAACCCTCCATGTTCAGACTTACCTTTTAATCACAAATTTTATTCTGTGGCCTGCTTGAATTATTTGTTCAAGGCAAGGGATTCCATACCAGGAGGGACTCCTGAAGGGGACGTTCTCTGGCAGCCCTTCAACATAGAGGTCATTTGGATGAGCTTCAAATTTCTTGTATGGAACAGCTCTGGGGTCACTGCTCCCCAAAGCCTGGGCTGTTGGAACAAAATGCATCCAGTTACTGGACAGACTGGCAAATCAACCTTTATTAAAAGCTAGCTGATACCAATTCCTCAGGCTGTTGCAACTGTGCTCTTAAAATGTGGAACAATGCAGGACATCTAAATCCAACAAAACCCAAACCTCTGCATGTAAAAAAATGTTAAAAATTTGCCATATTCTATGATGTTGCTGTTGGGCAGTCACAGTACCAGACTGGACTGCTTACTGGGGCATAATACATTTGTTTTATCCAAAGTTGATAATCTGTTGTAGAGTATCATGAAAAAATTTATTCTAGGTCTTACGAAGTTGACCTTTTTTTCATATTGGACAGAACATAAAAATTCACCTAAAAATGTTTTAATACTAATTATGTTTTAATACTAATTGTTTTAACACTAACTATGATGATATTGCAGTGGATATAAGTAAACAGCTGTTTTACCACAAAAGGAAAAAAATCCAAACAGGAAGGAATCAAGAGCAATCAGAAGAACTGTATATGTAAGAGTTAAAATTCTATTTAAACTATGAATTTACCTTGTATTAGCAGTAAACTAAAACATTCTTTATCACTGAACTTCTAGAATTTTAAATATTTGAAGAAAAAAAAATCTGAACAAAGGTCTCATTCATGCAGACGTTCAAAGGAAGGAATGAAAGCAACCTTCAAGAAATACAAAGCCATTCAGAAAAGAAGATAATAATACTGTACTTACCATACATTTTACAGAAAAGTTGATCTACCATCTTTCTCAGTTTGGTGACTCTGGAATGCCAGTCCTCTTTCACTGTATTTGAGACTGACACAGAACAAAACCAACATTCCTTAATTATACTGGTTATATTTTCAGTTGTTCAGTTTATACAATGCATAATCATCCTGCATTTTCAGGTAACAAAATGTTGTATGTAAGAAGTATGGATTCAATGTGGAACTAGAAAAAATGACCATAAAATAATGACAGAATATTAAAACTGACAAAACTCCGCTGAACCAGTGACATCACTGCTGCTACAAAATACACACAATGTTTTGGCCTGAAGAACTGCAATCATCCACCTCCAAACTGCAGATTCCACTTGGAGATGGAAATAGTTTTTCAATGGTTTCATTTCCTGATGAATTTATTGATATTCAGTTCAGAATTAGGAATGCGTACGGAATGAAAATTTGCTTTTAAGGGAACAAACCACATACAATACAAATCACTTTTTGCTCTTGAATATGTCTTTGTGACTAACAAGTGAAGCTTCCCAGTCTCAAAGAAGACACTGGCCAGCTTACACACCAGGGGTTTAGTCAGAATGCAAAAGCAATGACTTGTGCTCCATACTTGCACCAGACTGGGCTCTCAGCATAAGCACCAGCTGACACATCCTGAGATCCAACTGGTCTGTCTTGCAGCCAGTATCAGCCTTCTCAGAGTTTCTGCACTGAGGCCATTCCACAAAACCTTCCTGACCAGACTACCTCCCACAGGAATGCAAATGAAAATCATCTTTTCCTCTGCCAGTCAAAATACAGGTTTCATGCTCATCCCATCCCTTTCCTGCTGGGGACACAAGCTGTCAGGGCCTATGAACAGAGCAGGAATTGGACATGGAGCCACGAGGAGCTGAGAGAGCAGGGGCTGGTGCTCCACAGCTCTGTATCCTGAGATGGCAGTAGACACAGGGAGCAGCAGAGGAAATAATAAATTACTGGGAAAGAGGGAATCCAAACAGGAAGAAAACTGCAGGAAAGGAGGCTCAGACAGCTGCTGTCTCCTGTGCTCTCTGAGATGTTACTGACAGCTCCCAGGGATGCTCTCTTCTCTTATTAGAGAGAATGCAGAGGTCACACGTTTCTCTATCAAATGGTAGCTGGTGATGACAAGCCATATAAGCAACTGCTCAGAACCCTGTGCCATAGAAATTGCTTACCACCAGTTTTCTTAGCTACAGGGGTTTTATGAGTTAAGCAATGTACTTGCTTTCCTCCATAATCAGTACAACCATATTAAAAATTACTAAAATAACAAAAAAAAGGCTAATTTAAACAGCCACATAACAGTCCACTTAAGGATAAGGCTGAGTTACTAGCCTACCTACTATTTTTGTAGTCAAATTTTGTACTTGGAGGTACAGTAGGTTATCAGGACTCAATATACTAAGTTACCTTCAGGAAGAGTTTAATTCCTGCACACACCTTAAATGGACATCCTTATGGTATAGCTGCTTAATTTAGATCCTTAATATTCACTTTAATACTGTCTTTGATAAACTTTTTACAAGAGAACACTATGTGTATATAGGACAAATAGGAATATCACATGTTCTTGTGCAACTCACACATTTGAACACCTACCTGTTGGAACTGTATTGACCACTGGAGCACCTGTCAAACTCAGAAGTTCAGGCCTGAAAGATTTAAGATACGTTTGAACAGTGACAGACACTTTGAGAAACTAGCCTCCAGGTACAGCCTCAAGTAACTACTTACTGAAGGATCAAACTCAAAAAACCTCCCAGGGTACATCACAATCCCCAGCACTAAATCCCAACTAATGCTGAAGTATCAGAAGAGCTGGCTGGAACCCTACTGACAAACCATTTTTCATGCCAATACCCATATCTGATGACTATGGGTATTTACCTATTTCACGGTGACATACAGGTTCCATTAAACTTACTGCTGAGTTGTGAGATACACTTAATCAGAAACAAAGATAGAAATTAAAAATTTCATCTCTAAAAGAGTAAACTTCAAAGCAGACACTTCTGTTTCCAAAATATATCTAATTTTATCCACATTTGAACAAACAAAAAAATTAAACATTTTGATGTTTCTCAGAGAGCCAAACTGGATTTTTAGCTGCTCTTGTTACACATTTCAAAATCAACGAACACCAAAAATTAATTTCTGTTAACAACTAAGACATATTTGACAAAAGCGGGTGCCAGCATTGTATAAATAATTAGATTTATGTATGATATCTGATTTTAAATGAGACACAAGGTAGATCTACACTTCTTCCTTTTCTAGTTATCTGCAAGCACTAGGATGATAGAAACTGACCATGTTCCTCTTAGATGTAAGCAACTAGCACCTGTGGTAAAGGCAGCATGCACAGAGGCAGGGGCTGCCACTACCCCCAGTTCTCAGCCTGACCATTGCAATAATCAGATTCCTGTCCATTTCAAAAACTCTTGCATTAGCCCTACACCACTGAACACAAGAAAACATCAGCTGTTACTCACTGAAGCTTCCTTTAAACTTCAATCAGTCTCCATCTGAGGTCTCCTTCATGTACACTACCTCCAGACACACCAAGGACACCTAAACCACAGGAACCAGTAGCTATGTGTTGGCCTCAAACTTGCCCTAGAAAATGTTTTGTACAAACACAGCCATAGACACCTTGATACAACATTCCAGCAAATTTTTAAAAATAGCATAAGCTGAAATTAGGCCAGGATCCTCAAAGAGGATCAAATATTCCAAAGTCAATGGCTTTCAACATTTGCAGCTGCAGAGATCTGAACAGTACAAAGAGATCTGCCCCTGACAAGAAGTCCATAAGATTGAAGAGATCTGTCCAGAGATCTCTGCACCAGCACTCTAAGTGTTCCACTGGTCTGATAATAAGCTGAATATATCAAAGTGGACATCAACTAAAAACTACTCCTTAGCACCATAAATTAACATGCCAGTAGAAACCAGTTTGGAATTCCGTGAAGAAAAATGAAGCAAAGTGGCACCAGCAGAAAACAATGAGTAATGTAGCGACCAAAATGAAGAACTCCTTACTTCTTAATCACAAAGCGGATCCGCTCCTTTACTAGAAGGATCCTCTCCAGCCGGGGAATGCCGTACGTGGCTGGGCGCCTGAAGGGAATCCCATCTGGCAGCCCTTCCACAATTAAATCTTCTGGATGTGAATGGAAGGTTGTGTATGGGACAGACACTGGACCTTTTGCTTTTATAGCCTCACCTTTAATGAAAAAGGAGAATAAAAACATTAGACTAGTGTCACATTCATATTTTCAGAAAAATCCCTTTGCCCAGAATTTTTCTCCTGAGAAGCTGAGATGCCTCAGTGAAAAAGGAAAACAATTCTTATATTGTTTGCTTCTCCTGTGTTGTGCTCATGTGGAATGTGGTTGGAGATTGTTTACCACCAGGTGGTTGTTTCATTGCTTTTTGCTGTGAATTGTTTTCACTCATTGGCCAATCAGGGCCATGCTGTGTTGAGACTCTGAAGAGAGTCACGAGTTTCATTATTAGTTTTTTAGCCTTCTGTAAGTATCTGTTCTGTATTCCTTAGTATAGTACAGTATAAAATTCTTTAATATAATATGGTATCATAAAATAATAAATTAGACTTCTGAGAACATGGAGTCAGATTCATCATTCCTTCCTTCATCGAGGCACCCCGCAAATACAATAGATTAGCTTGTGGCTCTACTCAATTACCTGTTTGAGATCACTCTGACAAACATTATAATTACCATACAGGCAATAACCCCTCAGCACATTTAAACATTCAAGCATTCATGCTGTGAGGGACTTTGTTTAATAGCAAAATCACTTTGATTCACAGTAAACAAGCTGCAGACCTGCATACATATGCAGATCATCCTCTTTGCCCTTTATGCAAACATTTAATAACAGTGACCACACCTGTTAGAGTGAGGATTCTCACTATTCTGGTTTTGCTTAACAGAGATTTTTGAAAGATGAAGTTATTTAGACTTAATGACAAACTAAGCATGTTTCAGTTCATGTTCAGTTTCTAGCTCTGTTATAATTTGTTACTACTATTGGCTTACAAGTCATTAATGCCTTGGAGTAAGGGCACACATCCCTACCTTTTAGTGAATTCCTGAAGTTTCTGTGTATTTTAAAAATCCAAAGAACCACTAATGAAATAAAAAAATACATTTCTAACACTGCTGAAAAAGCATGGCCCTCCTAATGAAGTCATTGAAACAAATGAAAAGCAACTACCTAGCAACTTGGGAAGGAGCAGGGCACACCCCACCATCCTGGACTTCCCATTGTTGCCATGGACTTCCAGACATTTAGCAATTTTTTGTTATTTACTCTTATTTTTTGCCCATTCCTGTTTTGCTTGTAAATAGGCTGTTATTTTTTTCACTTACACCTACTAGTAAGTGTAGTATTGCTGGAAAGGGATTGGTTAATACCATCATGGGAGGCAACTCATTCTAGAGTGTCTACCTCATCGTAATTTGGTTCTGCTTAATAGAGCATTTTGAAAGATGAAGTTATTTAGACTTAATGACAAACTAAGCATGTTTCAGTTCATGTTCAGTTTCTAGCTCTGTTATAATTTGTTACTACTATTGGCTTACAAGTCATTAATGCCTTGGAGTAAGGGCACACATCCCTTCCTTTTAGTGAATTCCTGAAGTTTCTGTGTATTTTAAAAATCCAAAGAACCACTAATGAAATAAAAAAATACACTTCTAACACTGCTGAAAAAGCATGGCCCTCCTAATGAAGTCTTTGAAACAAATGAAAAGCAACTAACTAGCAACTTGGGAAGGAGCAGGGCATACCCCACCATCCTGGACTTCCCATTGTTGCCATGGACTTCCAGACATTTAGCAATTTTTTGTTATTTACTCTTACTTTTTGCCCATTCCTGTTTTGCTTGTAAAGAGACTGGTTTTTTTTTCACTTACATCTACTAGTAAGTGCAGTATTGCTGGAAAGGGATTGGTTAATACCATCATGGGAGGCAACTCATTCTAGAGTGTCTACCTCTTAAATTGTCTTCAACCAAGTTAATTTTCTTCAGTGAACTTTACTATGTGCAAACATCAAAAGCAAAATTGAAGCAATTCACTAAGAATGATGCTCCTTTCTAGAGCAATTAAAATACAGTGAATCAGATTCTGAACAAGGAAATAAAAAAGGAAATTAAAATACAGTGAATCAGATTCTGAACTGTATTACCTTGGTGCAAGTTGCTTTCAGTGGGCTGTTTTAAATGTCAGATGATAGTCACATCCCAAACATGTAGTAACTCCAAATCACAAGGGATATTCTGAAAGCACTTCCACTTTTCGTGGCAGAGGCAAACCAGCATTTATTTTTACATCTTTACTAATGCTGCTGTAGTTTTTGATATGTGGACACAAAACATATCTAAGTGCAGCATTTGGAGACAAATTTCAAAGTCTAGCACATCTTTTTATTTCCAAGAGCCACTGTATATATAAGTTTTGCTTCACTGTAAAACAATCATAATCAAAATGAACAACCAATGAGTGGCAGCCTCTCTTCAGTGCCACTCTAAAGATTCTTTCACTTAAAGACTCAGTGTAATTGCAGAGAAAAGGACAGCTCTCTCACATGTGGGTGGCCAAGATATGTCAGCATGCAAGTGCTGCAGGAGACTGAGCACAATTGAGAAATAAAATCAAATTTCCCACTTTGGTGCTAAACAAAGGTATCCCATTTTGAAATTACTCTGTTAATCAAAAAAGCTCTTCTCAATTTTACTCTTGCCAATTATATGTCTTCTAACAGTATTTAGCCCTTTGGTGCTGTCAGTTCTGGCGTGCTCCTGAGCCAAGATGCAAGCCAAAGAGCAGTCTGTCACTTGCTGTGACAAAGGACTACAGGCAATGGCTTGGAAAGGTGTGTAACACATACCATATTTTTTATCAAACAGCTCTTACCATATTTTTTATCAAACAGTTCTTCAACTTCCCTTCTCAAGTCAGTAATTCGTGTATTCCATTTGTCTGCAAAGAAGAGGAAGACATGTCAAGCTACAAAAAAACCTGAGAATCTTGTTACCCCTAAATAAAATATGAAGCATGTATTTTTACTTGCAAACAGGTGCCTCCTGAGTACAGTTCAGACTACACCTTAAAATGCATGGATGTATTAAAGAAAAAAAGAAAAGCACAGAATAAAATGTTAAACATTACTTCTGAAAGATGTACATTAAATGAAGTTTAAAAACCACAACAAAAAACAGGTTAAAATAACTTCAAAAAATGATTTCTCTCTTTGATAGCTCATCAAAGCCATCAGCTTTGTCATCAGCTCTTGCTACCTCCAGGGGTAAAGGCAGTTTATAGGTCCTGTTGACAGTAACCTAGATTTGAGTGCAGAAAAGCTTGATAAAGCTGACAGAAAGTACATGGAGTTGTTTTGGTGGAAATCTGTACAACAACATGGATCAGGAGGCATCTGCCCGTCTCTATTTTAATCTACTATTTCTCCAAGTCCTGGTGTTGCAAAATACACCCAGAATTCCTATTTCTGAAAGAAAATACAGCTGCAAAAAGAAGTTCATCCAAATCCAAACCTGTGCATCCAATTACGTTGTCACGTCAAATAACAAAAAACAACAGAGGCAGCCTATGATGATGATTATACTGCTGCAATCCATCTAAATAGAAACCAGGGCTCTTAAATGAAGGCTTGCACTAAAATGCCTCACCTGCACTACAAAATTACTCAAATCCTTTTCATAAAACAAAGCAGTGAAACAAAATAATCTAGAATTTTAATCTTACCAAAATTGAACCGTATTCCACTGCTTGTCCTACTACTGCCCAAGTCGTTACCTGACTTGGGGCTCCTCTGTCTCCTCTCATGGGGTAAGTAGTCATCATCATTATCTTAAACAGAAAAAAACAAAATCACTGGGTTTTTGTGAAAGAAACTCGAGTGCAGCACTGGAACTGCTTTGAATTTCAAAACTACAACAGAATTAAGGAACTGTGCTTACCACGCAACAAACTTTCAACAAATTATTTAACTGAGTAACTTCAGAAAGCTCCTGTTCCTACCTGTGAAGGAACAACTTGTTCCTTCAAAAGGGCTTGTGCAAAGCACAAGAAAGCAAAGAACAAAGCTGCTCCTGTACTTCCTAAGGAAAACAACATTGTCTTCTGAAATATGACTGGGCATCACATGATTGTAAAACAACCATGCAACTGCAAAAGGAATCACAGAATAAATTGTGCAGACAGGGACTACCTTTCTGTTCTGGTACCATTCTTCCCAAAAGCATTTCTTAACTACAAATGTTACATCTAACTACAGTGTGGTTATAAATCAATGGGTTCTCCAGAATGAAGGAATGTTATAACATTTTCTCTGCTCAATGAGTATTATTCATTAACAACACCTGAAAATTATGCAAAAGACACAAATTGCTGTCAAGCATCATTTCAAAACCAGCTCACCAAGTCCAAATATGCTTCTGTATTTTATGGTTTTCTGACACTTCTCCACCAATTTTGTTTACCAAGCAGTGCACAATCCAAACTACACTCGACACCACCACACAATTCTCTTCATTCACTGCCAAGTAATACAAGCTTTGGAAAACACAATTTAGGCAGAAAAATACCCAACCAACCAACTGAAATCGGTGACTTGGGGAACTGACCTTCACTAGTGAGTTCAGCCTCAGAAACCTCACTTCCTTCTGATGATTCATGCTGGGAGGAATCTGAAAGGGAAAAACAGGACAGTTGAATGATTGGCATGACCAAGATTTTTAACTAACAACTCCATGCCTCTGCATCTAAACAAACATTGTCAAGGAAGCCCACTGCATTCACAGCAAGCAACAAAAATAGAAGCAAAGATATATTTACCATGAGCCTTTGAGCAATTCCAGACAAAGGCAAGGAGGTGAAGATTACACATACTCAAAAGTATGTAACTGATAACCAGCTAACTGCTTAAAAAACCTGGGTTTTTACAGTAAAGTGGCTCACCTTTGCTCCTGCATGGGAACCCAGCATCACCACTGACCCTCATCTCGAACTATTCAGCAAAACCACGTGCAACTTTCACACTTGTCTTACAGGAACTTGTAAAATACAACAGATCTCAGAAAAAGGTGCTACAAAGCCTAACTCTGACTTAAAGGGCCACACTCAGCTTCTGTAGCTATTCTTGTCAAAACTGAGGCACAGTCAGAGCCCAGGTCATTTCCTCTCACACTTCCCCTTCCTCATGCTCCCTCCTCACAGTCAGGTATAAAGCACATGGCATTATGCTGAGGAAAACAAACCACCCAGATTTCTCTTCTCCAATGAGTTCAGTTAATACTGCAGCCAGCACAGGCAATGAACGTCATTCTCCATTATCAGGAGAACTGCTGCTGAAATTTCATGCAATGGTACCCCTAACTATGGTGATACCTACCTGTAGGAGTGTGCCCCCTGACAAAGTGGCAAAACTAGCCTTTGTCCCCCAAAAAACGGAAAGAAGCCCAGAAGTTTCTCTCAACAATTAGGTGAAAAGCCACCTCATAGGACCTCAGAGACTTCACCAAAAACTTGAGGACATCTAATTGGATAGAGGCCAAAAAGTCCTGCCTGACCCATCAGGTAGAAAAAGAAGAGAACAAAAGAGCTAAGTGTTTTTGTGAGGTGTTTTTACCAGGAGCAGACCTCTGCACCTGGCTCGGGTTTTTGTGTTTGTTATTTTGCCTTTTATTAAACCTTTTTGTTTCTAACACTGCAGCAAAAGTCATCCTGCTTTTATTATGCTCCCAAAATAACAGCTGAACTATCCTTGGGTGTATTATATTTCTTTTGAGAGCTTATGAGACCTGGCTCAAGAAAAAGAAATATAATACCTACCTGCAAAACAAAACTATGGCATTTGCAAGAAGGAGCACTGCTGCTAGCAAAACCTGCCTTGAAAAGCACACAGCTCAGGCTGGAGAGCCACATGCTCAGAGAGAAGCCAGCAGGACAATAGTGTAGTGTTCACATCCTGCCAAACCACTAAACTTGGGGTGACCAGCACCTTACAAATGCCTTTCATGACTTAAAATAATGACGATTACCATCACAATTTGCTTATAGCGAGCCCCAGAGTACTGTGATTTGGGAGATTAAAAGCAAAACAAAGCAAAAAATCAAAAAAGCCAACCTGGTGGAAATATGAAAAGAGGATGATTGGAGAAGATGTACAATTTCAATTAGGCAACATCTTTGCAAATATTTATATGAAAAAATATCCAATTATGGTAATTTGTAAGCACAAAAAACACATCTGAAATGCTATAACTTTATTTCCACATCTTTTCCTTCACTGATATCAGAACTCTGGTGGCTGCCTTCAAAAATATAAAGTAAAAAACATATTCCTGACTGCACAGAATCTTATAAAAGCAGACAGATTAATGTGCCCCTAAACTAAAAAAAAAACCAAAGCACAGGATAAAGGAGAGTTACTCAAACAATCCCAGGTGAAGCATCTTTAACCAGACTAAACTGAAGCACAAAGATGCATTTCAGGGGAGAACCCAACATAAGGGATCAGGAAAGAACACAACCAGAAAATCCCAACTTCCTGTGTGTCTAACGTTGTTGTCAAGTCAAATAACAAAAACAAACAGAGGCAACCTATGACAATGATTATACTGCTGCAATTCACCTACACGGAGCCCAGGGCTCTTAAATGAAGGCTTGCACTAATGTTTACTAAGCAGTGCACAATCCAAACTACACTCAACATTAGCACACAATTCTCTTCACTCAGTGCCAAGTAACACAATATGTGGAAAACACATTTTGGATAGAAAAAAGCCCAAAACCATGAAATTTAGGACCCATAGTACTCACCTTCAAGGGTGACCTCAACCTCAGGTTTCTCACTTGGCTCACTTGTTTCTGACAAGTCATGGTGGGAGGGCTCTGAAAGGGAAAAAAGAAGAATGCTGAGTGATGGACATGGACAAGATTTTCAACCAAACACTCCATGCCTTTGCATCTAAACCAATATTGTCAAAGAAACCACTTGCTATCACAACATTCAACAAAAATAGAAGCAAAGATATTTTACCATCAGCCTTTGAGCAATTCCTGACAGCAGAGTAAAGCTGCACTTGTGCATTTTGAAGCCTACCTTCTTTCAGATCTATCTAAGCTGGGGTATGGTATCACTTTGGCAGCAAGTCTGAAGGAATCTTTGCTTCAAAAGTTTCTCTTCACACGATGTGTGGGGTGTAGGGCAGAAAGTCAGCTCTATCTACTGGGACACCTTAACTGGAGTATGTTTGAACTATGTCAAATACATCATCCTGTTCATGGAAATTAGTACCATGTTTTGATCTAATTCCAAGGCAATGCTGTATTCATAACTAGCAAATGCAAAGTAGTACAAAAAGGAAGAATTAGGAGTTCTTTTACTGGACATGAACACAAAATAGGGTCGTAAAAAAGCCTGTCAAGTCAACTGATCACTTAGAACCTGGTTGAGAGAAGTAAATAGGATTGAAACAATTGAAAATATACAGCATTTTTAGAAATTTAAGAATAGGTATTAAATTGGAAGATGGTCTATCAAGTCTAGCATCAAATCCCCGAGAAACACTCAGCATTGAGGGAATTGGTCAAAACCTCAAATCAAATGGCAGCAAAGTTCTGCAAGAAAACTCCCAGATGACACATTTCTTCTTAAGACATATTATACCAATGGCATTAAACATTGAAGTAAGTTTTTTTTAACAACATATCATCATCACTAGGTCTCCTCTGATCTTGGGTAAATACACACAGCTCCTATATAAGAAGCCTTCCTCACAGTTCTAAATGTTCTCATTTACCAGCACTGGCTCCAGTTTCTCAAATGTGATTTTCTTCCCTTCAAAACAAGTTCTTCTGACACACGTAACCTCAACTTCCTCATTGCTGAATTCCAATCACACCACGCTGACCACTCATCCAATCTCATTAAGACCACCTCAGACACCTTCATCAGCTACAGCTAACCTGGGGGATTCCAGGCATGCCACAGTTCTGCCACTTCCCTTTTCACCACCTTGCCAAGGTTACCAGAGAGGAAAAATAGTGAAAACCCCCAGTGACATAGAACAAAAGAGACTAAACCTAAAGATTTTCTTTGAGGGATACAATCACTTGTGCAAATCTGCATCACTGACTGTAGCTTTCAGACAACCTTCTGGAAGAGCCAGATCTGATTGGCTATAACTTATCTGGATTTTTAGATTCTCATTCTGCCTACTTTGCTGTTCGGGCCACAGTTCTCCGCGAATCACCTCACTTTCACATTGGGGTCACCAAATGTAGGAGCTGAGATGGTCATAACACACAAAGTAACAGCACACAATTTAAAGCAGACTTAAGCATCAGCCCTTTCTTGTCCCACATTACAACCTTTTACACCCTTTATCTTACATGCATTACACCTGTGTGCCCTCTGTACCCTTTTATGATTGGTCAGTACACCTTGGCACTCCTTGTCTTATTGCTTTCAATACTCTTCTCCTGCTTTTCAAAGCTGTAGCCCATTGGGGCTGAGGCTCAGCCACAGCCCCAGTTCCAACTACTGACATAGTGTGTGCCTGCACAGAGTGGTATGATTTGGGAGATTAAAAGCAAAGTAAAACAAAAATTAAAAAAGCCAACCTGGCAGAAATATGAATAAAGAAAGGCTGGAGAAGATGTACAATGTCAATCAGGCTACATATACCTCAAAATATTTCTGTGAAAAAAATATCCTAGGATGTTAACTTATCTCCACAAAAAACACTTCACATCTTAAAGGCTATAACTTTATTTCCACATCTGTTCCTGCACTGACATCAGAAGTCTGGTAGGTGCCTTCAAAAAATATAAAGTAGAAAACATACTCCAGACAGCACAGAACCTTAGAAAAGCAGACAGATTAATGTGTCCATAAGCCAAATCAAACCAAACCAAACCACAGAATAAAGGACAGGTACAGAATCACAAAAAACACCAGGTAAAATATCTTTAAGGATGCTAAACTGAAGTGCATGAAAGCATTTCTGTGGAGAACCCTAGTGAAGGCATCAGGAAAGAACACAACCAGAAAATCCCAACTTGCTGTGCATCAATTTATGTCATTACATCAAATAACAAAAAACCAACAGAGGTAGCCTATGATGATGATTAAACTGCTGCAATTCACCCACACAGAGACCAGGGCTCTAAAATGAAGGCTTGCATTAACACATCTCACTCCTGCAGCACAAAACTACTCAAAACGTTTCCATTAAACAAAGCAGGGAGATAAAATCATCTTGAATTTTTATCTTACCAGAACTAAACTCTTCGACATTTCCTCTCTCAGCATCGGCAGATTCATTTGCCAAATTTTTGGTCCTCATTTTCTTGTCAGATGATAGGTAGTCTTCACCATCATCTTTAAGAAACAATAAAAAACCCCCTGTTTTTTTCTCCACGGAATTTGCATGCAGAACCGGAACGGCCTTGAATTTCGAAACTAAAACAGAAATAAGGAATTGTGTTTATCAGGACAACAAATTTTGCAACACATTACGAACATGAGTAACTTCTGAAAGATCCTGGCATCACATGATCATAAAACAGCCATGCAACAGCAAAAGGAATCACAGAAAAAATTGTGCAGGTAAGGACTACATTTGTTATCTAACTGGGAGCAATATCATTCCACTTGTAGATCCCTAAAGAAAGCACCTATGTTTTTTGTTGAAGAGCTCAAATGTTCTAAATACACATTATAAACCAGTTTAAAACTAATTGGTGCCAATGAAATTCATCAAACAGGTCAAATCTGCCTTAAACACACACAAGTGAACAGACTTGAGAACAGCAAACCCAGCAATGTGTCAGAGAGCTGCTACTCAGCCTGGCACTTCCCAATCCACCCTGATCTTCCTTAAGCTAACGAGCTTTTGAGACTGCCCAATTAACAATACCTCCAACTGCAGAGAGAACAAATGGGTAGAGCAGACAAAAAACTCATTTCACATGCAGAAAAACATGCACCCATGTCACCAAGGGTATGGTTTACTTAGCAAGAGTAACATCACATATTGACAGATCTTGTACCAATTCAGTTCTGTTACACTCTGTCACAGAAAACCTTTGCAGAGCACTATTACTTTTGTGGTAAAGGCCTTTACATACAAGCAGAACTCAATGACTCCTCTCATATAAACTTTTCTGTTGAGGTAACGGTGGAGTTGTTTCCATGCTGCATTATAAAATGGTGAAAGCAATGCCAGAAGTGTCCCCTTTCTCACAAATGCTCTGCCTACTTCATAACTGCAGATTGGGTGCTCTTAGTCTAATTCCACAAGCAAGCACAGCAAAAGCCAATCTCAGCAGTGTTTTAAAGCAGTTCCAGGACACTCATTCACAAATACAAGAAACACAGCTCACCTCCTACCAAGATCCTAGCATGAGGACAGCAAGGACACTGCTTAGCAGCTTTAGAGCCACTTGGATGACAAAGGCAACTGGTCAGTCCAAAGGTTTGGATCTCACAGTTACCAATATTAGACTGACACTTTGAGGCTCCACTTACACCACCTGCAGCACTGCCTTTCTGTTCTGGTACCATTCTTAACAGAAGCATTTCTTAACTACAAATGTTACATCTAACTACAATGTGGTTATAAAGCAATGTGCTCTCCAGAATGGTCCAACATGCTTCAGTATATTGTGGTTTTCTAAAACTTCTCCACCAATTTCGTCTACCAAGCAGGGCACAATCCAAACTACACTCAACACCAGCACACAATTTTCTTCATTCACTGCCAAGCATTGCAGCTTTTGGAAAACAGAATTTAGACAGAAAAATGCCCAACCAATTGAAATTAATGACCTGGGGAACTCACCTTCAACAGTGACCTCAACCTCAGGATTCTCACTTGTTTCTGACATGTCATGGTGGGAGGTATCTGAAAGAAAAAAACAGTACTGCTGAATGGTGGACATGGATAAGATTTTCAATGAAGCACTCCATGCATTTGCATCTAAACCAACATTGTCAAAGAAGCCAAGATCTTGCATTCACAGCAGGCAACAAAAAGAGAAGCAAATATATTTTACCATGAGATAACCTATGATGATGATTATATTGCTGCAATTCACCTATACAGAGCCCAGGGCTCTTAAATGAAGTCTTACACTAAATTGTCTCCCTCCTGCAGCACAAAATTACCCAAAACCTTTTTATAAAAAAAAGCAGGGAAATAAAATAATCTTGATTTTTTATCTTACCACAACTGAACTCTTCTTCTTTTCTTCTCTCAACATTAGCATCTTCCTTAGATGAACTGGTGCTCTTCTGTCTCTTATCAGGTGGTATGTAGTCATCCTCATCATCTTTAAGAAACAATAAAAAACACCAATGTTTTTTTGTCCAGGAAACTCGAGTGCAGCACTGCAACTGCTTTGAATTTCAAAACTAAAACAGAAATAAGGAATGGTGTTTATCAGGACAACAAATTTTGCAATAAATTACTTAACTGAGTAACTTTAGAAAGATCCACTACTTAACTGTGAAGAAACCACTTATTCCTTCAAAAGGGGCTGTGCAAAGCACAAGAGAGCAAAGAACAAAGCAGCTACTGTTCTTCCTAAGGAAAACAACATTGTCTTCTGAACCATGACTGGGCATCACATGATTGTAAAACAGCCATGCAACAGCAAAAGGAATCACAGAATTAATTGTGCAGGTAAGGACTACATTTTTTATCTAGCTAGGAGCAATATCATACAGGAGTAGATCCCAAAAGACAGTACCTATGTTTTTTAATGAAGAGCTCAAATGTTCTAAATCCACTTTGAAACCAGTGTAAAACCAATGGGCACCAATGAAATTCATCAAACAGGTCAACTCTGCCTTAAACACACACAAGTGCACAGACAGGAAAACCCCACTCTACTTACACCACCTGCAACACTGTCTTTCTGTTCTGGTACCATTCTTCCCAGAAGCATTTCTTAACTACAAATGTTACATCTAACTACAGTGGGTTTACAAAGCAGTGTGTTCTCCAGTATGAAGGAATGTTATAACATCTTGTCTGTTCAATGACTATTTTTCATTAACAACACCTGAAAACCATGCAAAAGATACAAACTGCTGTCAGGCATCATTTCAAAGCAGCCCACCAAATCCAATGTGTCTTGTGGCGATCCTCCCATGTGTGAGGACACAAGGCTTGTCTCCATTTTCCTCAAAAGGCTGATTTATTATGTTATATATTATATTAAAATACTACATTAAATCTATACAAAAAGTACAGAGAGAGAAGAAGAATCAGAAGGCTACAAAGAACAAGAATAGAATAGAATAACAAAAATCCTGTGACTGCAATTGGTCACTAATTGAAAATAATCCACATGGACCAATGGAAGATGCACCTGTTGCATTCCACAGCAGCAGATAGTTATTGTTTGCATTTCTTTCCTGAGGCACTCAGCTCTCAGGAGGGGAAAAATCCTAGGAAAGGATTTTTCATAAAATATCATGGCTACAAATATGTTTCAGTATATTGTGGTTTTCTAATACTTCTCCTCCAGACTCATTTACCAAGCAGTGTTGTATTGCACTAGTTATTTAGTTGTTTGCACTGGGTGTTTAATAATTTGCACTGTTCACATGATTTGTATCCTATGACCACATGGTCCTCCCCTTTTCCCCTCTGCCTAAGTGTTAGTGTGGTGGTCTCTCCCTGGTTTACCCCTCCACTCGCCCCTCCTCACTGGTATCCCATTGGCTGTGGTCCTCGTCCTACCTCCCCCTTTCCCCCAGGTATAAAAGCCTCCCACCATCAGGCAACGTTCTCTTTCCCATCTGGGTGTCGCCGGAATCTGAGGTGTCTCCTCACAATAAACAGAGGACATTCGTCCCCACATGGAGAAGAGCACTTCTGGTCTTTTGCCTTTTGTCCATGTAAGATCGTGTGGGCTGGGGTCCATAGCCAGCCGGAATGGACCTGAAGAGCCCGCCCAGACACAGATTTTTACAGCTGGCGCCCAACATGGGGCACCATTTGTTGCAGCTTGAATTGCTGCTAGTACAGTCCAAGGTAAAGAAGCAAAAATGGCCTTTGCATAATATCCACAGATGTTTAATTCAGCCGTGTGGTGAGATGTTCAGGTCCTCGGCCACACACACATTCAGGGTCCAGCATTCCCTCGCCAAGGGCAAGGGGACTGACCCTGCTCTCGGGGCAGTACAAAAATAAGGGCTAATCAGGGAAATGGGAGGCAGTGGCTCAGGAATATAAGAAGAGAAACAGAACGGAGGAAGGAGACAGTAGGGTGTAACTAAGGAGATGTCCCCCAGGGCTTCCTCAAAGCAATGCACAATCCAAACTACACTCAACACCAGCACACAATTCGCTTCATTCAGTACCAAGTAATGCAGGCTTTGCAAAACACATTCTAGGGAGAAAAATGCCCAACCAACTGAAATCAATGACCTGCAGAACTGACCATCAACAGTGACCTCAACCTCGGGATCCTCAGTTTTATCAGACGAGTCAAGTAGGGAGGAATCTGAAAGAGAAAGATAGGACTGTTTAATGATGGACATGGACAAGATTTTCTACCAAACACTCCATGCCTTTGCATCTAAACCAACATTGTCAAAGAAACCACTTGAGCTCACAGCATGCAACAAAAACAGAAGCAAACATATTTTACCATCAGCCTTTGAGCAATTCCTGACAAAGACAAGGAGGTGAGGATTACACTTGCTGAACTGCACAGGCTACACTGCACAGCTGCTGCTATGACTGAAGGAAATTCTAGTGTCCTGGCTTTGTAGGCTTAATACAATCACAAGTATATTCCCCTCTCTTACCCAGGATAACTGAAAATATAAACAAAGGCTGCCTGTCCACACAGATTAGGTATGTTTTACCAGCTCTACAAACTCATGGTTGCTGTGCTAACAGGAGTTCCAGAATAGGCTGCAAGGGCAACAATCAAATATGGCAGGGAAATTCATGATCACAATGCTTTTCTTGAGGCAGAGTGCATCAACAAGACAAGCAGGATTAGCCAACCAACACTCAGTATGAGAAAGAGCAATTTATACTTAACTGCACTGCAATTAAAGAAAGTGGAGCTAATTTTATCAGGATCTGTACCAAAACTTAATTCTCCATTATCAGGATAAATGCTGCTGAATTTCATGCAATGGTACCCCTCACTATGGTGATACCTACCTGAAACAAAACTAATGGCATTTGCAAGAAGGAGCACTGCTGCTAGCAAAACCTGCCTTGAAAAGCACACAGCTCAGGCTGGAGAGCTACGAGCTCAGAGAGAAGCCAGCAGGACAATAGCGTAGTGTTCACATCCTACCAAGCCATTGAACTTTGGGTGATGAGCACCCTACAAATGCCTTTCATGACTTAAAATAATGACAATTACCATCACAATTTGCTTATAGCAAGCCCCAGAGCAGTGTGATTTGGGAGATTTAAAATAAAACTAAAAAAAAATCAGAAAACCCAGTCTGGTGGCTATATGAAAAGGGAGTGGTTGGAGAAGATTTACAATTTCAATTACGCTACATATTTCCAAATATTTCTGTGAAGAAATATCCTAGGATGTTAATTTATCCTCACAAATACACTTCACATCTAATACACATGCATTTCCACATGCGTTTTTGCACTACCATCAGAAGTCTGGTGGCTGCCATCAAACATATAAAGTAAAAAACATACTCCAGACTGTACAGTACCTTAGAAAAGCAGACTGATTAATGTGTCCATAAGTCTAAACAAATGAAACCAAACCATAGAATAGAGGAGGATCATCAAAAATACCAGATAAAGCATCTTTAACCAGACTAAACTGAAGTGTATGGATGTATTTTTGTGGAGAAACCAAGTGAAGGGATCAGGAAAGAACACAACCAGAAAATCCCAAATTGCTGTGCATCAATTTACATTGCCATGTCAAATAACAAAAAATAGGAGAGGCTATGATGATGATTATACAGCTGCAATTCACCTATATGGAGCCCAGGGCTCTAAAATGTAGGCTTGCACTAACACATCTCACTCCTGAAGCACAAAATAACCCAAGATGTTTTTATAAAACAAAGTAGGGAGATAAAATCATCTTACTGCAGTTGAAATATTTTGATATTCTTCTCCTTCTATTGGGAGTTTCCTTAGCCGACCTGGTGTTCGTCCTCTTCTTTCTCTTGCTAGGGGGCAGGTACTCATCATCATCATCATCTAAAAAAAACGGGGTCCGAGGAATTCTATGGAAAGACCGTATACCATTACAAAATTGCAGCCTACAGCAGGAAGGGATCTAATTTACAATCAAAAGGACCTAGCCTGGGTGGAGACCAACTGCAAAAAAAACAATTAAAAAAACCGTGGTTTTTTGGCCCTTCTATGGACCAAAAGTCAGGCATAGCTCTAGAACTGCCTTGAATTTCAAAACTTAAGCAGAAATAAGGAACTGTGGGCACCAAATTTTGCAGTAAATTACTTACTTGAGTACCTTCAGAAAGCCCCTGTTCTTACCTGTTTTCTAATTCGTCACCACCAGGCTTGTTTACCAAGAAGTGCACAATCCAAATTACACTCAACACCAGCACACAATTTGCTTCATTCAGTGCCAAATAATGCAGGCTTTGCAAAAGACACTCTGAATAGAAAAATGCCTGTAATCAATGACCTGCAGAACTGACCTTGACTACTGATTTCAGCCTCTGAATCCTCACTTGCTTCTGACGAGTCATGATGGGAGGAATCTGAAAGAGAAAGATAGGACTGACTGCATTTGTGAACAGAGGGGGATCCGATGTGATAGAGATCGGACTAGTGTTCACCCAGTGCTGATCCTGGGGTCGACACTCTCCCTTTTATTGTGGCTATTGAGACTGTATCAGTCATGGAATAAAATCTATCTTTATTAATTTTTAATTTGGCTTTATCGTTTTTTAACTGTAACACATAGAACAAAATAGACCAAATCTAAAGGTTTTCTTTGAGGGAAACAATCACTTGTGCAAATCTGCATCACTAGCTGTAGCTTTCAGAAAAATTGCTGGAAGAGCTTTAAATGCGTCTTCTGTGTATTTCTTTACTTATACATGGATTGAAGCCAAGACTATAAAATCCAAACACTGTCACTGATTTGTCTGTGTCATTTACAGATAGATAGATATAGATATACATATACGAGAAATGCTACTAACTTCCAAAAACTTAGAAAGGTTTATTCAAACCTTATCAAAAGGACAAGAGAAGACAGAATAGAGAAAATATTACAGCGCCAGGAGTGAAGGATCTTTCCCACCACGTGCTCACCCACACAATGGAGGTTTTGCCTTTTAACCCTTTAGGCCGTCCCAAAATTCTGTCCATCGACTCCTTCTTCACTGTCCAGTGATGGAGATCACTTCCTGACACCATGACTGTAGGTGTCAGCTGTTGTCATAGTAACGAGCCAACCCTCCCAAATGCCCAAAACCCTGATAACAATGCAAGGGGGATAAAACACAACTAGAAATGTATAAAACTTCTCTTAATAGATATACATGATATTTGCCTTTTAATTGTGAATTGTGAGAGTCAATCATCACATTACTCAACTATCACACATAGACTAGAAAACAACTATTGTTCATTTTCCCATTCCTTTGCGGGGAAGACATGTATTTCACCAGTCATTAAAATTTTAGATGAAGGGGGTCATACTTCTGTTCCAGGGAGGGCCCCGCCCCTTCTGGAAAATTACTGTGATTTAAAGCAATGAAAAGAGATGAGAAGTAAAACAAAAAAAAAATCAGAAAAGCCAACTAGGTGAAAATATAAAAAGAGAATGCTTGGAGAAGATGTACAATTTCAATTAGGCGACATCTTCCACATATTTCCATGAAAAAATATCCAATGATGTTACTATATCCTCATAAAAAACACTTCACATCCCAAAGACTATAACTGTCTTTCCACATTCTGTTCCGCCACTGATATCAGAACTCTGTTGGATGCCTTCAAAAATATAAAGTAAAAACCATATTCCTGACTGCACAGAACCTTATAAAAGCAGACAGAGTAAAGCAGCAGGACAGTTGAATTATGGACACGGACAAGATTTTCAACCAAACACTCCATGCCTTTGCACCTAAACCATACAGGTAAAACCTTATGAAACAAGGGCCTTGTTAGCCTTGTAAAATCATGGCTCAGGCCTGCTACTTCAGCTAAGCAGAAAAGGACAATGGGAAAGTGACATAGGTGCACTGGAGGCAGAAAAAGAAGTTATATAACCATGACATGCTCACATCGTGGTTAGGGTGGTTGGTTGAAACGTATCTGTTATACTAAAATAGAATGTAATAAATAATGGGCTACCTGCTAAAAAAAGGCCTGTTTTTTGCAATAAACAACTCTACTTTGCATCTGCCTGGGGACTCTGCATCACTCTGCTTCGTGCAATTTATCCTCACAAAAAAAACATTATACATCTCATAGTCTCTAACTGTATTTCCACATCTTTTCCTTCACTGCTATCAGAACTCTGGTGGCAGCCTTTAAAAACATAAAGTAAAAAACATATTCCTGACTGCACAGAACCTTATAAAAGCAGACAGAGTAAAGCACCCACAAAACCAAACCAAACCACAGAATGAAGGAGAGGTACAGGATCACAAAAAATCCCAGGTGAAGCATCTTGAAGCAGGCTGAACTGAAGGCATGGATATGTTTCTGTGGAGAACCCAACAGGAGGGATCATGAAAGAACACAACCAGAAAATCCCAACCTTCTTTGTGTCTATTTACGTCATCATGTCAAATAACCAAAAACAACCTAAAGTTAGCCAATGGTGATGACTATACTGCTGCAATACATCTACACAGAGCCCACGGAGCTTACATGAAATTCCAAAAATATTTCTTTTTTAGCTTAATCCTGCCAAAAAGGTACAAAGTGATCAGTTGATGTGACAGTTATTTTTGCAACTTACCAAGCAGTGCACAATCCAAACTACATTCAATACCAGCACACAATTCTCTTCATTCAGTGTCAAGTAATGCAGGCTTTGAAAAACACATTCTGGATAGAAAAATACCCAACCAATTGAAATTCAGGACCCATAGTACTGACCTTCAAGGGTGACCTCAACCTCAGGGTTCTCACTTATTTCTGATAAGTCATGGTGGGAGGGCTCTGAAAGGGAAAAGCAGGACTGTTGAATTATGGACACGGACAAGATTTTCAACCAAACACTCCATGCCTTTGCACCTAAACCATACAGGTAAAACCTTATGAAACAAGGGCCTTGTTAGCCTTGTAAAATCATGGCTCAGGCCTGCTACTTCAGCTAAGCAGAAAAGGACAATGGGAAAGTGACATAGGTGCACTGGAGGCAGAAAAAGAAGTTATATAACCATGACATGCTCACATCGTGGTTAGGGTGGTTGGTTGAAACGTATCTGTTATACTAAAATAGAATGTAATAAATAATGGGCTACCTGCTAAAAAAAGGCCTGTTTTTTGCAATAAACAACTCTACTTTGCATCTGCCTGGGGACTCTGCATCACTCTGCTTCGTGCAATTTATCCTCACAAAAAAAACATTATACATCTCATAGTCTCTAACTGTATTTCCACATCTTTTCCTTCACTGCTATCAGCACTCTGGTGGCAGCCTTTAAAAACATAAAGTAAAAAACATATTCCTGACTGCACAGAACCTTATAAAAGCAGAGTAAAGCACCCACAAAACCAAACCAAACCACAGAATGAAGGAGAGGTACAGGATCACAAAAAATCCCAGGTGAAGCATCTTGAAGCAGGCTGAACTGAAGGCATGGATATGTTTCTGTGGAGAACCCAACAGGAGGGATCATGAAAGAACACAACCAGAAAATCCCAACCTTCTTTGTGTCTATTTACGTCATCATGTCAAATAACCAAAAACAACCAAAAGTTAGCCAATGGTGATGACTATACTGCTGCAATACATCTACACAGAGCCCACGGAGCTTACATGAAATTCCAAAAATATTTCTTTTTTAGCTTAATCCTGCCAAAAAGGTACAAAGTGATCAGTTGATGTGACAGTTATTTTTGCAACTATACTGAACTTTTTGGCACCACAAAATCACCCAAAACTTTTTCATAAAAGACAGCAGGGAGACAAAATCATCTTTAATTTTCCTCTTACCAAAATGAAATTCTTCTTCATTTCTTCTCCCAGTACAGGCAGCTTCAGCAGCTGAACTGGGGCTCCTCAGGCTCCCCTCAGCAGGCAGGTACTCATCATCATCATCATTATCATCACCAACATGCTTATCATCTTTAAGAAAGAAAAAAAAAAAGGCAATTGGTTTTATGTCAAGAGGACTCATATGCAGCACTGGAACTGCTTTGAATTTCAGAACAGAATTAAGGAACTGTGCCTATCAGGGCAACAAATTTTGCAATAAATTACTTAACTGAGTAACTTCTGAAAGCTTTAGTTCTTACCTATGAAGGAACAACTTGTTCCTTCAAAAGTGCTTGTGCAAAGCACAAGAAAGCAAAGAACAAAGCTGCTCCTGTACTTCCTAAGGAAAACAACATTGTCTTCTGAAACATGACTGGGCATCGCATGATTGCAGAACAACCATGCAACTGCAAAAGCAATCACAGAATAAATTGTGCACATAGGGACTACCTTTGTTATCTAACTGGGGGTAATATAATTTACTAGTAGATCTCAAAACACAGCACCGATGTTTTGTCTTGAAGAGCTCAAATGTTCTAAACCCACTTTCAAACCAGTGAAAAACCAATGGGAACCAATGAAATTCATCAAACAGGACAACTCTGCCTTAATCACACACAAGTGGACAGACAGAAGAACAGCAGGGACACTGCTTAGCAGCTTTAGAGCTACTTGGATGACAAAGGTCAATGCAAAGGTTTGGATCTCAGAGTTATCAATATTAGACTGACACCTTGAGGCTCCATTTACACCACCTGCAGCACTGCCTTTCTGTTCTGGTACCATTATTCCCACAAGCATTTCTTAACTACAAATGTTACACATAACTACAGTGTGGTTATAAAGCAATGTGTTCTCCAGAATGAAGGAATGCTATAACATCTTCAGTGTTCAATGAATTACCAACACCTGAAAATTACACCAAGGGCTATAATTTGCTGTCAGGCATCATTTCAAAACCAGCCCACCAAATCCAATATGCTTCAGTATATTGTGGTTTTCTAATACTTCTCCACCAGGCTCATTTACCAAGCAGTGCACAATCCAGATGACACTCAACACCAGCACACAATTCTCTTCATTCAGTGTCAAGTAATGCAGGCTTTGGAAAACACATTTTGGATAGAAAAATGCCTGAAATCAATGATGTAGGAAACTGACCTCCGTTACTGAACTCAGCCTCTGAATCCTCACTTGTGTCTGATGAAGCAGGCTGGGAGGGCTCTGAAAGGGAAAAACAGGACTGCTGAATGATGGACATGGACAAGATTTTCTACCAAACACTCCATGCCTTTGCATCTAAATCAACATTGTCAAGGAAGCCCCTTGAGCTCACAACATGCAACAAAAACAGAAGCAAAGATATTTTACCATCAGCCTTTGAGCAATTCCTGACAAAGACAAGGAGGTGAGGATTACACTTGCTGAACTGCACAGGCTACACTGCACATCTGCTGCTATGACTGAAGGAAATTCTAGTGTCCTGGCTTTGTAGGCTTAATACAATCATAAGTATATTGCCCTCTCTTACCCAGGATTCCTGAAAATATAAACAAAGGCTGCCTGTCCACACAGATTAGGTATGTTTTTACCAGCTCTACAGACTCATGGATACTGCACTACTGCTATGATTTCCATAACAGGCTGCAAGGGCAACAATCAAACGTGGGAGGGAAATTCATGATCACAATGCTTGTGTTGGAGCAGAGTGCACCAACACCACTAGCATGATTCGCCAATCAACACTCAGTGTGAGAAAGAGCAATTTATGATTAACTGCACTACAATTAAACAAAGTGAAGCTAATTGTATCAGAAACTCTATCCAAATTAAGTAGCAGTGCATGAAGGAACATATTTTAGTTATTCTGTGAGACTAAAGCTGTACTTGTGCATTTTGAAGAGTATTTTCCTTTAGATCTCTCTATGCTTAAGTATTATACCATGCTGATGGTTTCCTTTACAAATATAAAGGAAAAAGATACCACAGTCAAAATACATAAGAAGTTTTTAACAATTTTTACTCCCTACTATTTAAAGTAAGGATTTTCACAGGAGAAGTTCCAGAATTATTTTGTTAATATGAACAAGACTCAGAAGACCATTTTCTCACCTTAGAAATTTATGGTAGCAGGAACATTCTGACCTTACAATGAAATTCAGAGTGTTAAATGCAGGTCAATATTTTCTAGTCTTTGCAAATGGGCAATCTAATACTTTTAATGTAAACTGTAAACAGTTGAAAAAAATTGCACCATTTGTTTATAAAGGCATTTCAGCTATTACAGAGTTTTGGTAAGGTACTGCTTTGACTAACACAGACTTTTGCATTTATTTATTTATGTGCTCATTCACTTCAAACTGAACTGAAAAGCATAGTTCAGTTGCACTTATAATTTATAAAGCAGACTTTTATTAAACTGTAAGTCATTATGAAACATACTGAATTTCTTGAGAAACATACCAATTTACACAAACATCTTTTGCTTTAGAGTGATCAACCTGATGCTCCTCTTTGAATTTAGAAAAGGAAGAAATTAAATTCCCACTTACATGTCTGTCTACTTGGACAGCTGGAAAGTAAAGCAATCGTAATTTTTATTTCTATTCATGTTCAAGTTCCAGTACCCTCAGTTTTATGGCAAATCAAGTAGCAAAGCTGTGAAAAGCAACACTCACACACTAATTTCTAAAACAGATGTGAGGAAAAAATACAAGCAAAAGATATACCTGTGTAACTTCTTTCAGGAGCAATTTTTTCTTCTATCTCTGATGTTTTGGAAGGGCCTGCTTGAGAACAGAAAAACCAGTTTTTAAGGGTGTCTCACAACAAACACATACTTCCAGCCCATACAGGAATTTGCCAAGTATCTTTTAATTTCCTATATTATGTGCTCACTTCATACCTTTTGTAATGTTAAACTTTGGAAAGACACTGTTAAATATTAAATATTTATAAAACCTTACTTACTTGTTTCAACAGACTAAAAATGGGGTTCCTGGCAGCACTGTGCATTTCTTGGACTACTGAACAGTCAAGAGATGCATGCTGAACAGCAGGTTTCAACTAATAAACTAATTTTTAAAAAGAAATGTTGATGCTTCTGCCTTTCTTCAATGATACTTTAATCAGCTATATCTTTTTCCTGTTCATTAAAGTTTATATTCCTAAGGAGTATTTGTATTCCTAAAGGAGTATATCTGTTCCAAGCCTCAGATTATATCCAGGTAGGAATGCTTGGTTTCTCCCCCTGGGCAGAGCATCTCACAATGGGAAGATGTAATTTATGAGTCATGCAGTGAGATTCGATGGCCCATTAACAGAGACAGACCCCGGAGTTATCAGGGATGAGTCATGGAGGAGATAAGGAACACTGCCCCACCTGCTCTAGCAGTTTATGAAGATGTAATAGAATACATTCTTTTGGTTACATCTTTGTAACTTAAGACAGTTCTAGAGCCCACTGACAGCAAACTGCCCCTTATTCTCTGTCAATACACCCACATGAAGTTTTAAATGGCTGAAGTCCTTATTTTTCAGTCATCTTACTGCGTACTGCTAAAACAATTCTAAATTTAGTAATTCAGTATTAACTTATAGCAACATCTAAATGGTGCAACCTTCAACCGAGATGAGAAGAACATCCACCTACAGATATAATTTTCCCTCTTTAATTAACAGAAAGAGGCAGTGTGCCACCCAGGCACATAGCACATTGATCAGCATTACAGTTCTTAGAGAGGAAGCACTTAAGAGAAAAAATACAACCATGAAATTTTATCAGTGAATCATTTTCTCCAGGAAGCCCAAGCAGATTGCTATCCTATAACACTAAAGTTGTTTCTTCTCAGAAATGGATAAGCCTGGCTTTTGCTGTAGGTTATTTTTAGCAAAACTTATCACCTTATCTGTTTTCTTTATTTTGTAGCAGATCTCTCCAAAGGCAATGCTGGGGTAAAACTGTCATTCCTCAGGAACACCCCACACAATAATCACTTTTTAAAGGTTCACTTCTTGTACAGCACCACAACCCATACACAAACATCTATGTGCCTCCAGAATTTATAGCTTTATAGTCTGGACACCCTTTGGCTTGAATCAGAGTGGTAGCTAGATGGAGAACAAATGGGAAGTTGCTTTACTTGTCTAGTCAGCATGACTTGACATAAAAGAGAAAACATCTTTAGCTCACAGCACCCCATCACTTCTACCAATATACTCAGTTCTGTCGTGCTTTAAATGCCATTTTGGACAACTATACAGCAGGCACAGACAAGGAGTTATCCATCAAGCACCACTTTATCAGAAAGAGATATCTATTTCTCTCCATCAATCAGAAGATTTAAATTTAGAGTTCTGTGAAAGACAACAGAAATCCTCCCTGTAAATGTGCTTAGACTTCACTCTGGAAGCATACTGCATGACTTGGATTTTTCAGCTGCAGTGCAATGGATACTATTTTGTAAAGAAGCTATTTCAGTGTAGACTCTCCTCAGATGGCATTGAGTTACACTGTGGGCTATTGGCCAAATTTGGACATCATTTGTATGCATGAAATGGGAAACCACAATGGGGATAAAAAGCAAAAGGATGAGAAGACTTGGCATTGCAAGGAACAATGACTAAGTTGTCTTCACACCAGTATCTACTTTTACTACATTAAATCATGCCTGTAAACGACTGATTTGCCTAGCCTGTAAGCCTCCAAGGCTAGGCAATGTACACATATGAAGAGCAGATAATCCTAACACCTTTCCAGTTCTGCACTCAAAGGGTGACACTTTGCTAGGCTATGGTTGAGATCTCTCTGAATGATGCTCTTATGCTTCTTGAGATATAAGTATTGATTCCACATCCCCATAGTTAGTTATTAAAGCACAATACAAAAGAGTCTCAAGAATCTTCTTGTCTGAACACACACAAAACGTTATCATAATAATATATAATACTACAAAATGAAGGGATGTGCTGTTTTGCACTTCACTGTTGAACATGTAACTGTCATTGAGAGATGAGTGGCAGCTTGCCCATGTTTCTTTGTATTACTCAACTAACAAAATGACAAGTACACATAAGTTGAAATTACAAATTTAAGGTTTTAGCTGTTTTATATTGCCATTTACAGTCACAATTTCTTAATTACCATTCATGTCAACATAAAGAAAAAACAATTTCTGTTTTCTCCTAGCTGAGGTGAATATGTAAGCTGGATACAAAGAGGTGAGGCAAAGCAACTGGGAGAAAACTTAAAACATACATGGAGGCTGAGCCATGGGCCTCATAAATATTGTTATGCTTTGTCCATATAAATAAACCTATCAATACAATTTTGACACATATTTTTCATTCCATAAAAGAAAAGTGACTGATACACTTGCAATCACAGAATCATAGAATGGCTAATTATATGATTCACAGTGTATAAAAGTTACTGAAATTTTAAACTAAAGAAAAAATTCAAGCAGTGTTCTAGAAAGCATCACTATAAAGGTTTATTTCCTGTTTAACAAAGTAATTGAATTATTGAATCTGCACATTGTACCCTCAGAAAAATAAATCAAGCAGTTTCAAAAGACTCCTGGAACTCCTTCAGGCCAAACACAAACATTTGCATTTGGAATGAAGTTGTTCTTTAGGTCTTTTGGTATTCTTCATAATAACTTGCATGATAGGCAGCATGGAAATGCTGTATCCTAACAGTGCTAAGAAATTGCATGTATAATGACCAAAAATTACTAAAAAGAGAGGCATGGAGGGATCAACACTTAGGCAACCAATCATTTCATGAGATAAACACTTATGAAAATTAGTAGAATTACCTGAAGTATTGAACTGATAGTAGTTAGGATCATCTCTTTCCTGCTTCATTGTTACTGTTGACATTTTGGAAGAAATTCCTGTAGAAGCAACAAAAGAATCAAATATGGAAACCAATAATAAGCAGATTCTTTAAACAAAACAAACAAAAGCACCCACCATGATCCTCGTTTGTCTCTATTAAAAAAAAAAAAAAAGAAGAAAAGAAAAAAAGAAAAGAAAAAAACACAAAACATTACACATTTGTTAAGCTAAAATAATGGTAACAAAGTGACCTGCTGGTTTCTTATGTTTCAGTTTGGTCAACCCCAGAAATAATCTAGGATTAAATACCTCCCTACAAACTAGGCTTCCCTGAAGATGCTGTCTAAGATCTGAAGAATATTTTTTAAATGGGCTCCTTCCTCTTTGCATGCTACCACAGGAAAAAAACATATTTTATCACTCATTGTGCTGAAAGTCCTGGAAAATCTCCTGCTCATTTTTCTGTGAGAATTACTTAAAATGTCTAAAAAGCAGCACTAGAAAGAGTCTGGGACTCACTTGATAAAAAGTTCACGTTAATGCTTTGTGCATGTTAAGCCAAACATAAACCACAAATTTAAAATTGTGACGCACAAATAACAAGAGCAGAAAGCTGGACTACGTATGAAAACTTAATTCTAATAGGAAAGTGAGCAGTGCAGCTCAACCCAGCAAAAGGGAAAGTCACCAGTTTATCCCCCAGCACACCTGCTGCCTCACTGGCTGTAATGGGATTACCCACGCTTTTATCTCACAGCACACACTTCAGCATTAGTCTGCCACAGATCACAGTGCCTTGGGGAATCATCTGCTACCTGCAGAGCAGCTTAGGAATGATCTGGCAATTTTTAAATAACAAATAACACATCTTGCTATTTATGAACTCTTTACTTCTATTTTAGCTAGAAAATAGATATTTTTTTCATTTTCAATATTTTAGGAATATTAACAAATAAATTCTTCTCTAAATTACATAAAGATAAATTTAGTCTACAATGTATTACAAATGTTTGTAATTTGTAATTTCCCTCTTGAAATGGAAGCATTTGGCTAGGGTTTAATATTTTATAAAAACTCCAACTGAAAAATGGACAGTTTCAAGGAAAGAAACGTTTTTCTATCTCACCAAGGATGTCTTTTTGCTCCTTTTATTTGGAGCTTTTTTGCCCCCTGTCCTTGCTTAAGTTCAGTCTTCTAACAAAATCTGACCTTTATTTTTTGCTGCAAATTAAGACAAAATTTTGAACATACCAGAATCCTTGCTTGGTTCCGTTTTCACATTAACAGGAGGACAACTATAAAATTAAGCAAATCAAACAGAATGACATTATTAAAAACAAACCTTAGATTTCTGGGAAGTTCTTAAAGCTTTATAGCTTGTTAAGCAAAATCAACCTCTCAGAATTTTTTCTAACAAGAACATAAAATTAAAAACCCCTGCATATTGGTTTATCTGATTTTTTAAAACTGAATTGTCAGCAATTTCCTATTCCTACATTTTTTTGAGGCATACACAATATTCAGATCATGTTTAGCATTTAATGAGAGGGAAACACAGAAGTACATAAAACTGATCCCTGATTTCACATTAAAATTTTTTGACATATTACAGATATAATATCTTCATTTACTAATTTTTAAAAAAACACTTTTTTCAAATTGAGGAGCGGGAAGGAAGCAACATTCCATCTGTTCTCCCTCAATGCTGTACCATAAAATATGGCAAAATTATCCCTGATTAACAGACTGTGAATTAAGAACACCTATTTAAACTAAAGAGAAACTTTGCCATTTGTTTAACTTGTAACAGTTTCCTCACAAATAATGCCCAAAATAAAGAAAAGATTGAGCTTCATGATTTTTATAATGCCAAGCAAGCAAAACTTATTCAAAGGTCAGCTGGGCAGAAAAAGCACATTGAGACAAAGATAACAACATGAAAATAGATAGTTGATTTTAAAAAAAAATCAACATTATTTTAAACTCACCTTTCACATGGGGGTATAACTGAAGGTGAAGGATCTGTCAACTCAGCTTCTGAAAGTTAAAAGACAATATTTTAATTTCCTGTACTCCATTTACTTTAAACTCAAATTGAAAATATAACACTGATTTCACAAAGCAAAAGCCTGTGCACATTTTAAAAGCATATGTGCATATTTTTGTTATTTACAGATAATGAAAGATCCTGTTAAACCATACTGAGAGAAACAGCTTTAGAATGTCACTTAGTACACTGAAAACCAACCTTGTATTTTTGATAGAACTATATTATTAACAGAATTCTGTAATATTCCATCTCTAGTCCTCAACCCGAGCATAGGCATCTCTACTTTTACTCATCAAGCATCAACTGCTAGCTCTTTCACTTAAAAAATGAATCTTTTCCTTTTTGACTACATTCCTACAGAGATTGCTTCATCATTTTCATAAAACAAATCCCCACTCTTATGCATTTAGCAAGTAAAGGAACATGATACCATAAAAGAAAGAAGAGAAGGGATTTCTCCTAAGCTAGACGTGAATCTCTCAAGTTTTACAATACTCACTCTAGCTCAGAATTTTTCATATATAGAGGCTTTCATAGGAACTACAACACCTAGCCACTTCAGAAGATTAAGTTACTTTTAAAAATTAAATGTAACTGCCAAAATCAGCTGGGTAGTGGAACACAAGCACTAGAATATCTTGGCATCTTCTAAAAACTGAAAGCAGTCCTTCCTATGTTCATTTCTTCTCCTAGGATACTATACAATTCACATTAAATTAATACTAAGTATAAAGATGAAGAAGACAAAGACTGACACAGAATGAATTATCTCTCATGAGTTGCTCCTGCCAAACACATAAAGGGAAGGGTTTTATATAAGAAAGGGTTACTTATAAGTAAGGCAACTCACAGTCTAGAAATTTCTGCAGTTTGCCACTTCATTTACATGACCAAATACTCTACATATATTGCTACCTAAACTCAAATTCCAATCTTTTTCTGTTTAGTCTGAATAAGGATTAACTTACCGATCTGTTTCTTTGGTTCTAGGATAGGCCTGTGAGGAAATATGGGAAGAAAAACTCAGTTTCAGCAAAGACACTGTTAATTACTTGGTAGTGTACATTAGAGAATTTCTGTATAAGAGAAGCAGTCTGCAGTGTATTTAATTAAAAATTAAAATTAATTTTACTTAAGTACAAAACCAAATTGGACAGACCAGCAAAAGAAAGAGAGCGAATAACCTGTTGATAATAAATGAGATCTCTGATTTGTTTTCCAAAATCCATTTCAGGGTGGAAAGATCATAATTTGATGGATGTTTAACTGTGACTCCTTCAGGCAGGCCCTGCACTATCAGAGGAGACTGGTTCCTCTGAATCTCTTCATATGGCACAGATACTGCTGTTGACTTTCCTAAAGCTTTTCCTAAAAAAAAGAAGAGGAGTTGTTGTGATGTTGAGTTAGCAAAAGAATGAGTCCCTCACAAAACTTTGTAACTTTGGAGAGAACTGGGACAAAAGCAGTGTGTGGATGTGAATCTTCTCAGAAAACCAAATCCTGCTGGCACTAATATGCACTGTGCAAAATCTCAAATCACATCCCACAAAACACATCCAGAGGAACCACTATATGTGTATTTTTTAGGAACAGCTACTAAACATGTCTAAAAATAGCAGTGTAGTTGGAAGGCTAAGACCATGCAGTTTTTTCCTCCCGAATGGAATAAAAATTTAAAAATCTAGAACAGCTCTTCAGAAGAATTTAAAGCACCCACCATAGGAAAAGCAGAAAAACTCCTCCACAGACATTCTAAGAGCCTCCAGCTCCTCAGCATCCACCGTCTTTCTGTTTACAGGTGCTGCAGTCTTTGTTTTCTGCAGTTCTGGAGGCCTGTCCTCTTCTGTAACACCTGGCAGTTATTTATAAAAATAAGACAAGCATAAAATAGTAAGTTATTAGAAGTGCCTAGTCCCACCATTTTAGATATTCTCAAGCAGGAAGTCTGCCAGGAAATTGCAAGAACTGACTTGTATTAGAAGCAAATGCACACATCTATGTACACAAGCAATGAGCAAATTTAAATTTACACCAGAATTAATACATCCTCACTACAATCTTGCAAATATCACCCCCTGAAGAACATGAATGACAAATTAGGAGACATATCCAAGGAGGATTTTTTTGGCATGGAGAGATTGAAAACACTATTAATCTCACAGAAGGATAATACAGTAAAAAAAAAAAGCTAAACTGCCAAGAAAAGAAGGATCAACAGAGTCACTAAGGAAAAGGTAAAATGCCAGTGTGAAGGGTCCCACAGCTCTCCAGTGCTGTGCATGTCATCTTATGCAGCAGTTCTATCATGTCCTGGTTTATTTATTCTGTATGTGCTTTGCAGAACATTTTACAGAAGGGATCTGACTTTTGCCATGACAGCTCATCTCTTTCAAAGGACATTTTAAGTACACACCTCCTACTGCTGAATAAGAGAAGCTACAAACAAGACATCATCACGCAAACAGAGAAGATTTCAGCCCTACATCTTGTTCCAGTCTCTGAGCAGAAGTCACTGCAAAATGAGTGAGGAAGTAAGAACACTTCCAGTATTAAAAAGCAAAGGGAAGAGATGGTTTCAGGTGGCAGCCTTCCTTTCTCATAACTCAATTCTTGCTAAGATTTACTAAGAATCATCCAGCAAAACCAGAGGCAAACAACAGAGATATGCTTGCCTACCTTGAAGGAAAGGCAAGGCAGATCTGTGTTCCTTTGTGCAAGAGCATGATCAGTGCTGAAGCTGTGTCATGACTTCACCACGAGCCAGCACAGCAGTAAGCCTGAAACACTGCGATGTGCATCACCAGGACTGCTGGCATCAGAATTCTACACTGACACAAGAAAACAAGCATCAGTTTGAACAACTGATTATAAATGGGCTGTGAAATGAGCTGAAGCAGCAATGCTTTTAGTAAAATCACAATTATCATCTTAAAAACTCGTATTTTCACTTCAAAGAGAATCTCATCCTTCCTCTGCAGATCATACGTCTGCTTCATGCTCTGGAAGCCCACCTCCACATGACATTTAGCTTGCCAGCTCTTCAGGCCTGAAACTTTTGCATTCTCTGCAGTATGACAGGGCCTATCAAAACATGAAAAATAATGCAAAACTGGGATATTGTTATATACCTGTAACACAGGTGGTTAATCAATGACAGCATTTAAGATTTGCCTGTGGACTTGGGATAAGACATCAGCTTCCATTTACAGCTACATCTAATGCAGCTTTTTGAGTGGGCATTTTTCCTATGTAAGAAATCGATTCACTGAAAATGTCTTTACTGCCAGCAGCTTCAGAAAGTGTACCCACACTTTCTAAAAATAATAAACAAACCAAAATTAAGATGACAACATTGCCCTCTTCATATGAAAATGAAAAGCAGACAGAAAGGTGGAGAAATTTTCTTTCATAACTAGAAGACAAACCCTTATGGGTTTTTTTCATTACATGATTTTTATGTGTTTTCTTAAGATCACATTATGCATCTGCCTCTCTAATCCCTCCCATAATTGTTGGCTGATTTTAATCAAGACTCACAAACAAGATTAAGTTTCAAATGCAGCAAGATTTGTAACAGCCCTGCACAACTGATCAAACCTAGCAAGCATTCACTCCTGGCACTACCAATGGACACGAACCCTTGGAGGCTACACAACTTCACAGGCTCCTCCAAAGCCCTTGCCACAATTACTGGAACCCCAAGCAGGATTCGGGCTACATCTGGGAGGGCATGCCTGGGACATATGCACCAAGATCTGGTGCAGAAGAGGGATGAGGGGGCGATATTTATGGCTCATGAAGGGGGAGGGATGGTTATATGGTAAAAGAATAGCATTCTGCACAGTTGTGAGCATCCTGTGGAATTAATTTCACTACTCCTCTGGATTCAGCAGGACTACAACTACACAACTCCCAACAACTCTCATTTTGCTTCAGTGTCTTATTTTCTTCAACTGTCCAATGTTTTGGTTCTTCAGAATATCCTTCCCTCCAGGTCTGACAGTCCAGCATACCACTTAGCTGGAAAAGGAATCTGCCAGCTGTCCCCGTTCTAAGAACAAATCCAGCACTGTCCTCATCTCACCAAAGAGTAAGAAACAAAGAAATCAAGCTTTAGCAGAACAACAATTTACTTAATTGAAACTTCCTCAAAAAAAAAAAAACAAAACAAAACAAACAAAAAAAAAAACACAAAAAAAAACCCCACCCACAAAAAAAACCAAAAACACCTGAAGATGAGATGCTCAATAGACTATCTGGTATCTGAAGCTGACAGATCTCAGGACTCTTCTAGCAAAAGAACTGTCAGTCCCATGGCAGTTAAGGCATCTTAGAACATCAGAAGGTTTTTAATCTGGTGTGTTTCAATCCCTCAGGGAGAGAAAAATAAGAAGTAATTTTAAGAATATGAATGTGACCCCTGCACAGACACTCTAAGAGGCAACTTAAGAGCAACAACAATCTTGTGACACCTCTCGTAAACATGTATTTCATTATTTGTACTTAAGGAAAACTACTGCAATGAAAGAGGAAAAGTAAATGGGAGCATATCTAAAAGCATTTTGCTTTGGTTATAATGTCATTCACTCAATTCATCTGTGAGCTTTTTAAGGCCATCCAGCTTTACAGTTCATGAAATTGGAAAATTTCCTCAAATTAAAGAAAAATAATTTTATAATTATCAAAGGATCACTTGAACCACACAAAAAGTCAATCACCTGAAGCAGAATTTAGGAGGCAGGAAATTTCAAAAATACTGACTACCTACAGTAATTTTCTGTTTGTTTTTGACTCTGAGGGAACAAGATATGTAGTTTCCAAGGAAATGGGACTGAACTTTCCCCACAGGTTTTTAAACCAGCTGTTAACTTCATACCCCTTAGCTGACTAGGCAGAGACAGAAAGGTTTGTGGCAATCAAGCCAAGCAACCTAGCTGTGCAAGTTACTCAGAAGGATGCAAAGACACAAAAGCCTAGCTGCAGATCTTCAAGCAGGTCCACAGTAGCCTAGTTTATGGGAAGAATCATTTCACTTGTCTGCAGATGATGGAATACATCCAAGAGGAAACAGATATTCACATACCAAAAAAAACATTCTGAGGAGCCAAAACTGAGCAATCTTTCCCATAAAGTCTGTGGAGAACTGCATTCCATTCATTCTTCCTGAGCAGCAGGAATGGCTGTGTTCTTACATTAATAACACCCAGATTGTGAGCATTCTTGAAACTACAAGTTCTCACATGTGGCTGGGTGGACATGGAGGTACAGGAAAGAAGAATAGAAGACTCTGGCCCAAAGTCTCTAGCAGGACTTGGTCAAACTCAGGCCCATACCAGATGCACTCTTAAGATCAGTGCGGAAACCCAAGGCTATCAGAAGAAAAATGAAGGCTCCAAAAATAAAGCACCTATCCAAGACAAAACACCTACAGGTGCAAGATGGCCCCATCTCAGGCAAGTGAGCCCAAAGCCCTGGCACCACCAAAGGAAAAAGCAGCATGACTGGGAGAGCTGCCAGAAGTTGCAGAAGTAGCAGGATTAAGCCTCTCTGCAACCTACATATTAATGGTGTAGCAGCCAGTACCAGCAGAGACAACTGGGATTCTTGGGAAAGAATTGTCTCCTTGGCAGATGGGATGGAACACATGGTGCTGGATAAGTATCTTTCAAAGTCCAGAACAAGTGACCAAAAGTCAGGAAGCTCTTCTGAAAATTCCCTTCTGACAGGAAAATACAACCTGGGGAAAAGTGTTGTTCTGAAGTAATGTTTTCTGGAATTATCAACATCGTTCTCAGGGAGAAAGGAAAACTACTTCCAGCATCAAGGCTCTCCTGAAAGCATGGGAGATAACTTCATACCCCTTAGCTGATTAGGCAGAGACAGAAAGGTTTGTGGCAATCAAGCCAAGCAACCTAGCTGTGCAAGTTACTCAGAAGGATGCAAAGAGACAGAAGCCTAGCTGCAGATCTTCAAGCAGGTCCACAGTAGCCTAGTTTATGGGAAGAATCATTTCACTTGTCTGCAGATGATGGAATACATCCAAGAGGAAACAGATATTCACATACCAAAAAAAACATTCTGAGGAGCCAAAACTGAGCAATCTTTCCCATAAAGTCTGTGGAGAACTGCATTCCATTCATTCTTCCTGAGCAGCAGGAATGGCTGTGTTCTTACATTAATAACACCCAGATTGTGAGCATTCTTGAAACTACAAGTTCTCACATGTGGCTGGGTGGACATGGAGGTACAGGAAAGAAGAATAGAAGACTCTGGCCCAAAGTCTCTAACAGGACTTGAAGTCAAACTCAGGCCCATACCAGATGCACTGTTAAGATCAGTGCGGAAACCCAAGGCTATCAGAAGAAAAATGAAGGCTCCAAAAATAAAGCACCTATCCAAGACAAAACACCTACAGGTGCAAGATGGCCCCATCTCAGGCAAGTGAGCCCAAAGCCCTGGCACCACCAAAGGAAAAAGCAGCATGACTGGGAGAGCTGCCAGAAGTTGCAGAAGTAGCAGGATTAAGCCTCTCTGCAACCTACATATTAATGGTGTAGCAGCCAGTACCAGCAGAGACAACTGGGATTCTTGGGAAAGAACTGTCTCCTTGGCAGATGGGATGGAACACATGGTGCTGGATAAGTATCTTTCAAAGTCCAGAACAAGTGACCAAAAGTCAGGAAGCTCTTCTGAAAATTCCCTTCTGACAGGAAAATACAACCTGGGGAAAAGTGTTGTTCTGAAGTAATGTTTTCTGGAATTATCAACATCGTTCTCAGGGAGAAAGGAAAACTACTTCCAGCATCAAGGCTCTCCTGAAAGCATGGGAGATGTGCACTTAGTGAAACCATAAAAGCAACGACTGACAATAGTTGACCTTGTTCACACAGATCTATGCTATAATGTTCTGCAATAATCATAACGGAAACACTGTTTTCAAAGTTAGTATTTTTTAATCCTATCAGCCTGACAGTACAAAAACACAGCCCAAGAACAAGTATCTTGTAACTGGAATAAAGCAAAAGGTGAGGATTATCAAAACTGATGTAGGATTTAAACACAAGCATGCATCTATAGAAACCACATCTCATAAAGCCAAATACAAGCATATATGAGAAGCCAGTGCTTCCCACAGTACAAAATCTGAAACAGAGATCTAGCCAAGAGATCAAACGGCAAATCCCCGTAATTTCAGATTCCCTACTAATACTGTGTCCACTACACAAAGTCCCTGGTGTATCAGGGCCCATGATACCACTGTACTGGCAATAAAACATAGTACCTAGGATGTCAGAGAAGTCACTTAAGCAACAAAAACAAAAAAAGCCACCAGGTGAAAAATGGAACTCCCTCCCCAGTACTCAGATAGCAGTTTTCACAAACAACAGTATATGAAGATTGTCCCTGTAAAAAATGAACAAAAAAGAAAAATAAATTGATTCATCTTATACTTGATTCCTCAACTGGGTTACAATTCTACATTTTGATATCAGTTATCTGTTACAACCCAACACTGTGGTGACTTTCCTTTGAGTAAATATGTGCACAGAAAGTCACTGTCCATGCCAGTAGGACAAAAAAATCCCAGAGCCCTACTGTCTGAGGCTTCAAGATGTGGCTGGGGGTGTGTATCCTATTGCCATCTGTCAGAGGTGGGGCAGTTATCTTCTGTTCACTGGGCCACCTGTTAAAACCAGGTGGGGCAGTTTTCTTTATCTCCCCCACAGGCAATCCTCCCTCCTCTGCTGTCCATGGCCACTGAGTGTCCCTGCAGGGCTGATCAAATTCCAGCATCCCATGGGGAGATGCTCCGCCCAGGGCAGGAGCCAAGCATTCCTACCTGGATCCAATCTGAGCCTGGAACAGCACAGCAGCCTTTGCCCACTGCATTCCCAGAGGAGCAGCTTTCTCCTGCCCTGCATTCCCAGAGGAAGAGCAGGCCCATCTCCAGCAGCCCTGGAGCTGCAGAGGAAAACTCCCCCCTTGTGCAGGATCCCTGCTGCAGCAGAAGCACAGCTGGCACTGCAGGAGGGCTGAGCCCCCATGGGATGGGACTGTGCCACCACCCTGACCCACAGGGGGCCAGGGCCTGCTCTGATCTCTGGCAGTGTTTTTTGGGGTTTTTTTTTGTACTTTTGTATTTTAGTTTTTCCTAGCAAAGGACTGTTATTCCTATTCCCATATCTTTGCCTGAGAGCTCCTTAATTTCAATATTACAGTAATTCAGAAGGAAGGGGGTTACATTTTCCGTTTTATGGGAGGCTCCTGCCTTCCTTAGCAGACATCTGCCTTCTTCAAACCAAGACAGATAGCACAAACAACTAACCTTGAGACAAGCCTCAACCTTGAGACAGAGCCAAAACAATTTTATGTAGCAGCAAAAGCATTTTTGGGAGTAAGTCTTTCTATTACAGACTAAACGCAGTTGCTTTCCAAGTAGTATTTAACTGGACAGTTTTTTTAACTCCTCCTCAGACTGATTCTTCTATCATACCCTACCTTTGATTTCCATCTTCTCTCTTTCTCTAGGCAAATAATTTTGTTATTTATTAGGCAGCATCCACCACCAACACCTTCCTAAATGAGTGCATCAATGCTCCCCTAAATCATCACTGAATCTTTGAAACCTATCCCTAAAAATACTGTCCTGTATGAATCAATTAATCAAGTTTTGTTAACACGAAAGTTCCACTGTTTTACTGCAAAAATGAAATTAAACAAAAAACACACCCTAGATGTACTTAAAGCAGTACAAAAGTAATGCAGATGTAATTTTAAGTCATTATGGTACTACATACATGTACTTCTGTCTACTAAATAAAAGTGATATAAAATAACTACATGAAAAAATACTATCTTGTCAAAATTGTGCATCTGCTTCAGTAAAGCATGAACTGATCTGAAGAACCAGGATGATCTGAGTCGACAGAAGTACTTCTCTACCTGTTCAGTGCTCTCCTCACTCTTCCTGAGTGGAAAAATTTTGGAGGAGAGGATACAAAAATTAACACATACTAGGAAAAGCAAGATGTATTATAAGAGTGGACTGTCTAATACTTCTTATTGTACTACTTTTCACATTATCTAAGAAAACAGGAAAGTTTCCAGCCATTGTAGAAATAACACTACAAACAAGACCCGTGTTACTGCTCATTTTACAGCTTGATTTGCATTAGCTAACAAAATTATAGCACACAGCCATGAAAGACAGAATTTTGCTCCCAAAATTATCAATACTATGCAATATACATTATGCAGCTTGTGACATACAAAAATAAAACATTGAAACTTACAGTATTCAATAAAATCCGTCTTAAAATCTTCCCTAGAGTTGACAAAGGCTTTTCCTCTTTCAGTTCCAACAACAAAAACATTTCTTGCATATACACCAATACAGGCAATTTCTGCCTTGGACTTGGAAAGTTCTTTACACTATAAAAAGAAAAAGAAAAAGCTTTTATTACCATAGTTAGATGCAGTTAATAAAAGTGTATATGATATCATATAAAACAATTACTGCTGCCAGCATCCACCCTTCAGAAGGTACTGTGAGCAACATAACATCAACCAGTAGCAAAGCACAATTTACACATCTGGAATGCTTTTCATCAGAAATCTTAAAAGCATTGTAGATTCATTAGTAAATTAAGACCTTGTATAGACTCAGATTGCATTGTTTTTAATTAAAATTATTTATTACATTAATCCATGTTAAATTACCACTTCCATACTGAGCGTCTTACTCCAACTTTCAACAAAGCATATAGAAGTTTTGTATATTCACAGCACAATTCTCACACACCATCTTCTGTTCAGAAAGGTGTGGTTGCAAGCAGGATGGCTCCCTGTAGACTGCCCTGTCCTGTCTGCTGGGCCCAGCCTCAGGTGAATGTCCCCTGAATGGAAGGATTGCACCATCCCTGCCAACATCTACATATATTCTGCCAGGAGAAATTTCTGGCAAGAATTAAGGCAGGAAGCCTATGGAGAGAACAAGAATCCCAAGAAAACTGTTGAGATGACCAAGTAGTAATCACAGAAGGTCAGTCTCTCCTAGGAACTAAATCAGAGATTGCTACAACCTATAAAAGCTAACAATTGCAGCATGGGCAGAAAAAGTGACACAAAGACTTTAAGAAACAAAGGGAGAAAAGACTTGCAATATACTGTCTTATAACTATTCCACTCAAAATTTCATTACTAAAAAGAAAACTCTTGCTTATCATTTAAAAATCTCAATTTTAAAGAAACAAATCTTGGACAGTGCCTCAATTTCAAGGAAATGTGACAGGCATTTCCACTCACAGCCCCAGCCAACTGTAAGCCCTGCCACACAATTTAATAACTTGTAAAAAACAGATGATATGCCAACAAAAAGAAGTATTTTCTGAACAAGTTTTGTTGAGTTGGTACAGCAGCTGAAGACAAGGCAGTAGCCTCAAAACCATTTATTCACTCTACACAACATATGACAAAGAACAGAACACACTCTTGCCTCTCAACTACGCTGTACCTAAGCAATCATCAAATACTTCCTCTATTTATCTGACAAAATAATTTTTAAAACAATCACCCCACAACAAGAAACAAGATAACTGATAGTATGATTTACCACAAGCAAAGATAGAATTATAGCTGGTTGGACAACATACATTATGGTACAAATACAACAATCCACCTTCCCTGCTGCCCAGTGGGAAGCAATATACTGATATAATCCTGCAAATACCAAGACACATCTATGATGCAGAAACGTAACTCCTCTACTAACCATTGACTCAAGTCCTGACATGAGGAATGTAACCACCATTCTGCTTTCCAAGGATTCCTCATCATGGATGGATGTTGCTGGAGCAAGAGTTTGAGCCATTTTACTCCTGTAAAATGAACAGAAAAAACCTTTTCAGATACATACAACAGTGCAAAAAAATGAAAACCCTTCTCATGCAAGCAATGAAAAAAAATAAATTAAAAATCCCATAGAACATAGCCCACTACACACAAGCAACCAAACACATAGGTAAATTAACAGGAGAAAGTGCTTGCCCTTCTTTCATGCTTCCTGCTGTTTCATCCAAAGCTGGAGCTAAACATAAGATAAAATGTTGTATCATGATCTGGCCACACACTATCTGTGCCCAGAAAAATGCATTTTAATTGATTAGCTGAATTTACATTAGTTTTTCTTTCTTAGTATGTCTAAATAAACACAGCAACAAACACTGCCATTAACAAACAAATGGCAAACTGTAATTATGACGCAGGTATGAGAACAACCTTCCATTATAACTATGATAGCCTAGCTCAAAACAAACAATCACCACTCTGCCCCAAAGACTACAGTATCAATAACCAGAATGTGACATTCTTATTTGCATATTCTTCAGTTGTGGGATTTACTCAAAGCTAAGTAGTCTCAACTAAGGTGCTAAAATTAATTACTAAATTTCAGCACCCCTTCTTTTCTGTAAGTCATTCAGGCCATTTTCGACCTACTTAAATCATAAGTAATAATCAAGATTTGTTTATGCTTCTGTTGTAGAATTGTTTATACAAGACTGATATATGAGAATGAAGTTTCAGCAGCTTCTAAGAGCACATTTTTCTATTGGAGTGTTGCAGCTTCTTATGTTTACACATATCTAGAGCAATAACCTGACATGCTTGCAGGAAGAGAGAACTGCTAGATAATTTAGCTCTAACAACTCCACATGCAAGTCAAGAAAAATCAACAGACAAGATGTAGCAGGTAAACAGGACATTTCATAGGTTGATGACATAGCTTCCTGCTCCTGTAGAACCTGGCCACACAATGTGGCTCAAGTTTTCAAAGCTGACAAGTATCCTATTACATACATACGTAGGTAAGTCAGGGCAGCACATTGCATGTGATAATGTGCTGTCTTTGGAGAAAAAAAGAAGACACTGTGTTGTTTCTAGGACTTAGAGCACTTCAGGCTACAAATCGGATGAGAGGGGGGAAAAACCATAAAGCCCAAATTATAAACAATGCAAACTCAAAACACATCTATCAGCCTTCTGGCTCTCAGGCACAAGGAAGCAAACTGCAATTTGGATGAAGTGCACTGTGGAAGAAGTGGCAGGGACTGGCATGGTCAGCAGGTGTTGGAGGATGCCAGTAACGAAGATGCTGAACACTGGTACCTGCTACACTGAGGAGGAGGCACACAGGTCCTTCACCAGGTCTAAAAAAGGAGCCAACTTTGAGAGTGAATATAAAGGAACAATTGTAATATGTTCATGGCTTCAGCAACCTGAGAGAGGGCTTATGGGGACGGATAGAGGCTGATGAGATTATTCTTCAGAGCAAGAGAGGCATTGCTTCTGGAATATCAGAGATAAAAGGGAGATTATGACATAAATAAATCTTTAGTGAGCCATGACTTGATACATAATAGAGTTCTCAAGCTCATCTTTGGAACTCCTTTAGGGTTGGGATGCTGACAGTGATTTTAAACATGATAGCTTTTAGACTTTCTGTAAAATGACACTTTAATAATCACAATATTAAAGATTAAATAGAAGATAACTACACATTTCCACTTTCTCCAATATCTCTATTCACTGTCTGATTTGCAAAGCTACCTTGTCCAGAAAACAGACCAAGGAAATTCTAGAAACCATTTGAAGGCTGTGGATGCACAGTCACATCAGAGAAGTGCCAGTTCAAGCTGCCTCCCCATGCAGTATTGCTCCCACCCCTGGAAGGTGATTTCTGACCCATAGGTGCAGAGTGGATCAAGCTAAGGAGTTTGTCCAAGGAATAAAGAAGTGCTCCACTGGACTGGGTCACAGCCTCAGTACCTCAGAATCACATCTGGATACCATCCTGGGGTGACTTTATGACGCTTGTATCCCCAGTTGTCTGTTCTGTTTATGCTGGATGTTAAGTTCTGCACCTTTAAGACTGGTTCTGAGAGCAAAGCGGGGGAAAAGAAGTGCACAGTTTGTTTTCAGAAACTGCACTTGCTCCCCGCATTCCTCCTCCTGGACTGTGCTGTCTGCAGCATGGACAGAGAGCAGGAGAGAGCTCTCCTTTGATTTTTAGGGTTTTTTTAGCTTGCTGAGGCAGTGAAGTTCCCTGGACTGTGGCTTATTGGGACATTGGCAGACACAAGACACCTGACGGACTTTGGACCTGGTTAGCATAAAAGATTTGATAACAGGATGCCTTGGCAATAGCAAACAGAACTCTGAGGATTAAATCAACATTGCAAGAAGATTCAAACAGACTAACTTACCAGAAAAAGAAAATTACATCAGACTTCTGCAAGCAAGAGATTTGTAAAATGCCTAATTTTGTTTATGGGATGATTAACCCAATCCTGATAGTAAAACATTATTTGCTTTCCTAAAATACTTTATAAGCATTTGTATCCCACAATAAATTCAAATTCTTTAACCATCACACCAAGTCCCCATCTCCCTCTCTTCATCACCAATAGTGGCTTTTCTTTTTCTTGGAACTGTACAAACCTACTCTGGACTAAAAACCCAGAAGAGCAGTGGGAGCTCACACCTGTGGCCCACCAGGGCTGGGACGCAGCATTTTCCAGTGCGGGAGGGACTGGTAAGAGACTGAGCAAGCTGAACTAAAGGACTTTCTGAATTTTCCATCTCTTCAGAACAGTGAGAAGTTTTATTGTTTAATATTATTCTTTTTTTATGCTTGTGAATACTTTGCTTGTTAAGCAAACAGTTTTTTCCACTTTTCTCCAAGGAAATCTTTTCCCGAACCAGTAGCAGGAGGGGCTTGAGTCTGCTTTCTGGAGGAAGCCTTTTGAAGCTTTCTCCTAAATTTGCCCAAAACCAGTAAAAATAAATTTTTTTGGCGCCCAATGTAGGGCTCGAGCAAGTGGAAAAACCCTGTACTGATTGCATTCTGGTTGTACTTACTCTGTATTTGAATAAAGCAGTCAGTAGCTATATTGCTTGAAGAGATAATGTCTCTCTGGGTGGAGGCCTTCATGCATCTCTGGTCCCCAGGCTTTTTTGAGTTTTCAACATCTTTTTGGCCCCTAGATTTATTTTCTTATCTGGAGATAGCTTCAGTATTGTCCCTAACATGCAGTTTTTACACTAGAGAGGCACAAATCAGAATAGCTATTTTGCTTGACATGGTGATAATGATTTATAGGGAGTTTGGAAAGGTACTGGAGTTTGCCCCAGATATATATGTTTTATGGTTTCTTTGTCCTATCCTGCATCCCTGTTCCAGTAGCATGTTTTGGGGGTTTATTAGTAATTGCACCCAGTTTATTAGAGGAGGAGCAGGGGAAGAGGCTTTTCAGCCTTTCCTTTCTTTCTTCTCCTTTGAATCGGTTACGTCACTATTTGAGAATGTTTTGTTTCCCCTGAATGTTAAAGAGACCACTTTCTTGGCATTTTATCTGGTAAACTTCCTCGGTATAGTCTGCAGCTTGTCTAGAATGAGGGTTGAGATATCCATATGAGCTGATGAAACTCCTGACCCAGGAGTAGACCCAGACATGGAAAATCCTGAGTGGCTTGGAGAATGGGAGGATATGGGCCAAACCCTGAAGAATTTTCTGACCCTAGAGCCTGGGACTTTTCATGTGAACAAATATAGAACTCAGCTGAAGTGCAGGAATACCTGAGGAGAACTACAATGATGAGTCTAAGGAGAAAAAGCTTATTATAATAAGCTGGGCCCTGGCCTATGTTTATGTCTTGGTTTGAAAAGACAGGAGCATACTCAGTTCTCACTTAAGCACAAGCCAGGACAGTTTATCACATGCTGCTAGATACTGCAGGGCAGCTGATAGAGGAAGGGGGGCAGGGAGATAAATCAGCAGCTACCACACTCACTCAGGCTACAGCCAGCACCCCAGCTAATCAGGTTTGTAGCTAAACCAGACAGTGAGCTTAAGCCACTGGCAGATGCTGCTGCAGGAAAGAAGCACAAAAACAAAACCAATCAACAAGTGGACAATTGTCTTGGGGGGAGAGTCAGATAACATTTTCCCTTTGCCTCCCTACACATGGTCACCCACAGCAGGTGCCATCTTGGAAAGAGTATTTCTGCCATTTTGGGTGCCTCTTTGTTCCCCAGCAGTTGGTGAGATTTAGCAATTTTGTAGCTAGTGATTATTTACTGTTATTTTTTTGCCTGTTCCTTGTTAGTAAACTGATGTTTTTCTACTTATCTCTACTCATATTCACTTTCTCCTTATTGATAAAAAGGGATTGATTGAAATTAAGGGGAGGTAACTCATTTAGAGTGTCTACCTTCTAAAATTAACTTAAATCAAGACACCAGAATTCCATGCCATCTAACAGTGACTTGGAAAACCAAATGACATCACCGAATGTCCACTCCTTCCTTCTTCCCCCTGCTCTGTATGCTGAGCATGACACCATACCCTCCAGGATGGCCCTGGGGTCAGCTGTCCTGGCTGTGTCCTCCTCAACTTCTTGTGCACCCCCAGCCTCCTCACTGGTGGGGTGAAAAGCAAAAAAATCCTTGGCTCTGTACAAACACTGTTCAGAGGTAATGAAAACATCCTTGAGTCACCACCACTGTTTCCAGCAGAAGTCAAAACCAGGGTCCTGTACCAGCTACTAAAAAACTATCTCAGCTAGAACCAGCACACCCCCAAGGTAAGGACCACGACAATACAGTGCTAAAAGTATCTCTGAATTTTCCTTTTAGAAGGACAAAACTAAAGACCAAATGTTACAACCCACCTCTGAAGGCAGGATAAATGAGGTTCATGTTAATAGAGCCCCTGAGGCAGATTAGACTGAAACAACAGTGAAAGATCAGTATACATATATATAAATAAATATACATATATATAAATAAATATATATATAAAATATATATAAATAAATATATATGTGCCTCAGTTTGAGAGACACATGTCGGCCAAGGAAGGGGAGAACCTCCCTTGGAATGGAGTGTATGACCCCGCTTCTATCCAAGTTATTTTAATGCCAAAGTTAAGGGGCTTTCAGGTAAAGATATAGGAAAAAAAAGATATAGGAAAACCCTAACAGTTCCTTACTGGTATGTATGTGTATAACAAGGCAATCAAGCAAAGAGCAGCAGCACAAAGCCAGCCCCAGCCGTGTCCCGGCTGCAGAGAAGGGCCCCTTCCCCTGGCTGCAGTTCTGGGCGCGGCCAGCAGGGGCGCTGCTGGCTGCCGGCGGGCACGCGGGGGCGCGGGTTATTACCTCAAATACCGTGCATGCTAATGACAGAAAACTTCCTATTTATATACCATATTTTACATACATATTCATTGATTTTTCTCAAAATAAACATACATATGGTAATAATTTCTCCCAATCTGTTAACATAGGTTTTTTCTACCCTTTATCCATGCATTTTCCTGTCCTGAGGGACTCTTTGGTGGCTCCTGGTGGTTGGCGACCCCAAAGTCATACCTGACCACTCAGTGAACTGGTAGAAATTGGTACAGCCAGGCTGATTGTGCTCTGGTTCTTCTTACAGAATGGGCACTGTGCAGTTCCAGCACATCCAACAGCACTGACTCAGCACCAAGTCACAAGAAACCAGCAGCATTTTGGTAGAAGAGGATGAGGTGGCGAGGAGAGTTCATCACACAGCTGAGACCTTCCCAAAACCAAGGATAACTTTTTTCTTGGTAATTTTATGGTAGTCAGCACCGTGACTTTTTAGTCAGCCTACATGATCTCTGATACTATTAAGAACAATTAAAAGAGTAAAACACAATTCTAGCAGCTGCTATTTGAAGTGTCCTACTGCAGCACCTAGGCATTCATAAATTACACTGGAATTATGCAAACAAAATTAAATATTAATCACAGCACATCTGACCATCTGATAAATCCTGTCTTTACCGGTGTAATTTTATTTACTCAGTCAACATGATGATCAGCTTCACTAAGAATTACAGTTCTGTGTATCCATCAAGACACAAGAGTATTTGAGAAGTGAATTAATTTCATCTAAACTCTACTGGTACTTCTTTAATTTCAACAGCATTGGTGCTGACACATTTTTCAGACAGAGAAATTGCTGTCCTCACTAATGCAAGCTGTTACTTTGTATTTCTATACTGCAACAGTCACATACAGCAAACAAAAGACTCAGGTTTAAAGACAAACAAAACCTTTCAAATTTTTCTGGGGCTCTTACAAAGAGGTAATTAAACACTAAGCACCTATTCGCATTCCATCACCTTGGAGGAAAAAAAATCATCTGGTCAGTTTACAGCTGGCATCCAAAGTGGGCATCTCTGCACAGTGGCTTCATGCCCTCAAGTGCCCCTTGTCCCCAAGTGCCCCTTGTCCCTAAGTGCCCCTTGTCCCCACTGGAGTGCTGCTGCCTACCACAGCACACATCAGGGCACTGACTGGGAAACCAATCATCCCACCACTCTTCAGCAGTATTCAGCCCCCTCCACTTGGTCACTTCATTCCCTCTGCAGCTCTCTCCTTTGTTCTTATTATTACATGGAACCAATTGAACCAGAACGCTGATTTCCATGGAATTAATTACATGTGTTCTTCCTTGCCTTAAAGGAAGAATACTGGTCAATCCTATTATGAGGGTCTCTTCACCCAGAAAAAAAGTCCAGGGACCAGAAATAAAAGTCAACTTGACAAGCCAAAGTTTGGAAATGTGTCATAAAATTACAAATACACAATCTTTTCAGAGGAACACAAGCTTCAATCAAACTTCTAGGAAAAGGTTTCATGTCCTGATGGATAAGAAAAAAGGCTATCAGTAATGGTACCTCAGCTGTCCCTAGAGTCCCCTATGCCAGACTGCTTAGGAAACAAACTTTTATGCCATCTAATTTACATAATAGAACTACAAGTCTGGTTCTTCAGTTTCGTTATTGATTCCTTTAAAATGCTTCATTAGATTTTGTTATCTTAAATGCAGAGTTTAAGTTAAACAAGCAGAAAAAAATGTTAGATATATTTACAAAAGCAGTCAAAAAGTTGTTCCTTATTGTGAGATACTGACTGAAAAACTTGTACACTGACAGCTCAGCTACGTGATTAGCTTACGGGGGCAGCTGCACTCATGAAACTGTCACCATGTTTCTATCAAGTACCTCACATACCAAACCTTTGGTAAAAGGAGACTGCAAACAGAAAACTGACAACACAACAGGTGATACCCAAAATATTTTGTGATTGAAAATGTTGTGAAAGCAAAAAAAGCTCATAAGGTTATATATCCATACAGATGTACAATTATATGCCAAATTCTCTTTAACACCAGGCTAAAGAGGCTTCTGCAGCAATTCTTTCTTGTCAGCTGGAGCTGTTCTTTGCTGGTGGCTGTGCTGTTGCACGTGGGGCCACTGATAATAGGAAACGTGTGTTTATGAAAATTCAGAATTTTAGAAGCATATAATGTACTTTGGTGGGTGGAATAAAACAGAAATATATATAGCTTATTTAACAAGTTTGTAAAAACAAGAACAAAGCTTGGAACAAGAATGCAACTTGTTAGGTAGAAACAACTTGTGACAGAACACAAAAGAATATAGCTGCTAGGTAAAGACCATAAAGATAAGAAAACTCAGTAAAGCAGGATTCAGGTATTGTTGAAACCCATAAAGCAGAACCCAAACCAGCCAGGACCAGGCTCATGGTTTTGACCAGAACAAACTGGGACAAACCTCCACTGCACTTGTCCAGAAGAAGTCAAGCAGCAAACACTGAGGATCTTACTTTATCAAGAAGACCCCTGCCCAAGACCTCCAGGGGGCATGGCAACACAGAAGACTAATTATAATATGAAGTGCAAGGAGGCAGAGTAGACAGGAATGGGTGGGGAGGAAGGTGTGGGCTTGGGAGATCAATGAGTATTTAAACCTGAAACCAAACTCACCAGGTACACATGTATGGAGGAAATATTCCCCACATGTCCTACCTGGTAATAACATTCCTGCTCTACAATTTTAATTGTAAAATCCTTATTCATATACTCACCACTAAAATTACTAGAAGGATGGAACAATTCTCCTACAACAAAAGGCAGAAAGAATATCTTTTCACATAAATATTAACAGCAAAATAAAGGGTAAGACCAACCTTTGTTCTCTGTCAGATGCAGGAGGAAACTCAGTAACTGCAGATAAGGAAAAGGAGGAAGCGCTTAATGCCTTCTTTACCTCAGTGTTTAGTGGGAAGACTGCTCATCCTCAGGACAACTGTCCTCTTGGGTTGGTAGATGGTGTCAGGGAGCAGAATGATATCCCAGCTATCCAGGAGGAGGCCATCACAGAACTGCTGGGACACTTGGATGTTCATAAATCTACAGGCCCAGGTAGGATCCACCCCAGAGTGATGAGGGAACTGGCAGATGAATTTGCAAAGCTGCTCTCCATCCTTTACCAACAGTCCTGGCTCATGGTGAGGTTCCGGATGACTGGAAGCTGGCCAACGTGACACCCATTTACAAACAAGATGGGAAGAAAAATTCTGGCAATTATAGGCCAGTTAGTCTGATCTCAGTTCCCAGTAAGGTAATGGAACAGTTTGAGCATCATATTAAGCAGCATCACACAGCACTTACAGGATGGCCAGGGTATCAGACACAGCCAGCAAGGGTTTAGGAGGGGAAGGTCATGTTTGATCAACCTGATCTCATTTTATTACCAGGTGACCCTCCTGGTGGATGCAGGAAAGGCTGGATGTTGTGTTCCTTGACTCCAGTAAGGCCTTTGGCACTGTGTCCCACAGCATTCCCTGGGAAAGTTGCAGCCCAGGGCTGGGACAGGAGCACTCTGTGCTGGGTTCAGAACTGGCTGCATGGCCGGCCCAGAGAGTGCTGGTGAGGGTGCTGCATCCAGCTTGCTGCATTTCAGCCACAATAACCCCCTGCAGTGCTCTGGGCTGGGCACAGTGTGGCTGCACAGTGCCCAGGCACAAAGGGACCTGGGGGTGCTGGTCAACAGCGACTGAACGTGAGCCAGCAGTGTGCCCTGCTGGCCAAGAAGGCCAATGGCTCCTGGCCTGGAGCAGGAATGGTGTGGCCAGCAGGAGCAGGGAGGTCACCCTTCCCCTGCACTGGGCACTGCTGAGGGCACACCTCGAGTGCTGTGCCCAGCTCTGGCCCCTCACTTTGGGAAGGACGTTGGGACGCTCGAGCGCGGCCAGAGCAGGCAGCGAGGCTGGAGAGGGGCTGGGAACACAAACCCTGAGAGGAGCCACTGAGGGAGCTGGGGGTGCTCAGCCTGGAGAAAAGGAGACTCAGGGGTGACCTTATCACTCTACAACTCCCTGGAAGGTGGCTGGGCTCAGCTGGGACTGGTCTCATTGTCCAGGCAGCAACTGATAGAACCAGAACACACAGTCTCCAGCTGCACCAAGAGAAATGTAAATCAGATATTAGGAAGGTTTTTTACAGAAAGGGTGATAAAGTACTGGAATTGTCTGTCCGGGGAGGTAAAGGAATCACCATCCCTGGATGTGTTTAACAAAGCGTGGATGTAGCACTCGGTGCCAAGGTTTACAGGTGTTGGGGCATGAGTTAGACTCTCTGACCTTGAAGCTCTCTTCCAACCTTGTGATTCTGTCATTGGGATTGTTCAGCCTGGAGAAAAGAAGGCCTCAAGATGACCTAATTACCAGGCAGACCAAAGAACACCATAACTGCACATGATCTGAAGACAAAGCTGAAAAGTTCAGGTGCAAAGAAGACCTTGGAAGCCTTCATCAAAAACCCCGTATAAAAAATGTTTTTGTGATTCATGTCAATTGGCAATGGAATCAGCAAATGCTTGCATCTGTTGTGTCAAAAGCCAACACGTTTCCTGGGATAACTAAAAAGAACAGTTTTGAAACTTTGTGACTAAACAGCTAAATAATGCATCAAACAAGAAAACACCACAAGTATAGTGAGCAGATGAGGTAGCGAAACGACTGATGCTTAGAATAAAACAGAGGAATAAACAGTTAACTGGTTGTTTAAGAATGAATAAAAACAAACAAAAAAAAAACTCACCAGGCAAATATCTTTAGAGATAGACAAGAATAGTACTAATGAGAAATTGCCCAATGTAAAGCCAATTAGCCACAAAACAAAGAATTTAGGACCAGGCAGACCAAAGAACACCATAACTGCACATGATCTGAAGACAAAGCTGAAAAGTTCAGGTGCAAAGAAGACCTTGGAAGCCTTCATCAAAGACCCCGTACAAAAAATGTTTTTGTGATTCATGTCAATTGGCAATGGAATCAGCAAATGCTTGCATCTGTTGTGTCAAAAGCCGACATGTTTCCTGGGATAACTACAAAGAACAGTTTTGAAACTTTGTGACCGAACAGCTAAATAATGCATCAAACAAGAAAACACCACAAGTATAGTGAGCAGATGAGGTAGCGAAACGACTGATGCTTAGAATAAAACAGAGGAAGTTGTGGTACAGCTAAGGGATATTGTAACATAGTGAGTAAAAGCTTATGTATAAGAAAAGGTGTGATACACTTGTACCAGACTAAAATTATGTAGCAAACACTAGTGAAAGGTCTCCCAGATGACCACAAGAAGAACAGGAAGCCAATGATCACCTAGAAAGATGAAATTGCTGATCTCAGCTTATTGATATTTCCCAATTCAGACTAACACAAGCATACTGGAAAACACTTTGTCGGCTTAAAAACCATACATGTATAGCGCCCCGAGCCGCCCTCAGGACCAGCCATGGGAGCAACAGCGTCTCCACCAGCAAAAACCTTATTAATGGTCAACAGTGACCTTCACAACAAAACAGTCTTTTATTTCGTTTTCAAAGACGTTAAGCAATAGTGAATGCTGTCTATAAGATCTTTTTTCCTGACCAAAAAGAGTCGAATGTTTTGTCTGACATCACTAATCCTTTTCTTCGAATTTAGGTTCAATGTGGTAAATGTGGATGGAAAGTTTTCCATTCAAAGGAAAATGCTGCATTTGAAAATTTGATACAAATCGAAAGTACTGCAGTTAAAACCAAGAGATTTAAAATCAAACTACCATGCTCATAAATAACATTTTTACAGTGTGTAGACTCCCAAAAGTGCTGATGTATTTTCAAAATGTTCACTCTGTGTTTTAGAATTGGTCAAGAGTAAGCACCAAACACTACATCTTTAAGTAAATCTCATTTGTAAAGAAATTGAAGCATTTAGCTTCCTCCTAGTTGTAACAAATAGCAAGAAATCCATCTTGGGAAAGGGCCCCGCAGGATATGCTTTGGCCATTCTTCTACCATCACTGAAGGCTGTGGACTTGTGCAAAGCAAATAACCCAGCTGCAAACACTGACCAGAGTACCCTAAACAGCTGATCTGAGTGATTCAAGCCATCATGGTTTTTGTGGTTCCTTGTCACTGTTCTCTTGGACCTAACTGTCCTCATAATTTACACTGTGGGAGACAGAAGCATTCTGCAGCAGCCTAGAAACACAAATCCCAAGCCCCAACCAATAAAACACTTCAAAACCCTAAAAAGGTTAGGAATCATCGCCACCTTAGCTGAAACTGCAGTACTTGGATGGTTCCTTTTTGCAGACCCTGTGCAGGGGAAGGCCTAGCTGCTGGTGAAGAACTTCAGCACAAACATCAAATCTTCTAAGCAGCCACAACTATTTACTATATCAATTTGTCAGTTCTTTTGCTGTTCAGATGTCATTTTCAGTAGAAGGCATCCATAACTTCATGCTCCACTATATCTTCACCCTGGCATCTTCCAGTTGCACCTTACTGCACACACAGCTGATACCATTTGTCATGGTTTGACCCTGGCCCAATGCCAGGGCTCCTATGAAAGATATATTTCTAAAATAGTTACTGTGAGATGTGACTCAGAAACAGAACAAAGCAGGTTCTTATTTGGGGATGGAGGGAAAACCACAACACTTTAATTAATTTTAATTACAATATCTAGAAAGGAACACACACAAAGCTAAGAATGAAAACCCTCCAAATACATTCCTCCTCCCTTCTCTGTTATTCTATTCTCTACAGAATAACACCATAGATTTCTACCTCGTCACCATCTTTTACATAATCAACTTTCAGTCTATTATCACTCTTCAAATAATCAACCTTTAAATTTATCAGGGAGAGAGGAGTCCCCCCTTGCACCATAGGCTTCCCCCAGAAACACAATTGAAACCTCTTGTGTTTCCGTGTTATTTGTGGCACTGTTTAGAGAGTATTAGTTTTTGTGACTTCTTCTTCTTTTTGTTTAGTGCTCTTACTACTGCACATGGGTCAGGATTGCTTTTAGGGTTTTTCGTTTAAAGATGCTCTGCTCAGTTTCAAAAGCAGCAGTCTCTCAGCTTCGGGACACCAGTCCCCCCTAAATTTTACTTCTTGGGGACGAGGGGCCTCGTAAACAGAGATCTCAAACCCTCTCTGAAGATAGAGGGCATCTCACACCCTTTTCGCCTGTCTCTGTTTTCGCTACTGCTTCACCTCTTAACTTTGAGACACCAGTCCCCCCAAATTTCACCCCCTGGGGCCAAGTGGCCTCATGAACAGAGATCTTCCCCTCCTGGAGACAGAGGGCATCCCACACCCTCCTCAGCCATCTCTGTTCCCACCACTGCTTCACTCTTGACTCCAAGGCATTGCCTCCCCCTAAATACAGTCTCTGACCAGATCCAAAGAGGAAGTTCTCTGGGAATGCTCTGCTTTTAACCCCTGTGTGTTCTCAGAGGTGTATCCAAATCCTCAGTAGCCACCACAAGTGCCAGTTTCAAATCTGGCCACTGATTGGTTTGACCACAACTTTTCCAGAAACTCACTTCCTGACCCAACCACGACACCATTTCATACAGATTTAGATGTCATAAGTACACCCTGCTTGAAAGTTACTCAAGCAAATCCTTCTGGAAGACAAGAGGAGTTTACTTGCCTATGAAATGGAAGCCCACTGCCAGGACATTGTTCACAGGCTGTGCCCAGACTGTTGCCCTGTAGGCATGGATTGTTCTGGGGGCAGAGAAGATGCCTTTTGATTACAAATCACAATCATGATTCATTTTGAGAGTTATATGTACCAGCTGCTTCCTGCAGGTAAGACCATTATTGCTATGACATGGTGTCGTGGTTTGGCCGGAAATCTGTTTCTAAGAGTGGAAATTTGGTATTTCTCCAGGTCAGGATTCTTTTCACTGTACTATAGCGCTCTGTGTAAGTCAACACATACAAGTAACTAAGGATAACCATCAAATCACAGCTGAAATGCAGAGCAGATTTATTTCATTACCTTGCTAATAAGACCTTGTGGAAGACACATGGGGACACAGGCTCTATTTGGCTTAGTTTATTCTAGCAGAGCATTGGGGGGGCTGCTAACTGCCTGCCTCACTAAAACAAAAGGGTTTACATGTTTTTGACAAAGCAGAGGATAAGC